GTCCTGCAATGACTCGATTTAAGCTTTCTTCCAAAACTTCAACATTTAGCGGATGACATGCGAACTCTAAATAGTCATGAATTGGAATGCAATCTTGACCTGTCCTCTCCACCACATACGCTAGTTGTAAAGGTTGAAGAGGAAATTTTTCTATTGCTTCAAAATCTTTCTCGAAATTAAAATCATCAGAATTCTCAGTGCACGAAAATTCTCTCTTTCTCACCAAGAAATCAATCTGCATGGCAAATTGTGACACGACAGGATTGTTAAGAATACATGCTGCAGGTATTTGTATGCCAAACTCTATCATGACAAGATGCGAAAGTTGAAAAGTGAGCAAAGAATTTCCTCCGAGTTCTACGAAATTCGAGTTGGGTGTCATGACCTGATTTTTAAATATTTTTCCAAAAATTGACATTACTTTAGAAGTCATGGAATCGACCTGGTTGAGAATTGAGTATGAGCTTGTACTCATTTTAGGTACACTCTGCAACCCAACGCGGTCAACCTTTCCGTTAGGAAGTTGAGGAAACTTGTCCATCTGAATTACCTGAGCAGGGACCATGTTGGAAGGTGCAAATATGTGAATCTCTTTATTTCCTCCACATCTAGTCGATCTCCTTGGACGTACGCAATTAAAATGGAGTTGCCTGACTCGTCCTCCTTAAAAACGACGGCACATTTTTTCACCCCTGTATACTGGCTAATTACCCCCTCAATTTCAAGCAGTTCGACCCGATGCCCCAACACTTTGACTTGGTGATCCAGCCTTCCATGAAAAATTAGCACGTCATTTTCGCAGATTTTAAATTGATCTCCGGTTACAAAGAATGACTCCATTCCCTTCATAGTAAGGAAATCTACGTACTTTTCTGACTCAGTTATGCCACCAATGTAGGAATTATGCATTCCTTCAACTCTAACAGCGAGCACTCCAACGTCACCAACGTTGGTAAGATAGTTATTGTTCTCATCAATAATGTGGTACTCGACATGTTTAAGGATTGACCCAATGGGAACATATTTCGTGTCATGTCTTATATCAGCTTTTTCATACTTATGATTAGTCAGGTTTCCTGATATCTCCGAAACACCGTACTGATTATATACCTCAACGCCAGGAAATAGCTTACAGATACTCTCCGCAGTAGTTGTGAGTAAGGGCTCTCCAACTGAGAAAACCCTTTCAAGCCTGATCCCCCCTTCATGACTTCATGAGGTGATCGTTCCATGTATTCGACGAATGCTTTCATGAGGTTGGGCACGATAAAGATGTCAGTGACGAACTTCGTACGAAGTAAGTCGACCCAAACGTTGATTTGACTTTGGCTTCCGGTTGGTACAAGAGTGATGCTGCCACCGGTCGCTAGAGGCCAAAGGAGTTGACGAAGTACCGGGTCCGAGTAAAGTGGGATGAGTTGAAGGACGCTCTTGCCTGGAGATGCATCCAAAAAATTTTCCACCATCCATGTAATGTTGGCATCAACTTCAGCCCAGGTGTGACGAATACCCTTTGGTTTTCCGGTGGAGCCTAAGAAAAATAATAATTAAGGATTGTGAATACTTATTTACAAAATTGTAAATATTCAAGGAATCATTAAACCTGAAGTGTGCATGATGTATGCAAATTCATTGGGATTCCTTGCTTTGAAGACCTCTTCGTAATCATACGTTGCCCCTAAAGAGTCAAAAGAAGTGCGAAATAAATCAATTTGGTGTGGCAAAAAGTCGATGGAATCCAAATCTGTGACACATCTTTTAACTCCTGCATTGGTAGCCATGTAGGAAAGTCGTTCCCCTGGAATTTCAGGGTCCAAGACGATGTATGGAATTTTTCTCGAGATACATGCCAGCAAGGTTACGATCAGTTGGTAGGTGTCATTGAAAATAATCCCGACTGGAGTGTTTTCTTTATCAGTAAGAGCGGAAAGGTAATATCCTCTGGAAAGTATGGCTAACGCAAGTTGGTCGTATGTGATAAATTCGGTACCATACTGGACAGCGAGGTTGTCACGATTTTTGGAGAAGGATATGTTCAAAAGATTCGTAAGGGATTTCGTCGTTGCACCCATGATTGGGACACAGCCAACTGGAATAAATATGTTGGAATATTTAGTTAGTGATTTGAACATAAATTGTAGTCATACACTCTTAAAAATAATGTAACCCTCTTGAAAACTAAATATACGCTCAATCTCATGTTATACAAGGTAAAATAAATGCAGAGGAAAGTAGTCATGATAAACAGTTCAATACAATTAACTAAATGCGTAGTAGAGAATGCATTCACTTTTCAATAGGGTTACGATATTTTTAAGAGCGTAGATAACTCTAAAGTCCATTTTCTTCTTTCTTAACACATAATTAAATAAGTTACACAGATTAAGTTTTAAAGACGAAGATGTACTTATAATGTAAAGTTAATTTTCGTTAATTTTTTGCCAATATTCAAAACAAATTTCCTCGGAAATGAAAACAATTACAAATAAATAAACCAGTCACACCTTGTCACCATGCGGTGAAGTCATATATATATGTACGCACCCAGAGCGATTTTTAAGAATGCAGTAATAAGAATTACTTAATTTTGCATTGCAGCACCAAAACTTGCATTTATGTACTTATACGCGTTTATATACTTACATATAAGTATAGGTATGTACATAATATGTACATACCAGCATACATATTATGTATCTCAAAACTCGCGAAATTAATGCAAATTTGGAAATTTACACTTAAAGTCATTGAGTAGGGGTGGAGTGAGACATAAACAATTTTTTTCAAATGGATAATGTTGTACTAAAACGTACACATTTATTAATTAACACTTGAAAGTAGCAATCTATTTATTCCAATTCCAAAAGGAAGATCAAGTCTTCCTCGAATTTTTAAGACCAGAATGGACAAGATCGATTACAAAATGAAGTAATGGTATTTAAATTTAAGCAGAAATTACTTAAAAACTTACCTTAAATAAAAGTTGAAAGTTTCTACAGATATTCTTTTGATTCCAATTTCACAGCGCACAAGTTTCTGGTGATTTTTATGTTATTCAGGTAAGATTTACTGACTGAATTTGTAAACTTTGTCAAAAAATTACGAATCTGAAAGTGAGGCACTCCCAGTGTGAACAGTCATATTTATAGCTGTTTAAGCCCATTATTTTTACTTGGAATACTTTACCTATTTACTTATTTCAACGAAATTTGTAGCTAAATTCAATTAATTTGAAGTGTGTGTTGACCAAATTCACGGAAATAAGTGGTTATTAAACTTATCACGTATCACGTTACTATGTCAAATCGCGTATTGCTTTTCAATACAATGCCTTGTCAAATGTCAAATCAAACGCCTGATCTTTGTCAAAGTGATCTCCGTCACTCTGTTATGCTGAATCCCACTTGTCCCACTGATTAAATGACACACCCAGAGGATAATTTGTGTTATTGTAAAATTTAAGTGTCAAACTCGAAATTAATTGGATTTCCTTCTGGAGAACTGAATGACGCGTGTTAGTCAAGAATTTTTCGTTTCATTGATGATAAGATTTATATCTCGATACATACACTCTTAATAATTTTGTGGTATGATTGCCACCGGCAGAGGTACTATGCAATTCTACAGCGTAGTAACACTATAGTAACGGGTAGAAAATTGACTCCGGTGTAGGTAATATTTTACTTAATCACCAGAATGTTGACGTTGGGGGCAGAGCAGTTTCTGTAGATATGCTACCCTTGGGTGATAAATTATTACCGGAGCGATAGAATTGCATAGTACCTCCGCTGGTGACAATCCTATCAATAAATTAGGGAACGTCCATATATTCATTACGTCATCATTTTAGTGGGTGTGTGGTTTAGGTCTTCCTATTTTTCCAATGTTAAGATTCCCTATCCCTTAATGTTTACGTTGGGTGCCTAAATCGAGCATTTTTAATGGCGTAATATATGGATGGCCCCTTATTGAGAGTTTAGGTGGAGGGTCAATTTTGTGTAACTGATGACTGATTCTGTGGATCGTGCATAACGTGGTACACGTTTAAATTAGCAGACACGCCTGTACATGCACATATGTACATACGTATTGCAGCCAAAATAAATTAAAACCTACATCAAAACTCTCTTCCAGATATCATCAGGGCTTCCGCGGCCACTGTACGGGGCAAAACTCCGTTATGAAAATTTTCTGTGTTTAGAACCGTTTCACCTGAAGAATTTCCATTTCAAAGGCATTTTCCTTAATCACTACATATATCTGTCTGTTGATAAAGAATTAACTTGCAGCATACATAATATTGTCACGACCAGCAAAGGGTTGGAAACATGGGAACAGGACAAATCTTACGTTTCATTTTTTCATACAACTACTACATTGATCAATTAATTTATTGTTCCAAAAGATACTTTAGAATTTCAAGTATGATACATTTTAAATCTTTCATAATTTTGGCATGGATTGTAAAATACCTTGACGTTATTGTTTAATTTTTGGTGTACAAATTGGTAATTAATTTAGTTACAGATAAAGTAAAATTTTCTACTATTGAAAAACCCCGTTCCATTCAAAGGAATTGAACAATATTTCAAAATTTCCTTGACAATTCTTATCCTCAAATGTGCTACAAATTAAAAATATATATATATATTCTTGTGTATACACAAGAATGCAGTCAAATATATGTTTCGTTGTATTTACGGACACCTCAGCAAAAAAACCTCCTAATTCAGGAAAGTATTATCCACATGCATACATACTTGTACAGATATGTATATACATGTACTTCCAGTGTGCATAAAAACCAGCAAAATATAAAAGAAGTGTAAATAGTATTAGGTAAATTAACTGATTTAAATATATACTTTATTCATAAAAATATGCATGATATGTATATGGGATATGTATGTACATATGTACATTTTAAGTAAAAAAAATATTATCGAAAACTATTTGCATAAATATTTATGTAAATATGTATGCATCCGCATATGTATATTCCAGGAATACAGGGTCTCAAATACCTGAACTAACAACACACCTTTTCAGGTTAGTACTTAATTTAGCACTCTCAGAATTCTTACTAACTTCTAAATTTGTCTCACACACCCTTAATCCGGAACCCTTATAATATTTCTAGGAATCTACTTCGTCCACCCCATTGAAATAAATTCTCTTCATCCACACAAACTGCATAAAAACTTACAAAAATTTAAAAAGTTCATCACTTAACGTTTTTCCCTTCCTCAAATATCAACATTTCCATTTAGCACACTTTTTAGCCCTTGGAATTATATGCTCCAATCTATTCATTATACTTACCGGCCTCAAGAAATATTAAAGAAATGGCAAGTTTTATAAACAATCTCATCCTGATTTTTATCAGATTTGTTAACTTGGTAAGAAATTTTTCGTACTAATTTTCTACATACACTCTTAGAAATCTAGTATTAGAATCAGGGTTTTACTTTACCCACCTTTTGAGCTTAATCCCCAGCCCAGTGGGTAAAATGGAAAAAATGGGGAAAATGGGTGGGTAGTGGGGAAAATGGGTATGAAGGGTTATAGTGAGGTGGTTGGCCACCACCACCATTGGGGGTAGTTTATTTTCCTTGTTTTGTTCTGTTCTTATTGTTTATTAAATAAACCACTCGATTTTTTATTTTACCGTTCAATAATTAGGTTGAAAATTGCCAGTTTAGTAAAAATAAAATTACACTCTGGGTAAATTCTGGATAAAAACGAAATATCCTAACAATTTACATTTATTTTAATCTCTCATAAAGGATAACAATTTATCTTTTGTCATTAGATCATGATGTTGATAGCCAATATGAATCAACCACCTAATATAACCTTACCCATGAAGAAGTAAATGCAAACAATTTCGAAGAAAGGAATACAGAGACAGCCAGTAATTATCTATGTTTTTTATAATTTTTCAGTGCTCTCGTGTTATTTGATACGATGAATTACTTTATCCTTTAAGTTGGGAGTGAAAAGGTGAATCATTTTGCCCCAAAAAAGTGTTTTCCCCATTTTGTCCATTTTCCCCACTTGCGGGGCTTTGGGGTGGGTGGCTAAAACCCATTTTACCCACCCATTTTCCCCACCCTATTTTCCCCACGGTAAAACCCTGATTAGAATAATACCAAGCGGTATTCATTTATGACTTTACCAAAGTGGTATTGATAAATATTACCATGTAGTAGTAGCTCAGTATTAAAGTCTTACCATGTCGACAGTAAATTTTCGCGAACAGGAATAACTTTAATACCAAGCGGTACCAACTTTAGTACTGAGAAATCGATACTTGCTTGAATATACCAGATTTCTAAAAGTGTAATTATGGTGTACTTTAACAATCTACTTACAAGTATTACAATTCTATCTTACCCAGGCCAGTCGCGGCTCTCCACCCTAATGCAACGAAGCAACCCCCAAATTTTGGTCGTTCACGTACTACATGACTCAAACCCCACGTGGGAGCAATCATAAGGGTTCGTATTTTTGAAGTTGCTTCCAAAATTTATATAAAATACGAACTTGTAAGAAAATGTTGATGTAAGGTCTCAGGTCATGACCTTGAAGGTCACAGGTCACATGGACGACAAATGTGTCCTCTTTACCCCCCTCAAAAATGGTGTCATTCGAAAGATAATATCAAGGGCTTCAACTTTAGTCCTTACGACATATGCCCTGCGACCACACCCAAGGCCTGTGGGAGTGGTTCAAGTTTTCATCAATTTCATACAAATAAATATTGATGAAAACTTGAACCACTCCCACAGGCCTTGGGTGTGGTCGCAGGGCATATGTCGTAAGGACTAAAGTTGAAGCCCTTGATATTATCTTTCGAATGACACCATTTTTGAGGGGGGTAAAGAGGACACATTTGTCGTCCATGTGACCTGTGACCTTCAAGGTCATGACCTGAGACCTTACATCAACATTTTCTTACAAGTTCGTATTTTATATAAATTTTGGAAGCAACTTCAAAAATACGAACCCTTATGATTGCTCCCACGTGGGGTTTGAGTCATGTAGTACGTGAACGACCAAAATTTGGGGGTTGCTTCGTTGCATTAGGGTGGAGAGCCGCGACTGGCCTGATCTTACCCATTTACAGTATGTTGGATCGGTTCTAATTATAGAAGATTCCATAGTTTGGGCTCATTCTATGAGAAACTACGTAAACTCGAATAAAATTAATCACCACGAAGACAGAGTGCAATTTCTGCTAAAATTTGCACCCTGCGTATTCACCCTTATCGCCCTGTGGATCGTCCTCGCCTTATCGGTACTACATTCAACATTGACCTACCTCGCGTGTGGGGCAAGATGGGGGATCCGGTTTGCAAAAGTGGCAAAATTTTTTGCGACCGTGTCCTACTGCCAAATTATCTTGATTCTTTTGTACAATTTGAGTCTGGAAAGTCTGCGATGCGAAGATTCTTATCTCAGTAAATTAGGAAATATCGAGTTGTCAGCGGGTACATATTTATTTATTGGCGTTATCCAATACAATTTTGCTTTTGTGCATGCAAATTTCATTGCGAGGCTGGAAAGCGAATTAAGAAAGGCAGAGGAAGAAGAGCAGGTGAAAAAAGTTGAGAAGATATCTTTGCGCGAGAAATGTAAAGATGTTGATTTAGAACAGGTCGTCACAGAGAAATAAGTTGATTCGTAAGAAATCAATTCAATTAAAATTTTGTATAGGCATAGCAAATTTGACTGTAAATTACAGTCTGCAACACGTATTATTTTTTTGCATACTTGAAAAAGTTATACATAGTTCAGGGAAACTTTAAGCTTTTAAATGGATAACGTTTCTAAATTTTATGACATTGTTTTTAGCTGTAATTTGTTTACAAATTGGTTATTAGTAGACATTGAATTGTGCAAGTTTGCTATTTGAGATTTACTAACGTATGTACATATATAAACACACTTTATTAATTTTGAAACTCAATTAATAATTTAAAATTCACGAAATAAATGCTGCTATCTTAACTACCATTATAATCCGTGTGTAAATGTGTACTTTAAATTTATTTGCACATTGAAAATTACACTGAAACTATGTATCGACAACAATTGAGATTCCTATATTAAATTCATGCAAAATATGATGTAGACAAAAATTTTCTGAGAAAATTGATCAACTAAACTCCTAGTCTTGAATATCGAATGAATTTTTAGTTATTGTTCATAATTTATTCAAATACTTGTCATAAGAGGAAAAAAACAATTTAAATATATTTTTTAATTCCCCGAATCATTCTCCCTGCATGACAACCGGTCTCGCAATCTCTCCTAAAATATTTGCATACATTTATAAATATTTAACTTCAATCATTAATATTACTTATTTACATATGTAATTATTCGGCAAATTATTCAATAGAAATCGACCTTCACTTCCCACGACCACACCCAATCGGACCACAGTGATGTCCATACTCCCGATTATAGCAGCAGGTCTCTCCTACCTGGTCACAAATTGGGCACCTCCCAAAAGCCAAAGAGATTAAGAAACACAAAATAATGATTACAAAAATAATATAGTACTTTCCCATTGTTCAAAAACTGAAGAATATTAAGCTGGAAAAGGAAAGCAAATAAATAATTTGCAACAAGACCCAAATTAATTACTGTCTGATTGAGCTGTTAGTGAAGGATATGATAAATTTGGAAAGGAGTAGGAAATAAAATTACTCTTACACCTACAAATACATATGCATAATCTATATGCACGTACATATGTAGATATGTAGCTTATCTTAAGCTTAAAATTAATTCTGTGCTAAAGCATATCATTTTTGCATATATAACTCTGAACATTGGCGTAATACTGGACCCAACGAACTTACAAGTACGTACGCAGTAGTTTTTCAAACCAACTCAATTATTTCGTAATCATTTCTACATTTACATAACTAGACATAGGTACATGGGTTGATCATCGGTCATTTGAATGATGAGGAGGATGAAAATGCATAAATATGTGTAAGTATTTATTTAATTATGTGTCTATGGATAAGGCTGTGTCGCGGATTATACATAATTTACAAGTAAGGTATTTGTATTTTATATACATATGGACTTTTCATATGCACATATAAAGCAAAATTGTGTAATGAACCGGATTATTTAGGTAGTTCTAATATTAGTATTCAACAAAAAGTGAGTCAATCACTTTCCCAAGTTTCACATCGTGATTGAATACTAATATTAGAACTACCTAAATAATCCGGTTCTTTACAATATCCGGCTTTCTTAGACCGGGCCCCGGTCCAGAAATAAAATGTGAGATTTGCTTGGCCTGCATTATTGTTGTTTACAATTATTAGCGATTTTAAAATAGTGTTATTTTAACAGAGTTTGACAATAAGGAGTACTTATGTTACAAGTTTTGAGCATAATTTGCCAAATTATTATTAGACATAGGATTTTGTAAATCTTAATTCTTAACATAGTATGGAAATATACCGATATTGAAATTACCAAATTTATTAACTTCATCTTTGAAATTAATTTTCAAATATATATATTTATATATTTTTTTTTATTGTTTTTGGCTGGGTCGGAAAATTCATGATATTTTTTAGGGTAGCAAATTAATAATATTTTAAAATTATTTTGCTTGGTGATGCGAGGAATTTCGGTAGGATTTCGCCGTCTGACGCGGTTGGTGATGGAGAGTCCACAGCTGGTTTGGCTTAAATAAATAGGTTGAAATCGATCTGAGAGCCGGGGTGAGTGGATCAGGGAGAAAGGAAACCAGAGGTTCACGCCGATCGATTTGGCGGCTGCGTCAATTGTTTTTAAGGGCTGTCAGCGCGGCTGCGTGTCGTTTCAATGTGTGTATGGGGGTGTTGCGTCGTATGTCGCCGTGGCGGCGTATGGGGACGTGTGGCGATGAGGCCGTAAAAACTATTGCATACGAATGGGACATGATGTGGAGCGGTTTGTCGGGTTGTAGCGTTGATATGAAACTGTCGGGGTGACGCCGGGTTGTTTTGGGGGGTTGGTAGTCAAGTTTTTGAAAGTCGGGGTGACTCCGGGGTGTTCCACGGGGTTGGTAGTCAAGTGTTTGAAATTCGGGGTGGCTCCGGAGCGTTCGATGGGGTTGGTAGTCAAATTTTTGAAATTCGGGGTGACTTCGGGGTGTTCTATGGGGTTGGTTGTCAAGTTTTTGGAAATTTGGGGTGATTTCGGGGATGTCCGATGGCGTTGGTAGTCAAATTTTTGAAATTCGGGGTGACTCCGGGGTGTTCTATGGGGTTGGTTGTCAAGTTTTTGGAAATTCGGGGTGACTTCGGGGATGTCCGATGGGGTTGGTAGTCAAATTTTTGAAATTCGGGGTGACTTCGGGGTGTTCTATGGGGGTGGTTATCAAGTTTTTGGAAAGTCGGGGTGACTTCGGGGATGTCCGATGGGGTTGGTAGTCAAATTTTTGAAATTCGGGGTGACTTCGGGGTGTTCTATGGGGTTGGTTATCAAGTTTTTTGGAAATTCGGGGTGACTTCGGGGATGTCCGATGGGGTTGGTAGTCAAATTTTTGAAATTCACGCAGTAATTGGTAACTTGTAAAATCCGTGCATTTTGTAAAATAATTTTACAAACCTTTATCAAATAAGAAGATGCCCTTGAGCTGAGTATGTTTATAAAAATTTGCAAGCCAATTTTCCTCAAAACTGGGTATAAAATTGTATACAAGGCTGGAGAATTTTATTAGCCCTTTCTGTTGTAAAAACAACTGCAAATTGCCTCAAAAATCATTAACTTTGCGGCTCTGGATTATTCATAAGCTGAGACATGTATTAGGTTGTAAATGCTACATATATGTGTTTAGCATCGTTCGGCTTGCATTTTTGAAACAAATAGCATTTATGTATGTATGAAAATAAAAATAGAGAAGGTTATAAATACATTGCTTAATACATTTACTGGTAAAATATGTGTTAATTAAATTACGTATATAAAACGGTGATCTTGATGAGCATAAAATAGTGTGTAACGTACATATGTGCATACTCTTTTAGTATATATGTATGTATGTATGTGTGAATTCCATCATTTCGCGATTACGGTCGACCGCAGCCCGGTGGTCCACAATGATGTCCAAATTCGTCCCGACAAAAACCTCATGAGGCGAACAAATGGGGCAAGCTGCAGCTATAAGTACGTTTCAATAAGGAATCGTTACGTACAAATTTTGGATATCATTACGCGATATATAATTTAGGTATGTAAGTTTGTACCCTCAATTTCCTCGACGTAATTCCCGCAACCAATCGGACCGCAGTGGTGGCCATACTGCGGATTCCAGCAGCACGTCTCACCTATCTCCTCACAAATTGGACAGGGTGCATAGACCGTGCAGAATAAGGAGGACATGACAACGGCCAAAATAACGACGCAAAGTTTCGTCATTGTTTTTCAGAATGTTTTACTTTCAGGTAATTTTTAATACGAACGGAAACAAATATTGTTTATCGGATAACTTTTCAAGTTCGATTGATTCAGTGCACCTGAGTACGTTCATTTTTATATGATGAGACGCACCTCCTTATCTCCTCTTGATAAGGAGGTGCAGTCCGTCCATAAATGACGTTGTCAAGTACAAAACGTGTCCAGATTTTCACACGGTGGAAGATCTCATGATAAATACCAGCCTTAAATTCTAGAAAATAAGTTATACAGGATAATTAGCCCAAAATCGATCACACCTTTTATGAATTACTGTTGGATTAGTTAATAGATTACAATCAATAATGAATGATAACTATTGTTTGTTCCGCTTGTTTGTTTCACTGAAATTGTTGTGAAAATATTTATCATACTTATGTGTTTATAAATCATTCGACGAGAGATTGAACAAACGAGTCTTTCCATGAAACTCTGACCGATGTCCGGTCAACTTCACTAGTTAAAGGTTATTGTGAACAATTTAGTAGATACGTACATACGTGCATTGTAGTAATATTTTTATTTACGCCAAATGTGTACACAATAATAAACAATCATATTGCGCATATTGTGGTGTATTAAATCTATTGATAAATAATTAGGTACTTCATTAATTAGATACATATTTATGTTCATAGGTTAGTAAATTGTTACGCAAGGCAAAGCCTTTGTACAGATTCGTTTACATACATATGCAAATATTTATACTGGTCTAGACATACGCCTCTATTTATATGCATATAGTTAAATAAAATATGTACCTGTTTAGGTAAGGAATTTTAAGTTTACTTAGGTGTAGTGTATTTCATTTTTTTAATCCTGATTTTAGACAATAAACAAAAATTTGAAAAATTACTCCATGAAAACGATCGATACATACGTGCATAACTTAATAATCACATCTTTTAAAAAATTGTTTTTAAAATTTTATCGCTATCTTCAAATCAAACAATTACCAAATCATTAGCAACTTTAATGTTTAAGTTACCCTGCAAAGAAGGGTACCTATTTTCATGGGCATTTTGGCCAAGCGATTGCAAGCGTTTGCAAAGTGCTAGAACCCCAATTTTTGCACCATTGCATAGTACAACTATCCATGTTCAAATCATGAAGAAAATAGCCTGATCCCTACCACCACATTTTTCCAATTGGCATTCGCATGACCACGATTTCGCCCATTTTTAGATCGAAATCGGGGGTAAAATGATCACTTAAAAAAAACAAGAGTTTGCATGATCACATTTGGATGATGTTAATTTTGCTGCATACATAAAGTATTCGGGTATTTGTCATGAAAAAATAAAGATGATCCCTATCACCGATTTGCCACAAACTCGACTGGAGTTGGGTAACTCTGGGTTTGTGTAAAAATCGGGCAAAAATTCTTACAATTATGCACATTTTTGTTGTCATGAGTGACTAAATGACAAAAAAATAAAATAACAAACAAGAGTGAATGGTTTTCAACCAATGTTTACATCTACTTGGACGTTCGCAAATTCCGTTTCGACAAGATTTTGTCCTTCTTGAATCCCAGCTTATCAACTCTACTCTCAACAAATCTTGTCGGAGAGCCTTCCGCCCGGGTCGACGCTACCGTGCAGCGTGATCACCATCACCGTCACATAGTTCGCCAAGCAGTCAACTCAAGGTAGCGCTGCAATTTATATTCACCGGTCGAGGTCATAATGATAATTTATGTTTATAGAACGTCCACCGTGACACGATTCCGGACCGATGGGGAAAACTCGAAGACTGCGAACTTTGAATGGGAGAAAACGACGAGTGGACCTTTCTCGGGTCAAGATAACCATTGCTCGAAGACGTAGAAGTCCACACATTGATGTCACTGTGAGAAGCACTGGATTTTATAATTATTTATGTATGTATTTACTTATATTTCCATTTAGGGCCATGAAGTACACCGTGGACATGGAAAATGTGGCTGTTGCGACCGAAGAATTACTTCTAACCAGTGGAGAAGAGCAATTGGGGGCACTGGACCCAACGAGAAATTATTGTGGGACATCGTGACGATGAAGCTTGGTCACACTGGGAAAAATTTTGCCCCCACCGATCTTATATGCAAATCCTGCTACGCAAGACTGCGCTTTGATTACGAAAGGAACGGTTTTCAGGATTACCGAACTGCACTATCCAACCCTTCCCGACAGACTGTTGCCACTGTCTCTGATTTCTGCGAAGTTGACACCTGCAGCACCATTGAGGAATCGCAGGAGCCAAGCAGCGTGGTGTCGACATCTCAATCTTCTTTCGACTCCAGTTTAATTATGAATAGTCAGAACTCACTCTCTATCAGCTTTACATCGACCCAATCGGTTTGTAATGGATAATTTTAATTAAGATTGATTATTAAAGATCATTCATGATTTTGGTTAATTCTGACACAGGTATCCCTAGTCAGCAATCATGCTAAAATCGATATTCCAACTGTGTCGAAAAGTGAACGGAGATGCTTCATCTGCAAATCAGTTGCTGGAAGGAAACGTGTGCCAGATTCAGCCATTCTCCAAGTACTACAACGTCACTATATTTACATCCCTCCCAAAAATAGAACTTGTGCATCTCATCTCGAGAATAACCAATTCACAAATGAAGCGCTCAATCAAATAACTGCAGACAAGCAAAGCTTCGAATTATCTGGTCCAGATATAACAAAATGGACAACTCAACTCCTCAAGCACATTGATAACAAGGTCACCATCCTGGATTTTGGGAAAAATTCTCACATCAAACCAGAAGATTACCATCTACTTCTTGGTGTAACTCGTGACCAATTTTTGGAATTATTAGAAATATGTCGACATCACATCCATTCCAGCAGCAACAGAAGTGTTGAAAATGCGCTGGCATTGTTTCTGATGAAGATGCGTCTTGATTTACCACAAAAGGTTTTGGCACTACTTTTTGGAATCGATGGACAGCAGCGAGTTAGTGAAACAATTACCCGTGTCGCCGAAGTCTTGGATCGGGAGTTTGTTCCACTCAATCTTGGATGCGGTGAACGGCATTTAGACAGGGAAATGGCACTCAGTCACGATTCTGAATTTTTCCATCGTATTCTGGACACACCCCCGAAAGCTTTGCACGTTACCTGTGATGCCACCTACTTGAATATACAAAAACCATCGAATTTTGAAATCCAGAGAAGGACATTTTCCCTTCACAAGTTCAGGAACTTGGTCAAACCGATGCTCATTGTGTTTGCTGATGGGTACATTTTGGACGCTGATGGACCGTGGTTCTCAGATTTCAAAAATAACGACGCTAATATTTTGGAGAAGATCGTTAATCGTGCCGGGGCAGACACACTTCTCATTCTTCTTCAGCCGGGGGACGTGTTTATCCTTGACAGAGGATTTCGAGACTTTGTGGAGAAATTGAGGGCTCTCGGCTTCAAGGTGTACATGCCGGAATTACTTAAAGGGAAGACTCAATTCTCAGCAGACGAAGCGAACCAGTCAAGAAAAGTGACAATGCTCCGGTTAATCGTGGAGGTAGTCAATGGTCAAATTAAGCTTCGCTTCCGGTTCTTCGACTCCATTATTCAAGCCACCTACCTGCCAAAAATAGCAATGTTTTTTCGAATTGCTTGTGCCATCTAGGAATGGGTTCGGATCGGATCGGATCGGATTTTGGGGTCTTCGGATCAATCCGACTCGGATTATGCCCGGTATCGGATTGATCCGAGGCGGATTGACCGACCAATCCGATCCGATTCGGATCAATCCGACGGATTTCGGATCGGATCGGATTACTAAACCGGTTATATAAAATCAAATACTGGCAATAATTACATACATCTGTAGTACATATTGCTTTTGTCAGATCTAAAGAAATCGGGCTTTTCACCGCTTAAACTCATTTGCGTACGTACACCACCACCATCGTGTGAATATGCAGATAGTGCCGTATGCACTGGCCCATAATCCATTCTTTGTTTTGTAACAAAGGAGGAGGAACCCAGTAGGAGTAGGTTGACCCATACCTATTTTTCAAAATTGTCATATAGAGCTGAAATTGCTGAGGTTGCTTTTGACTTAAACAATATGAATTAAAATCGGGGCAATTTTTATCTGGAGGGAGCCTATTGGGTGACCTTTACGGATTTTTTAAATCGTCGTATCAAGCTGAAATTTGCTACATAGACTGCTAATTGATACTGTTAGAAGAATATGAATTTAAATTTTTAAATTGGAAAATCAATTTAAATTTTTAAATTGGAAAAATCAATTTAAATTTTTAAGTTGGAAAAGTAAGTCAATTTAAATTTTTAAATTGTTTTTTGATATGCATTTACGATAAAATGTCATTCAAAAAGTGGGATTGAGGGATAATCACGTTGGTCTGACTCGGGCTATATCAAGTCTACAAAGTAGGTTTTGAGTTTGCATACGGCCCTTAGAAAAAATCTCACTGGTACCCTGCAGCAGAGTCATAAGCGGCCCCGTTTTAAATTTGAACGCGATTTCTTTAGAAAAGCCATGAGCAATAGTATGTGTACCTACTCAAGAGATGATAATAATACTACCCAATATGCATTACATATACACTAGGTTCAATAATTAATTATTAGTATATGGTTACTAAAAACCGACAAAGCCATCTAAATTTCACCCTTCCTATTGAATAGGCAATAGTTAATAGTGGGGGCAAATTAAATTGCATGATGGATAAACGTTTCTATCTCACACAATGGCCACGATAACAGCTTGATAATTTTCAGGGGGGTAGCCGAAAAATATTGGGGTTGGATCCGTTCCTGAATTTTAAAAATATCGTCCAGGTCAAAAGTCACAATTTTTGACCCAAAAGGTAACTTTTCAAGTTTCATGACGATATGTTTCATTGGAGGCTTTATTTTTATCGATAGCGAAATGTGAACGCACTTTTGATACCTTGAACACAGCCGTGCGGTTTTTTGAACAAAGTAGCGAATTTTTTAATAAGGCGAGTTTTGACAAATTGTTAAAATTCGCCTTACTAAAAAATTCACTACTTCAAAAAATCGTCCGGAAATGTACAACATATCAATATGTTCACATCCAGTTGAGCTATATATTTGTCAAGAAATAAAACCCCATAGTAAAGCAAGTCAACGCGAGACTTGAGAAGTGCGCTTGTTAGTCAAAAATAGTGACCCTTAGCTTTTTGCATTAGCTTTAACTAATAGCTTTTTGAAATTTTTCAAAAATAAGGACGTGATCCAATCACAATATTTCTGGGATTGCACCCTGCAAATTTTCAAGCTATGATCGTGGCCATCGTTTGAGATAGAACACTTTATCCATCCTACACTTTAATTTTCTTCACTGTAATTAATAATTAATTACCGTTCACCAAATATTATAGGCTTGAAAAAATCTAAAAGCTTCGTGACAGATTATTTCGTAGTGCTTTCGAACAACCAAATAACCTCTTAGAAAATTTATCAACGAATTGCGACTATTAATATTAACTGAACAAGAATTTTTGACTTTGCCCAATCAATTTTAGACGCATGTGTTGACAAATTATGTTCGAGGTAGGATAGGGAGAGAGAGATTATTTTTTGAAATCTGTCGTAATTTGTCAAATATGTGAGTGGCAAACTGTAGGATGAATAGAGGATGCAAGCTGGATTCCTCCAAATAATGCAATCCGAAATCCGATCCGAAATCCGATGGAAGGCCTCGGATTGATCCGATCGGATTTTTGAACCAATCCGATCCGACCGGATCGGCTTCGGATCGGAAAAAACCTTAATCCGATCCGACATAATCTGACGGATTAGGATCGGATCGGATTTCTTCGGATCGGATTACCCATTCCTAGTGCCATCCACAACAAATACGGGACTAGGTTTAGAAAGTCCCCAGAAAATGAAGACTACATAATCAATGAAGTAATTGGTGAAATGGATCGAGCCAACACGTTAGAGATGCTGATCAAGGACAACGGCCTACTAAGGAAGAAAGTTATTTGGACTGAACCAACTGAAGCAGATTTAGCGAACTTTCCAATTTTGTCTATTGATGATCTTAAGAAGATAACACTTGGGACCTTCCAGATCCGAATGGCTGACCGCTATACAAATCAGCATCTCCAAGAAGAAGGTGAATATCGTCTTTTCATTCACAAAGAAAACTCGTCCCTATTTCGTGTAAAGCTGCAAAGCCGATTCAATCGACGAGCGACCGATCAGGTTTGGATTCAAGTTGATATCGGAGGACATGGTCGCGAAGCAATCGAGTCCTACTACTGCACATGTAAAACGGGATCCAGGACACTGGGATGTTGTTCGCATGTTTGTAGTGTAAGTTTTAATACTATTAAATTAATTGCATGGTCACAGTAATTATTCCGTTTAACATGCATTTTTATTAATTAATTAACAGGTGTTGAAGTATTGCGGATATGATCGCCACCAACCACCAAGTACCCGGAGGAACCATCGAGCTTATTCCTTCCTCGACGCTGCCGTGGACATTGCGGGGGAGGAGGATGACGATGAATAATAATGTGCATTTTTATTTAAATTCTGTGTGGAGTGTTAAAGTTACCAGTTTTATAATTTTTTATAATAATGTTGTGCATTTCATATGTAAGTGTTGAGTGCCAGTTTAAAATTCATAGTTATATGCATTCCTTCCTCCCTGTAATCTTTTTCAATATTGTCACTTTCGTTAAATTCTCCATTCGTCATTACAATGTAACCTGTTCGTTGCACATATATTCATAGATATGAGAAGAGGAGAGAATAAATATTTTTTGTGATATTTAAAATTATTTCCCCAAGTTACAAGTTACTATGCATGCCAAAGTTCCCCAAAATTGCGAATTTTACCAGTGGCCCAGAAATTATAATTAAAATCAAGGGGGCGTGACCCAGGGGACCATCGAAACCAGGTACCCTTCTTTGTAGCACTCACAATCGGCTGGTGGCGTGATTATGTGGCAGAATGGGTTCATGTCTTGCAGGCATTGAACTCGCTCCGCGTGGAAGGCCGCGCAACGCAGGTGCAGGACCAGTTTATTTGTGGGGCGCATTCCATCCCCCAAATTAAGGTGGCCACGAAAAAAATTGTAAATATCTCTCCAACCTTCATCTCGTCTCTGTGAAATAATTTCAAGCAAAAAAATCATGAAGTTCAACTTTACCGCGATTTGTTATGGTTTGCTTTTAAATTAAGTGACTGCCAGCTATACACTTTGCACGTAACAAAGTCACTTATTTAAAAAATCAAACTATAAATACGAGTATATGTAAAAGCCCTTTAATCTAGATAATAAATAATTGTTGTGTAACAAGGTTTTTGATGTAGTAATTGTCTCTTAAATTTTCTATCATAAAAATTCTTAAAATGAAAAATTAATTTAGGAAATTTAAATAGTTTTATATAATTCTTTATCAAACAAACTTGACATCTAAATACATATCGTTCGATGCTGATTTTCTGCCACTCGAAATAAATGTTGCGAATAGTACTTTAGTTAACTTTGGACTTACAAAGCATCAGAATCTGTTGCCCTTTTATGTACTCAAACATATCCCAATTCTGTGAATTCTGAGCAATGATTTAATAAAAATGTAATAATTCAAACATGTGTTTCTCTCGAAACGCGACGCAATAAAATTAAAAATGCTGATCATCGCATAATCCTCTTCTCAGAAGCACTAAATATGTAATCTGTTAGCTATTGTGTATGTACAAATATACGTAGATATCCATTTTTGATTGGATTAAATTAGATTTTTATTGACATCATGACTCATACATATACGTACATTTTTATGTAGGGTTCCCATCACCCTGGGTTTTATGTAATGGTTCTTTTTCTGCATATTTCCTTGATTTTAAATAAGTTGTACACTCTTAGCAAACCGGTGTTAAAATCCACAAAAAAATCATAACCGCTCGATTGTGATACCAAACATCACGGGCACGGAGATAATATTGTCTTCAAATTTGTATCCGTGCGCATGGAAAATTAACACCGTTAATATTAACGCAGTCCACATCCTGCAGTATTAAATTCAACACGCTACGGAATAAAAACGTGACCCTAATATGTTGAAATTAACACCCATTTAACATCAGAGTGGAATTGGATCTTCTCCGTCAACTGTGACAATATTTCACACTCAGCGGAAACAAATTCAATTCCTATCTGTGAGAGCTTTATTACAAAAATGTAACAAACTCACCCCCGGCAAGCTCAACTTTGTAGCTTGCTTTCTGAACCGCAAGCACCGACGTGGAAAATTAGTCCGAGTTTCAAGAAATTAATTCTCTCCAACTAATTATCTGAATTTCATCGGAACATGTAAGTTTACTAATTTTGGACTTAAGTCTTTAAGTACTTAAATACTTTTTGTTCATAGGTATGCTTAATAAAATCAATTTAAAATACATTTAGAGAATGAGATCGAGCTGAAAGGCAATCACGGCGCACAAATTGATGTCTAAGTCCTTCTACATCCCTGAAAAAAATCCCTGATGTCAATTTCCTGGTCAAAAGCGAAATTTTTGAGGTCACGCTGGACTCCCAATATGCGGTAAATTATTTTAATCATTTCTTTTGGAAACACTATTTTTTCATATTTCAAGGCTCATTCAAACTGTCGCCTGTCGCTATATTACATATTACAGTAATCCACTTGACAGATTTTGGAGCACTAACGAACTATAAACAGGTAGAAATCCTGATCTTTCTGTGTTGAAAAAGTTTTATCATATTCAGAAATTCATTTTATTCGGTTATTTAACAAACTAAAACTTATCCAAACTTCGTCCAGATTGTCCGAAAAGTGACAGCTTGCAGCGAGAAAGATTGGTTCGCCACTGACTCTGAAGCAAAGGACCAGTTTTACTGTATTAAAAGGTGAAAATATTTTCTTTCTAAGCCAAAATATATCGGATGAGTTAAGTATGTCGGTAATTTTTAATTGTCATTTATTCCATGTATGTATATAGATGGGAACACCAATTCAATCGATTCCGGATACGTGGAAATTTGAAAATTTGCAACCTTGTCTTATCTGTCGTGGAGACAATCGAAACCAATTATCCAGTTTCTACATTGTTTGTCACCGTCTAATCTTGCCGTTAGCAGCTCAGACCTCGGCGGAAACAATCTAAGTTGACCCACAAAGATAAACAACTCTACAGACAGCCGGAAAATATTTTCAACAGTAGAGAAATTAAGTTATTCACTAGTAAACGTAAAGATTGTTTTGTTATCCAGAGTGTAAAGAAATTGAATTTACAACAATTAAGATATGGTACCAAAATTTAGCACTTTGTTTTGGAATTGGGCCGATTTATTCAAATTTTGTGATAATAACTGATTTTATAATTGTAGTCGCTGAAAATTGCGGGTTAATTGATTTTAATGACTTTTTAATACACGATTGTATGTATGTATTGAGTTATCGTAATGATAAATTTTTATAAATTTTAAAGATTTTTAAATAAATAAATGAATCAATTCCAGAATCTGTGAAGATCATTACCATGCCGGAAATACAATTTAAAATCGTCTCCTAAAGGAATCAAACGTTACACTAACGTGGTGTTAATTTTAACTCTACCCTGTTACAAACCCGCAACGTCATCGTGTAAACAGTCGTACCCGAACCGTGAAGATATTGATTCCTTCACTTTAACAAATGATTCCGCTGCGGTGAAGCATATTATATCCGCGCGGAGTTGGTTTAATTCCAATCCGGTTAAGTCACATAGTGACACCGCCCGGAATTGATTTGGTTACGATTTTCTTTTGAGTGTATTACATAATTCATATCAAGCATGTGACCGAAAGATTGGATACTAAAATTATGAACAAAGTGAATAAAAGAAAACATCTTTTCCATGGTAAAAATGTACATATATATGACGTGATAAATATTTTATGTACATGAAATAAACAAAAACACGTAAGTAAGGCTGAATTTTTGCGCCTGCTTTTAGTAACCCTTTATGTAGATATTGTTAGTATCCATGACAATTGCAGAATAATTAAGTTGTTGACACTTTGTCCTCATAATAAATATTCTGCATTACTCTAAATCATTCTGATCGCTCTGCTACCTCAAGCACAGTCAGCACTTAATTCACCTTCTCAGTAATAAATGCATTCTTCATAAAATTATTCCAACCATTATATTCGAACATGAATATTTAATTCATTCCATACCTGTGAATTCTCAGAATTTTATCACAAAATCAAAACATCTTGTAGAACTTGGCTATGAATAAGAAAACGAACACGGATTATATATTCAGAAGTTCTCAATGAACCTGACATTATGCAAGGCAACGATCTTTTTCCGCTTCTCGAAACTAATAAATTGAACGACGCACTGGCATTCATGGAATCAGTTTCACTTTTCCAATCATATTGTGCAGGTCGTAATTACATATATACATATTTATTCACAGATCGTTAATCGTTAAAAATTTGACATAGTAAAGAAGGTATTGATTTCTCGGTATTAAAATTACTCCCGATTGGTATTAAAATTATTCTCGTTCATAAAAATTTACTACCGATATGGTAAAACTTTAATATCTAGCTATTACGAAACCATATTATTAAGTGAATACAACCTTGATAGAGTCATATTTGATACCGCTTGGTATTATTTTATTACTGGATTTTTAAGAGTGTACATAATTGCAGGAATCCATTTCTCGAAATGTCTCAACGTGCGTTTGTGATTATATTTCTTGTCTGGATGATGGCTACATTAGGTATTCCATACTTCGATATAAATAAATCGTCAAAATTTAAAAAATTAATTTGCAAAGTTTTTCAGCAACTTACAGATATTTACAATAATTAGTCACTTCTTATTCCACAGCCCTCTCCCAGAATCCGTGCTCGGCTGGAAAGATGTGGACAAACTACAACGCCATGAAAGCCGCAAATTGTAGAAATTGCGATAAATATTTTCATTGCCAAGGAAACTACGAAGCGGTTCGTAATTGTCGAGGAATTCTTCAAGTCGCGACGGCCACTGCGATAAGCAATTTGCGCGAGTGGGCGCAAGGCAACGACACTCCAGATTCCGCTGCCGACCAGGCCGCTAATGTTTACGGGAGAAATGGAGGAAATTGTGCGGGCAGATATTTGGGAGCGGTTAACTGCAAGTGGAATCCGAGGTACATCCTTTTTAGTTTCATTTTCTTTCCATTGAACGGTTTCACACCGCAATTATTTAATTGGTAAAATATTTGCAGGACAAAAAAATGCGGATAAAACCCTAGTGCACGGTTATACTGGAATTTTGGAAATAATAAATATAGATGTATTTATCTGGCTGAAATTCAATGGTTATGCAAATGATCATATAAAACGGAGTCCGTTAAAATAAAATTCGAAATGTAGATCGTGCTAAATATTGCTACATGTTTAGATATGTCATTCCATTGGTAATCTGCCTTTCCACAAGAGTGTGAAAATTCACATTGTCCATCCATAGTCCTTAAAATTTTAGCGGATGAAATAAAACGTTATCTCATGCCAAAAATATGTATGTATCATAACTTTGCACTTTTATCAGCATCACCATCACCTTATTTGTTTCAATTAATTTGTAAAAATACTCGGAATTTTTTATACACGAAAAAAATTGGCAGCTTGCATTTTTATCCATGAGCATCTTCTTATTGCATTATTAATACATATAATTTGCACGAAAAATGCTCATTCACACATTTATAAAATACAAATATTTTCGAGAATTCTTGAATATATATGTACCTGCTTAATACATATGTAAAAAATTCCTTTCACAGCGCATATTTATTTAATACTGCAATGGCAGTGTCTTACATACATATTTACCTGGATAATTGTTCATGGTTCACTGAGCTATGAAATTGCTATATGTATGTAAATATAATTTTACAACTTGTATATTTATGGAAAAAAGCAACTTCTGCGTAGCAGTTTCTCCTCTATAGGTCAGTATTTGTCCTTGATGCTAATTATACTGCGGAGAAGAATGTTACACAAACGGGTTGAAAGGCGCAACACATATTTTTCATCTCATTCACGGCAAATTTTATCTGTCTTCGACTCATTTTTTAAATATTACGAGTTCCTAAATATATCCCACTTTTGTGAGTTTAACGATTTAATCGGGTAATAAACTCAACCTCAGTAACAATTCCGATTCGATTTAGTGAGCATGTTGGCCAGGGAGTACATAAAAACTCTAATTTTTTTGCAGACATGAAAAACGCGTTACTGATAAAACCATATAAAATGGCTTTATTTATTAACGCCCAAAGTGCCCTGCCCATTATGTAAGTATTGTTTCCTTCAAAATCCATTCAGTTATGTAAGCCGTGAAGCACTTTAATCATGGGACATGGGACACCCAGTTATTACGAAATTATACGCTACACCATTACATTATTTCTCCATAAAAAAGTGGAAGACACTCTGTGCAGTCATACATAAATATGTAGTTGAAAGAGTTATCCAATAAAAACAAAGTAATTACTGTCTAGTCTACCTAAATCTTGTACGTATGTGCAAAACGGTTCCACTACAAGTTAACTAGTCTAGTGGAAAGAATTGGCAACATTTTTTTGCCAGTCTTGTAATAAAAAACTCCTTGAAAAATGGGATTTTTTAGTCAGCATGTCCTGTTTCGGATAAAAAATGCGTTACTTACAAAAGCTTATAAAATGAATTTACTCACGTTCGAAGTGCTCTGCGGGTTTTGTATTGTGCCCTTAAAGATATCCTGGGAGGAGGAGAAGGTCGTCGAAGTGCGGGGAAAATTGAGACGAACGGTGACCAAATTACTGTACCTAATTCATTTGGGAAGGACGGTTCACTTTTTGGTGGGGTTTGGGTTGAGGATGGCAGGGCTGCAGGTGGGGCCTTCGGGGAAGTATGTCATGACGGATAAGCTGCTGGATTATGGATGGTTGGGGCCCATCATGTGCACGATCCTTTTCCGGTTTGAGTTGACGAGGAAGTCGAAAGAGACGGTGGACATGATGAACGAGGCGCATAAGTTGGAAAGGGAGGCGGAGAAAGAGGGTGAGGATTTCGAAAAACATAAATCCAAAAATTTCGATGCAATAATAGTGAAGGGATTTTTCATTATTAAATTTTGAGAGATCTGCGAACTTAAGAATACTCCCGAGTTTGAGTTAACAAGAAATGTGATTTCTTTCAAATTATAAAACTTTATTGCTATAAAACTTTATAAGACTTTATTTTCAACTACTTTCTTCTTACTGTCTCTATTTGGCTTAACTCCTGAATTTCCAAATTTAATATTTTTCAGGTTTGAATACCGTCTACACGAAAGGGTTTTTCGGGAAGGCATGGCAAGTCTATACGTACTCCGCCTATTCCTGCGTTTTCTCAGTCCCCTTGGCAGCGGGAATGTTCTCAACGTTACATCCCTGCGAACCCGCCTTCGTCTCGTGGCAGTTCCTCGCTTGTAATTCGACCACGTGGACCCCATCAACAGACCAGGAGCGGAGAATTGTTTTTATTTCTGGCGTGATCGAGACCTTTTTCTGGTATCAGATCATCTCTGTCGGAACCTTGGCGAATTTGGCGACCATGTTTTACCTGGCACTCTCACTAAAGACGTTCATTCTCAGGGCGGCAAAGTAAATTTAAAATTTACATATTATATCTGTTAATTCCAAATTTGGAGCAAAATTTCAAACTTTACAATGAGAAATACCTTGCTTTTTAGAACCAAGATTTCCTCTTTTAATGAAGTAACGCTTCACTTTTACCGCCGCTACCAAGTGTACGAAACTCTGATGAACTACTGTATGTCACATGTCATCACACCCACCATGATTTGTGCCTGGACGTCCATCCTGATCATGGGCTGGTACACAATGCTTCGCTACTTTGGGCGGGTATCCTTCGCCCTTTACACGATCCACGCACAACTCGCTCTCAACGGGATGATTTGCCTCCTCACGGAATTCAAAAGTGCCGAGGATGCGTATGACGCTTCGTTAAGCCTACTTTACAATTGGCGCTACTCGATCGGGGAAAGCGCCAATTTCAAACTATCGAAGCGATGGTTGAAAAGCTGCGCCCCGCTGAAAGTGCGGATCGGTGCGACCAGCTATTTCGAAAGCAGTACACCGTTGATTACAGGGAGCTTTTGTGTGCAACAAGTTATAAATTTGATTATGGCAGAGTCGAAATAACAGGACAATAAAAATTGGAACAAAATTCAAGGTTTTTTGTCTATTTTTATACGCAACTCTTTTTTGGTCATTAAATTATCCACATGTCTCAAATTATTTAATAAATCAACTTTCTTCTCAATTAACGAACAGGATGAACGGGTTTGCGAATGAAGTATACAATGCACTTTATTTTAGAATTGCAGTTACCTACATATTTTGACGAGTTTTTATTGTGCACTTTGTAAGATTGAGAATTGACTTCACTTAGCTGAGTTTAAAATTAAGAAGTGACTGCACTTAGCTCTTGTTAGAATCAGTACCACGATATTTATGCACATGTTTAATTACTGGTTGCTAATGTGTGCTAATAATGCAAACTTGATTTTTTGGGATTCACTAGTATGTATGTAGTCAATAAGCATTTTATCTTAAAAATGCTGAGACAAGCAGCACTATCGCTGGGAATTTAAGGATTTATCTGTAGCTGTGCAGAATCTCATGTAGTAATACATATGTATCTACATATGTCCATTTCGCTAGAAACCAATGGCACTTTTATTCAGAAATTTATACCAAATATATACATACATACATATGCATGTTCTATTTTGCACATTTGTCATCTAAGCAAACACGTTTTAACAGCATCAGTGCAATATAGATATGTATTATCATGCAAAATCCTAGCCCAAATATTTTATCATTTCATAGGCACATGTACATCTTACACAGATACATATCCACCACATGCATTTGTACCTGTTGGAGAAAATCCTATAGCACTAAACCAACACATTTACCCACTAACTTGTCCAACTTGCAATTTCAAGTAACCCTTCTCTCGCTCCAGAAACCACTCGTGAGCAAAAAGCCAGAGTGAAAGTGGGTCGTCTAACTTTCTCCTCATTTTTATCGATCCGTCTCAAAACTTCACCTGCTTCCATTTAGCCAGATCTGCTAAAAGCTTCCGTACATACATACGTGACCACACGACTTTCCCCTCCCTGTCCAGCAGCATCTGCTCGTCTGTCTCGCAATAATTTTGCAATATATAAATTTCGCAATAATATAAACATATTTAGCTAAATACAATGTCGATCATAGCGGAATCTTCCATTTGCATTGTTTCGTAAGCAGCAATTTATAATATTTTAAGTGGATTTATTATCTGTGTAATTGATTTTGTAATTAATTTACCACCCACAAAGTTTGGACTATGCCGCCCTTCCTGCCACGGTGGCGGATCCACTGCCCGCCTCCGCCGCGTGGTGGTCAGTGCAGATCGACGGGCTGGAAACGGTCATTATGAAGAACGCTATGAAAAGTGAGTACCCTGAATTGAAGGACAATGCTCACCACCGATTAGTCTTCTACAGTCCGGAGGAAGAGGTGGGTCGATTATTTCGTACATGCATATTTGAAAACTATGAAATTATTAAGGGTATCCATGACGATTTCGCATGGCTAACAAATCAAAAAGTTCGCGAAAATGCTTAAGGACATTAACCTTGAAAGTGATTTGCGAATTCGTCCATCTCCAATGCTAGTATTTATTTTATAAACAAATTGAAAAAAATGTTGCAATACATATTGAATGCCCTAATTATTTATAATGGGGATATTTAATCACAAAAAAAATGTTCGCGAATTAGCAAAAAAGATTTGGTTTGAAAATAAATTTACGAATTTTTGCATATCCAAGGCTAGTTCTTTACATACGTAACTACATATGTATGTATACATATGTAGGTATTTCTAGTTCGCAATGTTTTTCGAAATATATTACTATGCTAACATGTGAACTTGTAGTGAATACCCCTATTATTTATCCACCTGTATACATCAAATTGCCAGATGCTTTCAAATAATCAGGTCAAAATTCACTAAATTCGGAAACTTAATTTATATGACAAATGAGTTCGGATTTATTTTTCAAAACAACTTTTTTTGAAATTCATATCGTTATTTCGCAAAAAATTACCCAATGATTTTTAATACAAAATAAGACGTTTAACAAATTTTTCCACCATATTTTCTAGGCATACTTCCCCATCATAAATATCGTTTCCAAGACGACGCAGTATCTCAACGCTGTGGCCAACTTGGGATATCGCCTCACCACCTCGACCATCTTCCAAGACATCAACTCTGGCGTGGTTCACTATCAATACTGCCTCCAAAAGTGAACCATTTGAAGATTCCACGCAATAATAAAATGTACTTCCTGCATGAATGCGAAAAAAAACATTTCAAAATGATGCATATCACTAAAAAAAGAAGAAGAGGAAACGAATACATATCAAAATTGTGAAGTAGTAAACTAGACCAGATGTAAAATTATGTACATAAATCAGTATTGAGCACTTACATATCTTAGAAAATCCATGTGAAAATTAATTATTACGTATGTTAAATCTCTATACCGATTAAAAAAATTTCACAAGTTAAGTAATTATTTAAGTGTTTCATAAGTATGCTGTGTTATATAAAAATGATGCTCTCCCTGCAGAAAAGAGAGATGAAATTGGTTACATGGGTATGATGAAATTTTCTCCAAAAGTTTAAATTTTAAAAATGTACATATGTATCTGATTTAATTATATTGGAGAGTTAAAATTGTGTATGTTTGATTGTATGTATTTGGAGAAAAGGCTTGTTTTTTCTACATATTAACATTTTTTCATTGTATCCCGAAATAATAGATACTTGTAAACAAGTATGGGAAAATTCTCACACGTCACCCAAATAAAATTTAAGATTGCAAATGAAACAATATTTCTTTGTGTTTATTTATTAATTTAGATTGGACTGACGAGCAAGGAATCTCAATCACTTCCTAATTTAAATAAATCGATATAGGATCAACCACAATCCTTGGCATATGTATGTATGTATGTTCAGACCCCTACAAATCTTCACTTTTGTGAACGACACGTCCTTCAATCTGTTTACAAGAACCCTTTCCTGAGAAAGGTGCATGACCTTATACGCAAGGACACGTAAGGTAGCAAACCATAAATATTTACCTTGAGTGAAAGGGTTCATTTAAGTACTTGTAGGGTTCCGAAACTACCCTTCTTAAAAACTAATCAATAAAATCACCGTGATTTTTATCTATGCAAGAAATGTTAAACGCAAGACATTTGTATCTAATAAACCGGCTAAAAATATTAGCACGAATTTATATTCAATTCATATAAAAAATTAAGGACAAGGCTTTGTTGATCAATAAAATCAGTAAAATTCTACCGGATTTTATTCCAAACTGAATACATATACATGCATACCGTTTTCTAACAAATATTTGTAACTCAAAACAATATCCTGCAATTTTTCATGCAAATATGGCGAACACGAGTTTGGAACCCTGTTTCAATTACCCATTCTTCCGGATCTCCTGGAAAACATGCACTCTTCGCGACTCACCTTTTCAACCTTATTCGAACGTGAGACTCTGGTTGGGTACGCAACCTAAATATATAGCTAAATTGTGTTCCCTCATTCCCACACAATTTATCAATTATGGAAATTTTGAAAGTGGTAAAACTCTAAATTAATATCTGCTGTAATACCACACCAAGTATCTTAATTTTAGCCTTCCATTGAATTTTTTACATAGGACGCCGTAGGATTTCTCCTCATGTCACTAATGGTTCAAATTAGTAACTCTCTCACCTTCCCGATTGATCCCCCGCAGCAACAATATTACGAAAATGAGTTGGGCGATCACACCTTTGATGGCCAAAGTGCCGTACTTGGGGGACTCTTAGGAGGTATGTACATATCTCCAAATAATTGTTGTGAAATCTACATAATTTCGTAATTAAATGTACCCCAAATTTTATTTTAAAAGGTGGAATTGCCGCCGCCACTGGTGGTTTTGTCAGTCCCGAATTTAGTTTGGCGTTTGGCGCATTTGGTGGAACAATTGGTGCGTGATCATTGCTCACTTAAATAAGCTACACAGTTATTATCAGACTTGATTTAATTTTCAGGAGGGGCAATTGGAGCATTCGAAGAAACCGAGAGAAATGGACTGTCCGTGATTGGAGGAGCAATAGGCACGTGCATTTATAAAGTTATGATTTTGTATACCGTTGTTCGATCGCAATGCCAAGTTTTACGTATAATGAAGCAATTCATGTTGGTAACTTGTAAAATTTGTAAACCTTATAAAATAATTTTACAAACTTTTATAAAATTGAAAGACGCCATTGATCTGAGTAAATTTACCAAAATTTGTAAGCTAGTTTTCCTCACAAATCTTCGTCATTTTTGTAAAAGTTTGTTAGTTTACAGAATTTATAGACTTTGCAGTGTTACATACCAAGGACTGCATGAATTGACTCAATGTTACCTTACTATTGTGTACATATGTATCATACATATAGCTATGGACAAAATATCCTATTTTTGCATACAATATTTATTAAGGATCACTCACTTAACCTAAGATATTTCATAATTTATGTGTTTAGGTGGAGCCTTAGGGGCCGGAGCAGGTGCCATGTTAGGCAACAAAATTCGCGAATCTGGATGGTTTGGTTTTGCCAAACCAGACGCAGCTTTCACTCTACCTCTTAGCAATTTATCCAACGCAATCCCAAACCCACTTAACCTTGTCTCCTCTAAACCATTGGAATCCATTGAAAAAGCAGTGCCGCAACCTTTAAAGGAAATTGCCGCCAAACCCCTCGAAATGGTCGGCAAACCGGCAGAGGTTCTCGAAAAGCCTTTGCAAGCGGTCGGCAAACCGGGAGAAATTCTATCAAAACCTGTGGAAGCAGTCGGATCTGGCCCTGCAAAAATTTTGGAGCCACTTAAGGCCCTGCCCAACCCTCTCAGTTTTGGGAAGAGATCAATGGTCGATGGACTCACACAAACGGCCGGTTTGGCGACATCTCTCGCAACGGGGGATGGAATTTTGAAAGCATTGTTTAAGCCGTTGTACGGTGCAGCAATTAGTGGACTGTTTGGCGCCTTAGGAGGTGGCCTTGGCGCCTACATAGGAGCCTGGGGATTTGATGTGATTAATAATTTGTTATAAATTCAGAATATGAGTATGAATTGGAACGAAATGTGGTAATCATGTGATAAAAATATATAGTGTATGTCATCATCAATTATTGTAGATGTATTTATTTGATTTTCAGTTAGATTTTAATTATACGGGAAAACAGTGATGTTATCAGTGACATGCTTTTAATTTAAAAAAATATTTAAAAATTAATCTTAGGTTATATGCATATTGTATACAATTATATGCATACATAGGTATGTACATATGTATGTGGAATTTTCAGTACAATACACTCGTAAAATGATTTTATTGTTAGGTGAAAAACTCATTAATTAAGGTTCATGATTAATCTTCATATATGTATCGATTAAAAATAAACACTCTCTAAACTTAATTAATGATAAGTATTTTCAATTTCGGCCAGGCAAGTTTATTGTACAAATATTCTGCTGTGAGAATTTATTTTTATTACCATACATACATAAACAGTAATCCGTATTTCTAACATGCCAATGCTAAACAAACTACATACTTTGAAATTAGATGTATTTCCAAAGCGCAGTTTACAGGTCATGTTTTTCACGTGAAATCAGCTTGGCGTGAAAATTTCACAAAATGGTTCTCACGTCAACGGTGAAAACAACGCGTAATTTTCACTCGAGTGAAATTTTCACTCAAACTCGATGAAATTTCCGTGAAATGCTTGTACATTATTTCACGTGAAAAGTTCGGTTATTGGTCATATTGTATATTGTTGGCATAACGACAACATTACAACGTTCAGGGAAAGCAATATAAATTTTCAAATTAAAGTAAATAACCGATAAAATGATCATGGTTACCATGTTTCACTTAAAGAAATGACTACTAGTAATGTCAGATTTAAAATTATGACCTGTAAACTGAGGTATGGAATTTGCGTGAAATGAACTTATTTCTCGCAAATTTCATTCAAATTTCATTTTGTTGATGCGATGAAATTTTCACGGCAATTTCATTCAGCGCAAATTATTGACCTGTAAACCTTACTTAAGGCTGAAGAATTTTTAGAAAATCCCAAGATGATTACCTAAATATTTGTGAATGTATGTACCCTTACAGAACTTTTTCCTTCGATAAGTTACATATCTCTATTTTGTCTTTATTTATTTTCACGTCCAGCAGGTATTGTCAGGATCACTTAAGGAGACAAATACATTTTACCCCAACTTTGTATCGCATCTTGCCCTACGAAGAGCAACAAATTAATCGTATACGTCATCACGTAAACGATATATGCTGATTTAGAGCTCCTCCCAAATCGGTGCACCTTGACCCCACCAACTTCTGCGTACAATCTTAACACCGGCAATGACCTTATCCTCCGCTGCACAATTACCCGACTCCTCTTCGGCAACAGGGTGCTGTACATCTGCATCTTCCTCAAGACATCACCCGACCCATCCGGGATGTACTGGAGACACGGCAACTTCAAATACATGAGGGCATGCGTCGTACTGGCCGCACTGGGAAAAACGAGATACAACCAAATCGGCAAAATTGAGAATAACCGGATTGTAAAGAAGTTGCAAACAACCCCAGTAATTAACCCGGTAAAATTCAAACTGCACGCTGCACACCCGTGAAACCCGTCCATGCTGATTAAAATAATTTGCAAATGCCGATACACAGACTCCATCCGATTTCGGGATGATATGAACTCTATCGGAGTGCAATATGACTCCTTCAACATGAAACCGATACAGTTTCGGAACATTCGGTACATGCTGATTTCCAGTAAAATGCTGAAAACTACGTTTCTACAAGCTTCAAACAAGGCTACAGCGATGGTCAAGAATCGGAACGAATTAACAACTTTGTCATGCTCGGATTCATATTTTATCAAAATGGGGTGAAAAGCATCCAGCTGAAAAGCATATGCTGCAAAAACAACAATTACAGCGTTCAGAGATAAACTATCCGACACGTAGTGCATCCATTTCCAAAGGCGGGATTCGACAAGGTCTTCTTCTCTAGTTGTTCCGTAATCTGTGCATCAAAATTTGAAGTTTAGAAATAAAAACATTCACAAAAACTATAAATTTTGGAACACTCCTTATGATTTTTTTTTCAAATCTATGTATCTCAAACCCAACTTTGGCCCAATTAAAAATTTTGAGTTTAAGAATAAATTCGCAAAATATTTAAGGATTGTGTGAAGCAAATAATTTTTGGGACACCCTTTACATATTTTTCCAAATTTACTTTTAACCCCGCTTTATTTACCTCGCACAATATTCAGGAGCGAATTCCATCCAGCCACAAAATCCCGTCCGTACATGACCATCGCGAAACTTAGAGAAATTGTGCAAATGGCGCAAACGCACTGTAGCCCGTAAAGAAGAACCAGTGGCGCCGCAACGCGGTCGCGACCCATCAACTGGGAAACCAAGAGATACAAGAGTGCCACGATATACCCTCCCATGATGAACACGCCATTGAAATACCAAACATGTAAACTTTTGTTCCCGTATTCCCGGAAAATTACTCGCTTTCTTTGAACATCATATTTTATCGGAGGAATTGAAAAGTGTTGCAACCTTGAAGCGTATTTCGAAAATGTATTAAGCATTTGATTCGTATCCATGACGACGTCGCACTTAACAAGCACAGTCAGCGATGAAGAAATGGATGCAAGTTAAATATTTCCTTTATTAAGTACTGGCTGACTGGAGGACATAAATATGAATGTATTTTAGCATTTCATTTGTATGAAGGATACTTAATGTGATTACCCTGTCCGTACGTAGATAAGCACAATCATATAACCCACGAAAGTGTTGAATTTTCTAAATTATGTATACATATGTAAATATTTCCCGTTATCGATGCCTAATTTTAAAGGGGACTTGGTTTTTGTGGCGGATATTCCCATGAAAATTCAACCTGAAATATAGACACTTTGCTTCCGCTGCTTCATTATTACCGCTGTTTGGTAAGCAATAGATTATGATGCCATTAATTGAATAAATTCAATTAAAAGAAGGAGACATGAAACGTAATAAATATGCTCAGGAGCTCATCACGCAAATTTATTAAGCATTTTAATTAAAAAACAAGTGGTGATCAAAAGTCATGTAATTATGTATGCCATATGGCCAACAAAGAATATGATTTCATCTGGACTAGATGTTTCATGTATATTTCTTATTTTTTAATACATTTATTTTTTACCAATTGATCACGGCATAAATTTTCAAGTTTCAGTGTACCAATACAGTCCTTAGATTTATTTAAGTAAGTATTCCAATTCCTTTTCAAAATTTTTTACGAATAAATCAGCCTTCTCCTCGCTATGAAGGGTCTGCACGTCACCGGAAACCTTGATTTGAAGTTTTCCACGAATTGATGACACGTATACTCCGAGCACTTCAAATAGGAAAGTAGGAAATAATATAAAGTTCATCAAATGTAATAAATGATTAATTACAAATTTCTTAAGGGGACGTCCATAAATCATGTCACGCAAAAATTCCCACTTTTCACACCCCACCTCTACCGCCCTCTTTTTTACATGTGGCGCAAATTGAGCTGTCCGCAAAACTTACATTGACGTAATTTATGGACATCCCCTAACTTCGAAACTCACCTTTCGCACCGGCCTGTGCACCGAGAGTTACGTTGTACGAAAGGAGCTCATGTCCAGCAACGTCACTTTTTCCCTTTGGTCCAGCCAAATTTGAAACAGTGATTACTGAACTATTCGCGCCACGTGCGAAGATGGAATCAATTAGGGATCGAGGAAGACATCCAATAAGCTTCAAACAAAGCGCAATAACGCCTGGAAGGGTGGACCCCTTCAACTTTTCAACCTCTGCGTGAACCTGCTTCAACCTGGCGACTGGATCAGGATTTGCGAGTCCAATATTTAGAAAGCCCATAGTACTGAAAAATAATGACACATTCTTAATAATGATGTATAAAATTTACTCAAAGTTGAGTAAAATATGGAGTGGCATAACAATTAGGTAAAATCTATTCAATCTAACTGATTTAATTTCGAATTTTACCGAATTTCTGTCATTCTGTAAATATGTTACTCAGTCACCCTTCAGTAAATTATATGCATATTTATTTAGAGAATACTCAAGATAACGTCTTATTTCGCATCGCCACTCATTTAGCAAACTTGGGAAGGTCAAAAAATTGTGCCATAAGGGAATTCGCAAAATATGCTTCGGAAATCTGGCAAACTTAAAAAAAATACGTATTTTGGTGTTGTTTCCATGGATTTGTGTAATTTCTTTTTCTGGTGATTATGATTTTGTGAAATAATTTGGGATTATGCACATTTGCTGGGCAAATTTGCGAAAACACGGTTTTTCCATTTGAGAAATGCCTCAAAACTTCGCAAATTATGTTGCTATGCTAAATTGTCAGGATATTCAAAGCTTGACGTGAGTACACCCAATACAAGAATTTATCTGAGAAATTCCATAAAAATGATTTCGTCATACAAACTGTTTTCCAACTTTGCCCCAGCACTCGGCAGCGGGAGCGGTGTAGTGATCAACACCGATCCAGGGATGTGAGAACCCGGGGTAAAAATAGAATTTCTCACGGCACCAGCAATTGCCGAAAAAAGTACGGATGTCCCCGAGACGCCGTAAATCTCCTTGATTTTACTAAGATTGCTGACATCCACGAGTTTCTCCGCCTTCTTGACGATGACACCCTCTCCACGAGACGCCCCATGTAACGGTCCTTTTTTAAATTTAGCGCCCTCCTCGTAAACTTTTCTCCACGTTTCGTTTAGGATCAAATCTGCCAAGAATTCGGCCAACTCTTTGGGAACTCTGAGCGAAAATTTGACCCATTTTACCACTTGGCCAACCCAATATGACTGTTTTTTACTGGTCAAGCCGTGCAGGTAGTCGCGCGGCTTGATGAAATTAAATTCCTCCGCGGTGTCACTCATCTGCTGAAACGTTCTGAGCAAGTTGAATCCATCCGTGAGAACGTGGTGCCCCAGAAATATTATTCCGAATTCGGGAAGTGATGACGGTTTAGAATCATCGGAGATGAGATTGGGTAAGATGATGATCTCCCAGACAGGTTTATCGTGGCGAAATGGGGTATAAGTAAGTTTTTTAGTTAGCTCTTCCGCAAACTTGAGAGTGCAAGTGAAATTTTCTGAAAAATAAGAAAATAAATGTGTTGAAATTCGCAAAAATTGGCTATTTGCAAAAATGGGGAGCTTGTGAACTCAGGTTCTTACACTACATTTTCACTCAAACGCTAAATTTGTCATTAACATAAATGAGAAACTTCGCGCTTACGTGAGAATCTACTATAGCGTAAAAACCCTTAAATCGCCGTTCATAAAGTATGGGGGAGGGGAGGTCCTAATTCGCAATCTCCTTATTAACTAATAAATTTTACAGTTAAAATCAAATTATTTTATTATCACCATCATTTTGATAAGCGTGGACGTTTTCTTGTTCGTCGAAGGTGGTCAGCCTCCTCCAAAACGGATAGCCACACCAATGCACTACATTCTGAGATAGCACCGGATTCACTAATTTTCCGGTTTTCGGGTCTCGTCTGTTAAAAACTCGTTCCGTAAGAACCCTCCGAATTTTTTCAATATCCGGCGGACCCCGTAACGTTAACAAACACGCCGTCGAATTAATTCTACCTTCGCCCCTATAAATGTCTTCAGGCCCTTGCGCTGCACTTAATGGCGCAACAGGAGCGTCAAATTCGTCCCTCTTAAGTAATTTTGCCGCAATAATGATTGCCTCCCTGTAAATAAGGAACGGAATGGAAACAAAAATTACGACAGGAATTAAGAAGAAAACCAAAATTATGGAGAGGAAAATCGAAAATACGACTCGAGACGGAGATCGATTTTCCATTTTTGTCGAAATTTTTAAATAATTCAGTAAACTAACAATACGAAGTGGTGAAGTCGTAAGTGCAAAAATATGACTAATATTGGTGGAATTAAGAGCCGAATAATTAATACATGTGTAAAATTCTTACCGAAGATGACGACGATAAAAGCGTGAGAATTTCCAGTTTGTAGTGTTGCTTTATTTAAATGTAGCAACATTACGAAATAGATATGTACATATGTATGTACAGCCTTGGTACAAATATAACTGAAGACCAGTTTGCAAAGTATGTTCCTAATCCACTACAACATTAATAAAAACACGTGGAACACAATTTTCACACAGGATCATGTTCATTGGCCGCGGAAGCGTGGGAACAGAGGGACAATGTCTCCACGATTATTCGAAGTTGCCATCATCTGCCCAAATAATTTATACCCCTCCGTTTTCCTACAATGTTAATATCCCCAAGTGTCCCCACGGCTTCCGCGGCCACTGATATAAACACATATTAAATCCGTATTTAACAAATTGTACCTAGTTAAAATCCTGCTTTCCGCTTCCATAAACTCATTAAGACGGTCCAGTTAGCAGTAAACTTTACGTTATGTTTCTTACCATAATTTTCTTCAACATCTTCATAGGAACGCTGTGGTCAATTTATCAGCAGCGTTTCACATCAAGGGCGAAAAAATTTAATAAGTTTCCCGGCGCCCCAATTTATCCCGTGGTTGGGAACGTATTCGAAGTGCTAGGAGACCTTGATGGTAAGAAAGAGATCGATCAAATTTATTGGAGATATTCACGTCAACTTCATAAAAATTGTTCATAAATGTCACTTGACTATATATTTTCTCAACTTTTTTGATTGCGAAGAATTGTCCTATTTTTTGCAAAATAAGCTACGCAAATTGCCATCGTCGTACGCGATTTTTCGCAAACTTGTCTTCAACTGAATTTTCATTTCTCGCCTTATTTTCAGTGTATGTATGTATTTTCATTTAAAATAAGGCGTTACTAAATTTGCAAAGATGTATTGCGAAAAGTCGTTTTTAACTATACAAAATATTTTTCAGGGGTGATTGAACGAGTGAGTGAGTACATTTCAAAATATGGGCGATGCTGTCGTGTCTGGCGGCTTAATGCGCCCTACATTGTTGTGGCGGAGCACCGAACGACTCACCAGCTCCTCTCGTCCGCCACCCATATCGAGAAGGGGTTGGACTATGACGTCCTGCGGAAAAAGTTTGGCGACGGCTTGCCATTCTCGCAAGGTCCGATATACTAAAATTTTATATATAAAATAATTTATATATTTGTTTATTTCGATCAAAATAATTAGGCGACAAATGGCGACAGGATAGAAAACAGTTAAATGGAGGCCTCAAGCCAGGAATGTTTGACGGATTTTTAAAAGTTTTCAACAAGCATGGAAAGAATTTGAGAAATGAGCTGGGCAAAATTGAGGCAAATGTGGCGACGGATTTGCACCTTCTTTTATCTCAGTGTGCACTAGGCATAGTTTATGGTGAGTAAATATGCGTACAGTTAATAAAACAAGGTTTAAGGCGTGTTTATAGTTCACGTAATTATCATTTCATTCATGTAAATATGTCGAATTTTCATTGGCTGGAAAACAACAAGGGTGTTCATTAAAAGTTCGCATGTTCGTGTCGTGCATAATTTTGAAAACAATTTTGCGAAGTATATAAATCATAGCGTTGGAGATGCTCAAATTAATTTCCAAAAAATTATTTTTTGAGATGTTGCCAACTTTGATTTTTTGTTCATGATGTGAACTCGTAGTGAATACCCCAAATAAATATCATGAACACATAAATTCTGGCGAATCAAAAAAATCGAGGTGAAATGATGCATAATGACGTGAACTATAAACACGGCTTTACTTATTTCTGACAACAATGCTCCATCTTCTCAAAAGAATCTCTCCTCGGCCGGAAGAATATTTCTGCAAGTGGAAAGATAGAATCAGACTCGGAGATTGCGCAAAGCATCAGGAAAAATGCGGATAGCGTAAAGGGCTCCCTGCTAAACCCATGGAGGGTTCTAAACTGTTTATCAAAATTAACTAGACGAAAACGCGACGAAAAAAACAGTTTCAATGGGAAAGTAATAAAAGAGGTTTTGCAGGTAAGCAGGAATTTACAATGCGGAATTTCTGTAGTTCAAAATTTATAATTTTCTGTTTAATTAGTACATCAAAGAAAAGAATGAGACAGAGGGAGAAGAAGACGGGGAAATTAGATGTTTGCTGGATATTCTTCTAGAGACACCTCGCAGCATTCAAGATATTGCTGATCATGTCAAAAACTTTTTGGCCGCGGTAAAATCTCGACTAATTCCTTAATCTCACTGTGCCCATAATGCTAAATCTCCCTGGACTATGATTTAATAACCACATCTGATAGGAATTATCTAACTTCCTATATGATTTCATATAAAAGACCATAAGTACTTTCAACCAGTTTCCAATTTCAGATTAATTTTTACCAGAGCACAAAAAAAATCAACTATTTAACTTTTTAACGTTGATTGATATAGGGAAAATTCCAAAAGTTCAGAACAAAAGTTAAAAAAAATCATTCGTGTACCTAGAGCTTTCCACAGAAAAAATACTCCTAGTTTTGAAAATTTTTTAGAAATCTGCATTGCTTTTTGATACACGATATGATTTAGTATCTTCGGGACGTGTTTTCAAATACATCGTATTGGTCGCAGTGAGGTTAAGCAATGTATTTAGTTCAACATACGAAACCCTAAAATTTAATCCTATCTAATCAGGGGTCAGATACGACCAGCAACGCTTTGAATTTTACCCTCTATCTCCTCGCGGCTCATCCTCTCCATCAAGACATAGTGGCACAAGAACTTTGCAGAATATTTGGAGAACAGGGCATCCAAGATCCAATAAGTTTTGATGATTTGAAGGAAATGCACTACTTGGAAATGTGTATTCGAGAATCGCTTAGAATATTTCCACCCGTGACCAACATTACAAGGAGGATTAAACAGGATGTTAAACTAAGTTGGTTTCGCGAGACCATTTTTTTGAATTTTGACTTTAATGAATGACAAACATAACTTTAATTAGATTGGTGCGATCTAACAATTCCCAAAGATGTTGACGTGAATTTCAGCATCATTCACTTGCACAGAGATCCAGAAATATTTCCAGACCCAGAGACCTTCAATCCTCTCAGGTTTACAAAGGAAAATATTGCTCAAATGCCACCCTCTGCTTGCATTCCGTTCTCGGCAGGAATTCGAAATTGCATTGGTGAGACACATAATTTATTGGTTAAGTTAAGTACTAAGGATGGTATTTTCAAACTGTTTAAATTCCGCTCACGTTAAGCTTGCGAATTTTTATCAGTTTTCGTTCAACTTAAGCTCAAAATTTGAGTTAAATAAAGGGATTCCATAGCTGACTCCTGTCCCTCAAATTAAAACTAAGAGGGCGGAGCAATCTCAAAATCTCATTAATACGAAATGGGAAACACGAAATGTATTTGCATGCCAAAAATTTAACAGAATTTAAGCAAATCGCCTTTTCGCGGGAAAAGTCATCCTGAATAGTAGGCTTTATTAATTGATTTTAGTTTCTAATTTATGTATTTCATTAATATTTGTTTGCGTGCTTCTTACACCTTTTGAATTTTGTTTCCCTTAGGACAAAAATATGCCATGATAGAGATGAAAGTCATCCTAGCCTTGGTGCTTTCTGAGTATGTTGTGTCCACCAATGTTCCCCAGAAAGATGTCCGTGTCACGTACGGATTCATCACCGGACCAAGCCAACCTCTTTATATGACACTAACGCCAAGAAAAAAAGTCTAAATATACATATTTTAATAAGTCTAATGTATTTAAATTTTTGTAAATTGAAATACGTTTCCCTAAATCATAAACCAATTAGTCATATTTAGATATTGAAAAAATACATATTACATAAAAAATTAATAGTCGTGTAGCTTTTGTTCTATTAAAAATCTGGTAGAGTCACATATGTACATACTCCGTTCTGGTATAGATTTGGTAGTAATTTCCTACCAAATTGGCAACCTCGGATTCTATTTCTTACCAGATTGGCAGTACATATCTAGTTTCTTTCCGAATGATAAATACTGCAATTCCCCTTGTTATCCTTCTGGTAGAGTCACAAACATGTGTCAGTAATGATTTAATACCAGTTTTCTAATACTGTATAGTATGTGCATACACATATATATGTACAAACATATATACTTGCATTTAAGCCACGTGAAGTAACTTTTGACATTAAATGTAAATATGTAGCAAATCTTGATTATTTATCACTGTCACGGGGACATTATCTGCATAAATATCTTGGGAATTATACAAGGACAAGTGAGCCAACAAAAAACTTGTGAATATTGTTGAACAAATTAATCAGATATGTATGCTCTGGAACTTAACTCAATACCATGAAAATATAAAAATCCACATTTTCCTCATTATTTTTTCTCCTTTTAAACAAGTTAGAAAGGGATGGGAAATCTTTAATCATCATAGGGCGGATATGTATGTACTTAAATTCCTCAAAATATGTATGTAATATGTGCTTAAAAAACAGGAAAATATGCATATAAAACATATTTGTCTATTGCAATTTTCTACTGTATTTAAATTTAATTGTCCAAAACTTTCAACTTTTTAACACTCTTATAAACGAATTATTAAATATATCATTTTAATCTTCATCTAATGACCCATAATGCGACATTAGTTACATTTGGAGATTTTCAGGGGTAATTTTTTGACTTGAAAAATGGGGCAAACTGGATTTTCTAGTAGTTCACATGAAACCACCCTCATGATTATCATGAAAATCTAATTTTGACAAAACTTTAATTTCTCAATAAAGAAAAATATTTTCACATAAAAAACCTCGAAATATGTATTCAAAAATTTATTTTTAGAAAAAGGCTCGAATATGTAGGAAAATATGTGTATGTGCGAAAAATAACTCAAAATATGTATGAAAATATGTATATGTACGAAAACCCTAAAATATGTGAAATATGGAAAACAATGTTTGAATTTTTGAGATCACGCTTCGATGGGATGACAGTACACAAAGCTTTAGTACGATCTGATTTGATATGAAAAAGTTAGATATACATACATATCCGCCCTCTGTTAATCATAAAGAAGTTTTTAATCCTTCATCATTAATATGTAGCAAGAACCTTAAGTAATCTTGTGCAATCAGTACTAAAAAACAAGCAAAAAACCAATAATGCAGTATTTGCACATCTTCTCTTTCTTATCACATATGTATGTATAAGTATGAAATGAGATAATTGTAAATACTTGTAAATACTGTCCCATATCAGGTGAAATAGAACTACCCTATGTTTGATAATAAATAATAAGTAATAATTTTTAATTAAGGGAAATTACACAGAATTAATAAACGCCTTTCATTATCGAGTTAAATTTACACCACTGGTATTTATTTACTGAACTTCCCTCGTATGATAAGAGACAGGGTTATTAATTATTAAGAAATAGATTGAAGCAACACTGGAAATTACGTATTAAGTAAATAGTTACCTACGTACATATGCACATATGTATTTGGTTCTTATTTATCAAGATAATCATTCACCTTTTCCACATATTTAGGTACTATTCGTTTTAGACTCTCCATCCACCCAAAAGAGCTTTGGATCAAGCAAGTCCGACGTCGAAAAAAGGCGTCCAGACACGACGTCCAAAAATTATGTTAGCCGAGTTAGCCGAATTATCCTATTATTTAACAACAGTTTATTTTATGTTGGCGTTCAAATTATTCAATTCGTGTCAAGAATTCGGGTAATTGAATGGCTTCTACGTCAAAATAAAATAAGCTGGTGTTAAATAATAGGATAATTCGGCTGACTCGGCTAACATAATTTTTGAGCGTCGTGCCTGGAAGCCTTTTTTCGACGTTGGACTTGCTTGATCCAAAGCTCTTTTGGGTGGATGGAGAGTCTAAAACGAATAGTACTATTTACATATGTAGACTTGTCGAAACTTGCGACCTAATAGCTATTTTTCTGTGAGACAGAGAAGTTAGGTCTTGACAAAGGCACGAAATTATATTTATTTTGAAAATTTCCGCAGAAATTGCCCCAGAAACTTCGTGGGCAAAAATTCATGAAGCAATATATTATATTTTATTCCATACTGAAACAATTTTATACAAACCTAACATATTTCTCGTGGCAGGGATCTCATATGATAAGCAGTCGCTGATAGACAAAAATGCTTAAAAACAAACACTTGCGATTAGGTCCACAGCACCCCGCATAGTCACAAAGTTGTAAAAACGACCAAAAATACGTAATTCATTAATCTAATATAACAATAACAAATTGATCATTTGGACCGTGCAAAATTCTTGCAAAACTAATGGAGTAAGTCCATCCACAAAATTCTGACCAAACCTCACTTTCAATGGAGTCAGAGACGCTAAGACTTTTCTATTAACACGATTTGTTTCTCCCGATTTACAATCTCGCAACCATTTCACGCTTCCCGTGTAGATCATACCCGCCCCGGAGAAGAAGAACAGCGTGAACACCGTTACCAGCGTGGTTTCTGCGCAGATGAATGCAAATTCTAAGATGTTCATCCCCTCACGAAGACGGATGCATGCAAATCCCCCAAGTATTTCAACTACTGGGCAAAATGAGACGATCACGGGGAAAATGCGACCTTGGACGCAGGAATTGAACAATTTTTCGTAGATCTGAAGCTCTCTGTACTTCCGGGTCAATTTCAGCTCGGTAATGGCATACAGTTTGGACGAATCGAGCCACAAGTGGAGCATACCCGCGAAGAGGAGACACCCTGTAAAGACGCCCATGGTAAGGGTCATGTAGTGAAAAGCGGCAAATTCAAGTGTTGCCAGGCCAAGGCGCTCAAGCGGACTTGAAATCTGGCAGGAACTTGGTGCGAGTAAGATTGAACCCAAGAAAGGTTGTTGGCATGGGATAAAGAAAACTAATGAGGCGATAACAGCGGGAAATGCGAAGTATCCAATGTCCATGGCGAGGAAGAGGAGAACGGTGATGTGTTCGATTATAGGGTTCGAATCTACACGAAATAATTAAATGCAATAAATTTTAAGCGTTATCAGTGCCTGATTTCTCATTTCTGATTTCATATTTTCGTAATTTTTTGCAATGCATTGTAAACACATAAGCGCCACCTAGTGGCTCACCCACTGTACAATGCTCAATCAGCACGGGAAACACTACAGTAGGTCATAAATGTTGACTCATTAGTGTATCATTTCTTGCAATTTTGCAGCATAAAAAACGTTTGCAAAAAACTGCAAGACATAAATATGCGCCATCTATCGACACGCCCTACGAACTATCGCGGCGGGAAGTAGTTTCTTCGCCTTGCATTACTTGCAGGTCAAAATATCTGCAAGAAACCACTTTATCGCCGTTATTTCTTGCAAGTGGCAAGTGGAATACCGTAAAACCTCTATTTATAGCACTCTTCTAATTATAGCCGGTCTCCAAATATAGCCGGGTCTAGAGACCAAGATTTAAAAATTTTAGCCGGGTCTCTAATTATAGCCGGGTCTCTAATTATGGCCTGTCTTGTCCACGGTGTCCCCGTTCACAACCCATGCAAGAAAAATGTTACACATTATGCCAATCAACGAATAAGTTGAACTACTAATTTTTTCCTATTAATTTCAGGTTAATAATGGATATAATCATGACAGAAAATTTAAAAAAAAACTTGCTAAACTTCGTTTCAAGATGTAGATTAAAAGTGTATGGGTTACTTATGGCTAAATTAGAAAACTCAAATTGAGTCAAAATGAATTATATTTGATGCTGTAACATCTAAAATTTTTGGAGCAACAAAATTTAGCCGGGTCTCTAATTATAGCCGGTCTCTAATTTTAGCCGGGTCCGTGACCCTCAGTTTTGGATTTTAGTCCCGGCTATAAATAGAGGTTTTACGGTACACCCTAAACAATGTCATCAAATCTTACATACTTGATTTTCCTTCTGGAATGACAGTTCGCTTCGTGATGATATTCAAGACCTGCGGGATGCCTGGATGCGCCTCCCAGTATAATTCGAATACCAGCGCGCCAACATAAGGCAGGCTGAATAGGGCAGCGTTTAGCTTCGTCACCCGGTCCGACATGACATTATGCCACACAATTCCGTACAGCTGAACCGCAACGTAGATCAGATATATGGCGAAAGTTGCACGATCCAACAATGCGGACCGTCCCGTTCTGCAGGTCACGACTTGCATATTTTTGTCAAAGGTGAATGACAACCAGCAAAATCGGTCGGCCCGAGAGAAAGTTCGTTTCAAAAATGGGAGCAGGATTCTTGACAACATTTCCAACTTTAGTATCGCAAAAAATGTCAAAAAACGGGACAGGATGTTGTTAAATCTATCTTTGAGTTAAATATTCGCAGTGGGATCCTCTCCCAAACTTATTTATGAATAGAAGCTTAATTTCATTTCCGTCAAGGATTCCACAAGAACGTTTTTGTGTCTGGGTTAATATTTATCCCTGATTACAAGGTATGCATTGCCAGATGATAACCCCTGTACTTTATTTAACACCATAATCAGGTTTTTAGTTTAGAAATCCTTAGTAATTAAGGATTCGCTGAATTTAATGACATGGAAAGGGTTGGATCGTCCAGGAAGCTTCGTATTTATTTATGGATGTTCGAACATGTTGAGTATGTAAAATTAAAGTATGAATGCATATAAGTAGGTATGTATAACGGCGCATGTAAATATATAAAATATTTAGAAATAGGTACAGAGCACACATAATATTTCTATTTCTGCATGTAGTCAGTGGCCGCGGAGGCGTGGAGACAGAGGGACAATGTCCCAAGGGCCGTTTGATGTCTCCATCGTTATATAAACCCTTCCCACTCCTAGATATCCTACAATGAAAATACATACATATCCTCAGGTGTCCCCACAGCTTCCCCGGCCAATGTATCTCTGTAGTTAAGTTATAATATACATACACATTGCTTAATATAGGATACCTAGTTATGTATTATTCGATTGTATAATATTGAATAATAAACAATACAATTTAGTTTATTCCAGACGAAACTATGGAAATCTTCCTTGTGGCGAGACACCAGCCAAAAATAAATAAATTTCACGTTTAGTTATTAAACACTTAACACCGATAAAGCATTGTTTTATTTATTCATTATCGAATTGGACGATTTCGCTATGTGGCACAATATTAATTAAATATTTATGTTTTGTTCACGGTTTATGTAAATACATGCATACGCTTCATGTATTAAAAATATATATAAAATTTTCATAAATGCACATAAAACGATTTTGCTGCCAAATCATTCATTGTTGCGAAAATATCAATACATTATTAATATTCAAACAATTAAATACCCTATTAACAAACACTCCAATTACACACAAGTACATATGAACGTATCCTATGGTTTACACTTTAAATATTTTAACACTTTCAACTACTTCGAGATACACCTCGTCCCCTAAATTCAAATCCGCCCTTCTTCCCGCGTCTTCCCCCCTAATTTCCTTCACAAAGCCCAACTTTTCCCCTAACTCGACCCACTGTTTAACCTCTGCCGTCCTCGCCTTATCCCGCGCTCCCTCCATAACCGCGTATTTCACTAAATTAGGAAAAACGGCCAACACCCTGTCCCAAAATTGGGTGGAATCCTTCCACTCGAAACACTCACAGTGACCGAATCGCTTCCCACACTTTCCCACACACTCCTCTATTCTCATCAATTTAAACTTGTCCCCGGGGGAAGTGCGACATCAAAGTATTTCACACTCTCCCCCTCGAATTACTCTCGTGCAGGAACGAATTGTACAAAAACGACGCGCCCGTTTCGAAATATTCCTGTTCGGTCAAGGTGCTTCGATACCCACAAATATCTTCCCGTGAAATCTTGATCATTTCCAAAACGGGGAACTGAACCTCATAATCTAACCGCCGAAAGCTATCAGCCCCCTCAAATTTCAGACAAATGCATGGCGTCACATGCGGCTCCCGGTAGCCTTTGCCCGTGGGATTTAGCATTACTTCGAAATCCCTTAGTTTACCCATTATCGGAAAAACTATGGCGTTATGTTCGATAATATCGGGCAGACTGCGAAACAGTCCATAATTTTGCAATGCGAAGAGCTTCACGTGTTCTATCGTGCTGGCGGCCATTTTAAGCAGGGCAGAACATCCCGGCGGCCCGCCCCAATTATTCCCTAATTCTAGCCGGGTGAGATTTGACAGGTTTTGTGGCATGGGGGCGGGTAATATGTCGACATTGATCAACCTTAAAGATGTCAAAGTTCCCGCGAAATTTAGAAGGTCTGGGTGATAAATTTTCAGTAATGAGAGGGTGACAAGATTTGGAAATAGCGGGATCAATTGGGGCATCATTGAGACAAGTGTTGCCTTAATTTCTTCCTCTTTGGAACGAACTGATTTCGAGTTTAGTGAGTTTCGGGAAGGAATACGGTCTTGGCGGGATGTTCGATTCATAGAATGAATTGCCTTGGTTTGAGTTATTCTCTGAAGTGTTGGATACATTTAATGTGAGAGAATTAAGGGTCGGGAAAGCATTTGCGACAGATTCGAAATACTGGGGCCACTTGTCGTTCGGCAGGACAAAATCTATTTCTAAGGTTTTCACTTTGTGGCCATGCTTGAAAATAAGAGATGCTAAGGGACCCTGGAAAGTGAGGTTTTTGAAGTCATGCAGCTTCATATTTCTGGGGCAGTCTTCTCTCTTGGTGATAATTTCTTCGTACTTGGCGAGATTTTTTGGGGTCAGAATATACCGGCGGACGACGAAGAGACGTTTCCGGACTGCATGTTCCCACGTGGTGTTGATCAAGGTGCACGAGAGTAGGTCGGGAGAAAGGTCGCAATTTTTGCCAAAATCTAAAAAACATAGTGACATTTGTAGTGAGACTGATGGTGGATTGAGCAATTACGGCTTCCTTTGACATATTGAGTAAAGGACCGTCCATTAGTTATTTAATACAAAAACAGCTTTTTATAGACCCCTCCCTCCCCCTTTTAACGTGTGTAAGATAGGCACGATATTATTGGAGACTTAGATCCCCCCTCTCGTGTTACGTAATTAATGGACGGCCCCTGACCCGTTAGTTTACTACAAATTATTCGCGCTTAAAACGGTTATGTACACTGTAACTAATTTGATGTAAGTAAATCCAATTCGGCTTAGGCAAACCAGGTAAATTAACACCGAGCAGTGTGCATACCTACATATGGACAGAAGGCTATACCGCACTGGATTTACGTACACCAAATTATTTTCAGTGTTAGCAAAATTTCAAATAATTCAAATAATTAAGCAGAGTATCGTCCTAACTATTATAATTTAGTAGAGTGAGTATCATCTATTTTAAAATTCATAAGCGTATGCATGTAATAATTATAACTGTACCTCTGGAAGTAGATGGGCGACATGGGGCGACAAATTCATTATTATTTGTTTCACAGTTTCGTTGGAGTCCTTAAAAATATACACTTTACTTATTCAAAATAAATTATGTAAATATGTTGTGAACATTGATATATGTATTAATGTGAATCTAGTTTTTATGGTATTTGGTAGATTATGTCACACCATACATAGTCCAGATTATTCACGATTTAGAAAAAAATATCGGCTTGATTGAGATGCATATAAAAATGAAATGGTGATAAGGTGACATTCTCCCCTATACAAAAATTTAAAACGTTCCGTTGCACGTTAAAAATAACTAGTGGGAACCATCCGTTGTAGAAATATATGCACAAAACCCTTTTCGATAAATATAGATTTTGTTTGTTACTATATGTATATACCTAGTATGTACATATTTATTAGTATTCAATTCTGTCCTACGTCGAAGTGGAAAATTGTACAATTCACTATTCGCCTAAAATATTCCATGCATACAAGAATCATATAACATAGATACCTCATCACGATATCGTTAAGCAAGATATATACACATATCCATGGGTAGGGGGTGTCCATAAATTATGTCACGGTTGAGGGGAGTAAGAGAGTAAAATTTTTCTGCGACAAGCCGTTTTGAGCAACATAATGGAACTTGTGAGAAGTTTTGTTACCCTCTAAATTACTTGGAGACAAATCGTCACCCGCAAAAATGGCAGATGTTCTTTACAAAAAGTCCTAAAAAAGATCGCCTCAGACAAAATTACTTATATTATTCTTTTTCATCGTAATTTTATTTTGTAAGTCTAGGGAATGAAACCTAATTTAAAATGAAGCATTTACCTGATACATATTTCTTCTTCTTAAGACTTACAGGACAAATTTAGCAAGTGTTGTGGTGATGGAAAGGATAGGGAATGGATGGCCTATCTGTAAAGGAAGTGAGATGAAATATTTCTCCCTTTCCAATGGGCAAGGAAGAAGAAAGGGAAACACATGCAGGAAAAGCATGAAATAGCATGGCTAGTTGCCGCGGAAGCTGCGAGGACATCTGGGGACCCATACATTTTATGACAAGGAGGGACGGGTTTATATAGCCTGGGGAGATGATGAGGACATCAAATCACCATGGGGACATTTTTCCTTTGTCCCCAGTAGCCGTTTCCGCGGACTGACCATGGCATCTGAATTTCCACCAAGCTGGGTGGAAATATTGTACCCAATCGTGACTTGCCAGCAGTCTTTACCTGTACTTTTTAGGTAGTGATGAGGTTTGCATAATACGAAATACAAATTTGTACGAAAAATAGATCAATTTTCAAATTTAATTGGATTTCTTTTCAAACTTATTTTTTTGAAGAACGGTAAATTAAATATGTTTAAAATAATATGTATGTATTTGAATATATTTCCATACTGTCTTCAATGTGCATATTGAACCAAAAATATAGATAAAAAATTTACTCACTTCCCAAAACTGTTAAGCGGAAATGAAGGTTAAATATTGAAATTCAACTACATATATTACATATTTTTCCCACAATTCTAATAAAGTAGGACAAATCAGGGAACAAGAATAAAATTTGGGACATCAAATATAGACTGCGATCATGTCCAACATATTTACAGTGGTGTTTTACTCCAGTTCCAGTTCCCATAATAAATATTTATTTACATGCAAATACATATTCCATTCAAAAATATGCATGAATCATTCATGCATATTTTTAATGTTTGCATGGAACCAATCGATACATATATTTAAGCCTGGACCCGGAAATACGGAAGCACATGCATTTGCACATTTATATAAAAATGTTGATTTAACTTAAATTGTGTCAGGAGTCACGTTTGCATTGCATATTATTATTTACACTTGTGGAATTACGGTCGTGTCAGCACGTGCGTTAAAAGTGGTGATATTTACTTATCATCATAATTACAGGTGATTAGATTAAACAAGGACAGGTATATAAATGGGATTGATAAGTGGAGTTGAATATCCAGCGCAGATCAAGTGTTTGAGTCTAGTTTTAAAATATTTAGTAAATCAAAAAAAGTTTTTGCTTAACTTTTAATATTTTGAGATAACTTTTAATATAATAAATTCCTTTACTTAAATTAAATTAAAATGAGGAATACAGTACTACATTTCGTAATTTTGACTATTTTGTTACAAAAATCGGACTCCAAGTCTATAAAAAATTTGGACATCGGCATCAACGTTGACGAAATTGAGAATGGGACAACTTATAAATTAACGAGCATGAGTGACGGCTTGGTAAGAAAATAAATTTGAGATAGAAATTTTAATTTTAATTAAAATTCATATAGAAATCCTGTTCATTTTTCTTTAAATTTGGTTGTATTTTCGAATTTCGACGTCACAAATTTTGATACATGAATTTTTGACATATTTTCTGTGGGTGACGATTTGTCTCCAAATTATTTATTTAGAGTGTGTAAACTACATATACATATATATGTAACAATGTAACATTATGATTTCAGGTTATTACCGTGTTACCGGATGGGACCGTGGTCTCGGATGAATGGAAAGGTCTCGAGGAACAAAAGTGGACCATATTTGAGCATCCGAGCGGTATGTAAATTAGATATGATTTCAGAAAAAATATGACCTTTATATTGAATTTCTTTTCCGCGATCAGACATATTTGCCGTGTTATTTGTCAATTACGCCGTTCCTTTCAATGACTTCAGTGGTTATGAAAAATTGGAGGGGGAAACTCGTCCCATATTTCCGAATCCTCTATACCTGAATAACCACAGAATAATGGCAGATCTGAAAAAGAATGTCATCGTTGGAAACGAGGAAGACGTCCCATGGCAAATACTGGTAGACAATCGCTGGTGTTTGCAAAATGTTGGGTGAGAGAGGATGCATAATTTTGAAAATTTGCAATATTTTTGATCATCTTTATAATGTCAGTATGGTTTTTTTAAATAGCCAATGTGAACCATTTGTCCCATATGAATGCGAGATTGATCCGGCTCCATATCAATTTTGGGAACTGGAGATTGTTCAATGACGATTTGGCTTGATCTCATTACATGATATTTTTTATATTTATACAATATTTGCATATGTAACATGATATTTTTATCTCGATATAACATTTATTTAACACGATATAGTATTTATTATGTAACGTATACCATTGTGAGGCAAATACATATATATAAATTGAAAAAATTATTTCGTATCCTAGTGAATAATGCATCAGCATTAAAAACCTACTATATATTTATGTAGGTGAGATGTCGACTTCACCTTGACAAAGTGGGAAACCAATTTAATTAAGGCTATAAATAAATTTAATTTTAATAGTCTTGTACCACAGAATATGTGCAGATGTATGCTGGATTATTTTCATAGTCGTCAGTCAACTCTACATAAATAAAAATTAACCGTTGTAAACGAAATGTAGCACAGGGGTGAAGCTACACGAACTTGTCTTTATCGCACATCCACATCAGCGACATCCACTTCCTCGTAACTTTCTGTCATTGCCGCACATCACCCCACTACGTATAACTCAGTCTCGCTTTGACACTCCACCCGCGTAGTTTAAATGTACTCGACCACACCTATCGATAGACACCCTACATGACGAAATTTCATGTTCTCGACATTTGATCCTGTCCAGAGGTTCGTCGAAATCAGAAAATCCTCGCCCCAAACTACGTTTACTACGATTGCAACAAAATTCAACATTTCTGACTTTGGCGTTTTCTACACGGCCACGCGGTCATTTTACGTCAAAACCATGTCGATTTTTGAAATCCTCACCATAAACTACGTCTAAAACGGCCGAAACAAACAAATTCGACATCTTTGATCGTTTATCTCATCACCGTGGCACCGTGACCTTATGACTTATAACACCCATCTCCGAACTCGTCCGTAGTTCAAAAATTAGAAATACGTTGGGGAAATCCGCATTTCGAAATTCCAATCCGCTATAAAGTTATCGTGGATACAGACAGACAGGCAGACGGACAAGTCATTTCCATAAAGGGATTTCGCTTCGCTTCACCGCTTAGTAACTGAAATTTAATCAAGGCTGAGTAAAAATAGGATGACGCAACAATTGGGTAAAATTTTCCGCAACGGCTGGGTATATTTTAAGGAAAGCTAGGTAAAATGTGTCCAAGCCTTGCGGAAAATTGTCGTGTCTTCTTCCTACACATTTACCAAATCCTGGTTAAGTTTTAGCTATTTTTATTTAGAGTCGATTCTTAGGTGTTGTACCCATTAACTATATAAGTAAGTACTTCATCCATTTTAATAAGGTGTTCTCTTACGTATTTAAACTAGGACTTCAAAGATATTCGAGATCAGTCTCGTCTTGAATGTCTCAGCCATAACACACCACACGCTGTCAAACAGATATAAGTAGACCCGACTAATTACCGATCCAACTGCACTGCACAAGATTTAAGTAAGATTTTAATTCAAGTTGTATCTAAGTGTGTATAGTATTTACATATGTATCGATATGTATAATCAATCACTTACATATCCTTAGATAAAAAAAACATCTCAATTTATATATTCCTTAAAGTTATACAGAGTACATAAAAAATCACTAAAAATAGAAACAATTAACAAATGCACTTTATTTCATCACAAGATAGATCCATTTTCACATTTACCTTCATGTTTCAAATGTGTCTTGACTATGGCGCAAATTCATATCTTCTTAAAAGTTATAATTATAACTTTTTTTGCAGAACAAAATTTCTGAACGATGGTGTCCCCTCCAGTTTTGGACAGTGTAATCGTAGGTGCAGGCTTTGCAGGCCTGCACACGCTTTGGAAACTGAAGGAGCTCGGTTTTTCCACGAAAGTCTTGGAAATGGGTCCCGACGTTGGGGGAACGTGGTATTGGAACCGCTACCCGGGAGCCAGGGTAGACAGCGACATCCCGATGTATCAACTACCCGTGGAAAAAGTTTGGTCAAGTTTCGAGTGGAGCGAACGCTTCCCAAAAAGAGATGAAATTCTATCATATTTCCATCATTTTGTGGAAACCCTGGATTTAAAAAGGAACATCGAGTTCAACTCCTGCGTCGTTTCGGCCACTTTTGACGAGTCCCGCCATCTCTGGGAAGTTAAAACATCGACCGGAAGTATAACTCTGGCAACCCATTTGATCTTATGTGTAGGATCTTCCTGTCGAAAATACATTCCAAATTTTCCCGGGTTAAATAAATTTAAAGGCAGGATTTATCACTCGGCCGAATGGCCCGAAAACCCGGTTGAACTCGAGGGAAAACGTGTCTCCGTCGTGGGGACGGGTGCCTCTGGGGTACAAATTATTCAAGAGGTTGGACCCATCGTGGATCATCTCACGGTATATCAACGTACCCCAAACCTCGCCTTGCCAATGCAACAGACTAAATCTCGCGATGCTCTCTTCGCACAAAAATCCAAGTATGGCGATTTGTTTAAAAAGATGCGGACCACTTTTAGCGGGATGAATGTTGACTTTATCCCAAAAAAGTTTGAAGACACAACCCTAGAAGAAAGACGGGAAATGTACGAAAATTGTTTTCGCCTTGGCGGATTAAACTTTAGCTTGGCGAATTTTGCCGAAATGTTCTTTGACCAGAAAGTCAACGACGAAGTCTATGCGTTCTGGGCGGAAAAAGTGAGAAAAAGAGTAACAAATGAGACAAAACGAGACTTACTCGCTCCCCTCGTGCAACCACACCCATTCGGAACGAAACGCCCATCTCTCGAGCAGTCTTATTACGAAGTTTGCAGTCAAGATAATGTCGACATTATCAATGTTAAGGAGTCGCCCATCGTAGAAATTACCCCGACCGGAATCAAAACTGCGGACGGGGGGCACATTGAGACAGACGTTATCGTTCTCGCGACAGGATTTGATGCCTACACGGGGGGAATGCTGGAAATTTCGATCCAAAATGGGGTGGGATTTTCTCTTAAGGACAAGTGGGCGGAGGGGACGTCCACGTTTTTGGGGTTGGCCCTCCACGGATTTCCTAACATGCATTTTATTTATGGACCGCAAGCTCCCACAGCACTTTCGAATGGGCCGAGCTGTATTGAAATTCAGACCGAGTGGTTGGCGGAATTGTTGGTGAGCATGAAGCCATACCTGTTCACTTTCATTCATTTCAATGATTATGACTTACATACGTGGCACTTGTCTTTCCTTTGAATGGGCACTTGAAGGTCAGATATTTGAGGGCAAAGTTCACAGTAGCGGCCTGCTTTTTTCTCAAGCGGGCGAGCGGAGGAGCGAAAATTTTCTCCTTCGAGGTCACTCCGCTCCCTTCACTCTTGCGCTAGTTTCGTTCCTAAATAGTATGCAATCAATATGCAATTCCACAAATATACAACGAAATGTGGCAATAAAAATAAGTCAACTTTATGATTTCTAATGAATTAATATGTTAATTAATTTTTCGCACTTATAATTTATTGAACCCATCGTCACTTTTTTATTACGGATCGGTGGATAGTAGAATTTTGAAGAGCAAATATAAAATTATATGAATGTATAATGTATGCACCAATTCACGAGATTGTGAAATTTTGTCAAAAATAATATGCATTGAGTGAAGTCCGAGCGTGTGAGAGTGAAGGCAGCGGAGTGACCTCGAAGGAGAAAATTTTCACTCCTCCGCTCGCCCGCTTGAGAAAAAAAACAGGCCGCTACTGTGAACTTTGCCCTCAAATATCTGACCCCCAAGTGCCTATTCAACGGAAAGATAAGTTCCACGTCATTTCTAATTCTTAGCTTGATTTTTAGCATAAGTCACTAGGCTTATCTCGTGTAGCTTGAAAAAAAGTTCCATTGTTAGTGAATGAAAATGAATTTCCTGTCATTTGAATAAAAATTACTAAAAGATTCTGTCAGTTTGGATGAATGACTATGTGAATGAAAGAATTTCTCGTTCCTTTTTTTCACCCTATGCTTAATACATTCGGCGAAGTAATAAATGAAGTACGATGAAGTGTAATTAAATTAAATGAATTTGAAAGAAAGTGACTGAATGTGAATGAAAATCTACATATATGTTGTGATGGCTGATTTTTGCATATTGTCTTTGAACAGGTATTCATGAAGGCGGGTGGGAAGACGAGGGTGGAAGCAGATAAGGAAGCTGAGGACGTTTGGGTCGGACAAGTTAAGCAGATTTGGGACAGTAGCCTTTTTTTCAAAGCAGAATCGTGGTATCAAGGTGCCAATATTCCGGGGAAGAAGAAGGAACCGTTGAATTTTGCGGGGGGTATTCCCGTCTACTTGAAAGCCTTGGAGGACTGCAAGGCCGAGGGGTACAAGGGGTTTAACTTTGCATGAGGAGACGTTTTTCTGCCTTGCGATTTATTTCTATGATTGCGAAATTTATAAAAAAATAATGGTTTATACATAACATTTTATTACATTTATTGTGGTAATTTTCAAAACATGTAGGAGAACGTATGCTTATTTGCATAAAGGAGGGTTTCATGAAAAGGAAAATAAATATGCATGTATTTACATATTTAGTATAACGACCAAATTAGTAAACTTAAATTTGAAAAACTTGATTAATTAATTTGAAGAAAATTTGTCACTTCATTTTATTATAAAACTAGCATATAAGCCCGTCTCAAAGACGGGCAAGACACATACAAATAATATTTACACGAACATGTCAAGATTATTAAACTGAACAAGCGCATAACTAAATATTTACTAATTTCGATGGAAATTATCATTCCAGAGTAAACTAATAGCAAGTATAGTTCAGTAATGAGTAGTAACAATCTTATTAGCCTTGCTTTAGATATTGATTATGGAATTATGAATTCATTAAGGAATATTTTATAGTTATCAAGTAACTGTTTTATCGTTGCTAAGGAATTTCTTTAACTTTGCAAAGCCATTTTCTGGGGTTATTAAGGAATTTTTTAATGTTGCTAAGAATTTGTTTAACTTTGCTAAATAATTAATTTTACATGGCAAAGTTTTGTTAGATTGCTAAGTAGTTTTTTTAGGTTGACAAGTAATTTTTTAACGTTCCTAAGGTATTTTTAAACGTTCCTAAGGATTAGGCTAATTACAAATATGTACGTATACCATAGTTTACTTCTTAAACAATTTAACGCTTTCTACCACTTCGAGAAATACTTTATACCCTAAACTCAAATCTGCCCTTGCTTCTTCCTCCTCACCTTTAACCGTCTTCACAAAACCCAACTTCTCCCCTAGCTTGACCCACTGTTTCACCTCTGCCGACCTCACCCTCTCCCGGGCTTCCTCCATAATCGCATATTTCACCAAATTAGGAAACACGGCCAACACCCTGTCCCAAAATTGGGTGGAATCCTTCCACTCGAAACACTCACAGTGACCGAATCGCTTCCCACACTTTCCCACACACTCCTCTATTCTCATCAATTTAAACTTGTCCCCGGGGGGAAGTGCGACATCAAAGTATTTCACACTCTCCCCCCTCGAATTACTCTCGTGCAGGAACGATTTATACAAAAAGGACGCGCTCGTTTCGAAATATTCCTGCTCGGTCAATCTACCTTCGAGGTTATAATACCCACCAAGGTCCCGTGAAATCTTGATCATTTCCAAAACGGGGAACTGAACCTCATAATCCAACCGCCTAAAGCTATCAGCCCCCTCAAATTTCAAATCAATGCATGGTGTCACATGAGAAGTTTGGAACCTAGTTTTCGTCCGATTTTGAACTAGTTCAATATCCTTTAATTTTTCCATTATCGGAAAAACTATGGTATATCCGGGGAAAGAATCGGGTAGAACGAAGAACCGTTCCATATTTTCCATTGGGAAGAGTTTTACATGTTGTATCGTACATGCGGCAATTTTTAGTAGTGCAGAACTTCCCGGTGGCCCGCCCCAATCATGCCCTAATTCTAGACGGGTCAGATTTGTCAGGCTTTTTTGCACGGGAACGGTTAATAGGTCAACATTGATCAATTTCAAAGATTTCAAGGTTCCCGCTAAATTTAGAAAGGTTGCGTCATAAATTCTCATAAACGAGAGGGCCACAACATTTGGAAATAGCGGGATCAATTGGGGCATCATGGAGATCAATATTGCCTTGACTTCTTTCTCTTGGAACGAGCTGATTTCTAGTTTCTTAAGTTTCGCGAAGGAATATGGCTTTGGCGGGAAGTTCGATTCATAAAATGAACTTCCTTGATTTGAATTATCCTCTTTGGTCAGAGATACATTTAATTTGAGAGAATTCAGCGTGGGAAATTCAATTGCGACAGATTCTAAATATTGAAGCCACTTGTCGTTCGGCAGGGTAAAATCTATCTGCAAGGTTCTTACTTTGTGGCCATGGTTGAAAATTAAGGATGCTAAGGGACCCTGGAAAGTGAGATTTTTGAAGTCATACAGCTCAATATTTCTGTGACAGTTTTCTCTCTTGGTAAAAACTTCTTCGTACTTGGTAAAATTCTTTGGCGTCAGAATACGCGGGCGGACGACGAGGAGACGTTTCCGGGCTTCTTGTTCCCACGTGGTGTTGATTAACGTGCACGAGATGAGGTCCGAGTTGGGGAGGAAGGTCACAATTTTTGCCAAGATCTGGAAACAAATAGTAACCTGTTTTAATACGGAGGGGGGTTAACTTTATTTAGTTCTCGTGAACAGTGACCGCCGAAACGTGGGGACAGAGGGGCAACGTCCCCAGAGTTGCTCGAAGTCCCCTTCATTTATATGAACCTCGCCCTCCCTTATGTTAATGTCGCCACGTGTCCCCACCGTCATCGCTCGTGAAATGTTTAATCAGCCATTAAATTACTAATTAGTAATTCATAATTAAGCTGCTTCATATAACGGTCTAATAAGAATTATAATAATTAGAGTTTGAAAGATTATCATGTTATCATAAACTGCACAGTAAAAAATAACAAATAGCTACATATTTTTCAAAGTCTTCGACCTAGTTTCTGAGTCATATTTCCGGAAGTGCAGATTTCCGGTTATCGGATCCTGCCAAACAATTATATGTATCACAAAACCATTTTGGGATTAGTGGGCAATTCTGAGACATGTTTGCATTTGAAAATGATAATCTGTCGATCCGGGCCACATTCATTCTACGAAGCATGTAAGGAACTGTGCAGTAAGTATGTGATCAATTTGAGGGGGTTAGAGGTCAAGGCATCCTTTCCTTCCCATACTAACTATAACATGGGGCGTATAGGTCACACCGGGGGGTAGGGTTCAAAATTTCTATCACATGCTTTATGTACGGCTCTTAAATCCTTCAGTTCTTTGCACCAATTGTATAAAATATTGCATCGTTAAGATGTTAAGTAGTCATTAAAATTTTTTTTTCTATATGTATGTATGTACCTCAGGAAATAGATGGGAGGTGTGGGGACTAGCGCTGTTATAGTTCGAATTCATTTTGATTTGCTTCCTAGCCACTTCTGTTGCGAGTCCTTAAAAATATACACTTAACTTATTTAGAATAAATTGTATGTAGATTAACTTGTTAGTGTGAATCAAAATTTTATGTTATGCACCTTATCTGATAAATTAACACCATGCTACAAATTATTCTCGACGTGGAAACAAAAATGTTAGCTTGCTTGAGATACTTATTTAAATACAGATACCTATGTACATAGTGTTGTAGTGAAGTGATGACATGACATGCTGCCCTGTACAAAACTCCAAACGGTGACATGTTAAAAATAAGTCGTTGGTACGTTGTAGATGGATATATGCCCATTGCCCATTTGTAACCTTTTTTCGTTAAATATAGATTTTGTACATATGTACAAAAATGTATACATTGTAATTGAAATGTATGCATTTATGTATGTGTGTAGGGCCATGTGTTAAACCTAAGCTAGGCAGACATGAAAAAGGGTCCAATTCATCACTCATCTAAACTCGTCAATGGAGCCGTTCACAAATTATGCAATGCAAAAATCGCGATTTTCTTGACTCCTCCCTCCCCTCTTTAATATGTTGTCATCACAATATGATCGAAGCCTAAAACCCCCTTCTCCCCTCTCGACTACTAGAATTTGACAAATCGACATATTTAATTTGTGCAAGCGTAGATGATGCTCATTTTGATAAAGTATTGATTGCATGGTAATCGTATTGATTGCATGGCATGTACACTACATACATACATATATGTATGTATTCATATATGAAACTTGTGGCCGGTTTTGTTAGACTCTAAATCACTTGGAGACAAATCGTCACCCGCAGAAATGCCAGATTTTTTACAAAAAGTCGAAAAAGTTTGACAGAGACAAAATTACTTAATATTATTTTTAATCACAGTTTTATTTTGCAAGTCAAGCCCAGGGAATGGAACCTAATTTACATAGGATGAAGTATTTACCTGATATGTACATTTCTTTTTAACACTTGTACAACAAATTAAGCATTGTCGTGGTGCTGGAGAGAATACCGAATGGATGGCCCATCTGTAAAGGAATGAGATGAAATATTTCTGTTTCCTACGGACGAGGAAGAAGAAAGCGAAAAACACGCAGGAAAAAGACTAGCATGGCTTGCATTCTTCCACAGAATTCCCACGAAGGAAGGTGGAAATATTGTACAAAATGGCTAAGAGTCCTGAACGTTTTAAATAGGTAGTCGATTTTTTTGCATGGAATGGAGACAAGAGATCAATTTTCCAATTTAGTTTGATTTTTTTCAAATTTACTTTTTTGAAATACGGTCAATTAAATTAATTTAATTGACTCGAAATAATATTTCCATAATGTCGTCTAAATGTGTACATACTTATATTGAACCAGTTGAATAAAAAATATGGATAATAAATGTACTCACTTCCCACAAGTGTTATGCGGAAATATGTACATGTCAAACATTGTAATTCATCTAAATTCCATACATAAAGGGTGTTAATAAAGTCCGATCCCATGCATTTTTTGGAGCGTGGTTGTTACAAATTCAGCTGGAACTTTTGAACCAGTGAAGTTATTTATTTCAAATTTTTACCATGGGAGGAACAACTAAACGTGTAAGTCATGAGCATCTTAGAGTTGAGATACAAACATTGCATCAGCAGGGGCTTAAACCTACAGAAATTGTGCAAAAATTGGGCTGCAGCCGCAGAACTGTTTGGAAATGGAAGAATAAAAATTTTGTCCACGACAAAAAGCGACCAGGGCGACCCAGAAAGGTGTCACCTACCACAAAAAGAATGATTAAAAACAGACTTTGCAAGAAAACCGGTAGTTCATTACGTAATTGTGCAAGGGAGTTAAATGACTCAAAACGCTATAAAGAGAAGAAGAAGCAAATTAACTATGTGACCGTGCAAAAATTTGTGAAATCTACGAGGTGGGGTCACACAGCTTACAAACTAACCAAAAAACCTCTCATGTCACAAAAAAATATCGATGACCGTCTGAAATTTGGAGAACTCCTTCAGAAAAGTGGCCATTTGAGTGAAAAAAGACTTGGTGAAGAATTGCGCAGTCACATCCTTTGGACTGACGAATCTATTATTGAGCTATATCCAAAATTGAACCAACAAAATGTTCGTTACAGGACAGAAAACAAATCGGATGTACCATCAAGAGCAGTCCCAAAATTCGGGCTTAAAGTTATGGTAGCGGGTGGATTTTGTGCACGTGGCGTGACTCCTCTACATATCATACCAAAAGGCCAAACAGTCGATGCAAAGTATTATATGGAAAAAATATTACCTATCTATTTCGATAGCATGGGGAACAAGGAAATATTTCCGAATGAAAGAAAAATAGTTTTCATGCAGGATGGTGCTACAGCCCATACAGCAAAAGCGAGTTTGAGTCTCATCAAGACGCAAGTTTCAACGGTCTGGAGCAAGGGGGTGTGGCCCGGAAACAGCCCAGATTTGAATCCCCTGGAGAACCTGTGGTCCATACTTAAGGAAAATGTATACAAAGAACCACAACCCCGGACGAGGGAAGAGCTAGTAAAAAAAGTTCAAGATGTATGGAATTCGATTCCCACAGACACATTGGAAAAATTAGCACAGAGCCTTAAACAAAGAGTTGAGGGCATGGTTAAAGTAAATGGTAACAAGACCAAATACTAAGGTAAATATGTCGAACATTTTTTGTAAGTATCACGGGTAGTTTTTTTTTATACTAGCCTTCACTTTTTTACAGGAAAAATGGGATCGGACTTTATTAACACCCTGTACATATTTCCACAATTCTAGGAAAGTAGGACAAATCAGGGAACACGAATAAAATTTGGGACATCAAATACAGACTGCGATAATATCCAAAATATTGACAGTGGTGTTTTACTCCAGTTCCAGTTCCCATAACAAATATTTGTTATGATAACTGGAAACATGAAAATCTCAATATGAAAATATCAAAGGCATAGCTTCATCTGTGTGTTTGGTGCCCCAAATGATGTTAACCACAATTGATACGCATATCGAAGCATGGACCCGGAAATACGGAAGTACATACATTTGCATATTTATATAAAAATGTTGATTTAACTTAAATTGTGTCAGGAGTCACGTTTGCATTGCATATTATTTACATATATATATGTATTTGCATATTATCACTTGTGGAATTACGGTCGTGTCAGCACGTGCGTTAAAAGTGGTGATATTTACTTATCATCATAATTACAGGTGATTAGATTAAACAGACACAGGTATATAAATGGAATTGATAAGTGGAGTTGGATATCCAGTGCAGCTCAAGTGTTTGAGTCCTACTAAAAAAATATTTAGTAAAGCTAAAAAAAAGTTCTTGCTTCATTTTTAATATTTTGAGATAACTTTAAATAAATTCCTTCACATAAATTAAATTAAAATGAGGAATACAGTACTACATTTCGTAATTTTGACTATTTTGTTACAAAAATCGGACTCCAAGTCTCTTAAAAATTTCGACATTGGCATCAACGTTGACGAAATTCAGAATGGGACGACCTATAAATTAACGAGCATGAGTGACGGCCTGGTAAATAGATTATAAATTTTCACATAATACATAATTCCAAATTTTCGACAGAAATTTTAATTAGCCATCATTTTCATTTTTTGTTAAATTTGGTTCTAATTTCATTGTCAACATGCACGCTAAATCATTTGGAGACATATTTCTTGTCTCCATATCGTGGTCTATTTTTGGGTAATAAGTCAGAAACTGAACTCCCCAACACACGTGACATCCTTAATAAGAATATTAATACTTTCACGTAAAAAAATCTTAATGTGATAAAAACATTCAATTTTTTTCAACATAACGGTGCCACATGTTTTTGAAACATGAATTTTGGGTTATTTCCCCTAGGTGATGAAACGTCTCCTGAATTATTACCCCAAAAATAGAGCACTATAGTACCTTCGCGGGTGACGATTTATCTCCAACTTATTTAGAGTTTGTAAATTCTATAAAATATTGTGATTTCAGGTTATCACAGTATTATCGGATGGGACCGTGGTTTCGGATAAATGGAAAGGTCTCGAGGAACAAAAGTGGACCATATTTGAGCATCCTTCCGGTATGCAAATTAGATATACAAAATTTCAGAAAAAATATGACATTTATATTGATTTTTTTTCTCGATCAGATATATTTGCCGTGTTACTTGTCAATTACGCCGTTCCTTTCAATGACTTCAGTGGTTATGAAAAATTGGAGGGGGAAACTCGTCCCATATTTCCGAATCCTCTATACCTGAATAACAACAGAATTATGCCAAATCTGGAAAAGAACGTCGTTATTGGACACCAGGAGGACGAGCCCCCCGTCCCATGGCAAATACTTGTAGATAATCGCTGGTGCTTGCAAAATGTTGGGTGAGGGAGGATGCATAATTTTGTAAATTTACAATATTTTTTATTATCGTAATAATGGGTTTTTTAAACAGCCAATGTGAACCATTTGTCCCATATGAATGCGAGATTGATCCAGCTCCGTATCAGTTTTGGGAACTCGAGATTGTTCAATTAGGAGAGGATGACAATTTGGCTTAATCTCATTACATGATATTTTTTATCTTCATGCAATATTTACATATGTCTGCAACATGATATTTTATCTCAATGTAAAATTTATATAATACGATATAGTATGTATGTAACATATATAGTTTAATGCTTATTATCTCATTGCGTAAGGTGCTCATGCTGTTGTGAAGCAAATACAAATATATAAATTGAAAAACAGTCAAAGTATGTGGTATCCTCGTGAACAATAAAATACATATTAAAGACCTACTACTTTGTGTATATAAGTGTATGTATATGTAAATTGCCTCATGAAGGAAATTTCGAGATTTATGTGGAATCTGCACTACGACGATTTCTATGCTAATTGCAAACTCTGCCAATTATTAGCTAGTTAGTACACACAAATGCATATTATTGCATACTAGCATGTAAGCTCATCTCCCGCCGGGCGAGAGCTTATTTTATTTCCCTGAAAATTAAATCGGATTGTTCATGATTTGACCGAATTATATTTTATTTTATCTATATAATTGGCTGGGAATGTCTGTTGGCAAGGGAAATGAAACTTTCTCTACTTTCACTCCCGTCATGGAAAATTACTTGCACTTCCGTTGCAGACAAACATTTGCAGCTTATAATATAGATACCATAGTTTACTTCTTCAATATTTTAACACGTTCCGTCACCTCGAGACATATCTCGTCGCCCAAATTCAAATCTGCCCTTGCTTTCGCTCCCTCACGTTTAACCGTCTTCACAAAGCCCAACTTTTCCCCTAACTCGACCCATTGTTTCACCTCTGCCGTCCTCGCCCTGTCCCGCGCTCCATCCATAACCGCGTATTTCACCAAATTAGGAAAAACGGCCAGCACCCTGTCCCAAAATTGGCTGGAATCCCTCCACTCGAAACATTCACATAAACCGAATCCCTTCCCGCACTTTCCCACACATTCCTCTATTCTCACCAACTTAAACTTGTCCCCGGGGGAAATGCGACATCAAAGTATTTCACACTCTCCCCTCTCGAATTACTCTCGTGGAGGAACGAATTGTACAAAAATGACACGCTGGTTTCGAAATATTCCTGCTCAGTCAATCTGTCCCGATACCCACAATTTTCTTCCCGAGAAATTTTGATCCTTTCCAAAACGGGAAACTGAACCTCATAATCTAACCGCCTGAAGCTATCAGCCCCCTCAAATTTCAAATCAATGCATGGTGTCACATGAAAAGTTTTGTACCAATTTTTCGTCTGATTTTGTACTAGGACGAAATCCTTTAATTTTCCCATTATCGGAAAAACTATGACATCATCGAAAAATTCGGGTAGAATGTAGGACCGTTCAACATTCGTCATTACGAATAGTTTCACGTGTTGTATCGTGCTCGCGGTAATTTTAAGCAGTGCCGAACCTGGGGCAGAGCGCCCCAGGTATGTCCTAATTCTACCCGGGTCAGATTTGCAAGGTTTTGTGTCCTGGGGGCGGTAGCAAAGTCGACATTGATCAACTTTAAAGATGTCAAGGTTCCCGCCAAATTTAGAAGATCAGGGTGATAGATTCCGGTGAAAGAGAGCGCTACAAGACTTGGAAATAGCGGGATAAATTGGGGCGTCATCGAGACCAATATTGCCTTAACTTCCTCCTGGAACGAGCTGATTTCTAGTTTCGTAAGTTTCGGGAAGGAATACGGTCTTGGCGGGAGGTACGATTCATAGAATGAGCTTCCTTGATTTGAATTATCCTCCTTGGTGAGGGATACATTTAATTTGAGAGAATTCAGAGTGGGGAAAGCTTTCGCGACAGATTCGAAATATTGCGGCCACTTGTTGTTCGGCAGGACGAAATCTATATTCAAGGTTTTTACTTTGTGGCCATGTTTGAAAATAAGAGATGCTAATGGACCCTGGAAACTGAGATTTTTGAAATCGTACAGCGCAATATTTCTGGGGAAGTTTTCTCCCCTGGTATTAACTTCTTCGTACTTGACAAGATTTGTTGGAGTCAGAACAAGCCGGCGGACGACGTGGAGCCGTTTCCGTACTTCCTGTTCCCACGCGGTGTTGATTAAGGTGCACGAAATAAGGTCCGAGTTGGGGAGGAAGGTCACAATTTTTGCCAAGATCTGGAAGTAAATAACAATAATCTCTGAGTCACTCCAAGTCAAAACCTTCGATCGGAGGAGAGTCATGAGAGCGGAGATGTTGCCTCTCCACTCCGAGCGACACTACTGACTGCAGCTGTGGGCTTAGCACGGGTTGTCGTTTTGTATGTCGACACGGTCTGGGCTAATTTTTTTAAGTTATATTTTTTGAAGTCAGTGTGCCAAATAAGGCTTGATTCAAGTGACACCTGATTTTTGTCACTAAAAGTTTTGCTTACGCCCCTTGTTTTTTGATCATTTTGGGAATATTCCCACCCATAAGCTAACATGTGTCAGTAAAATCACGATAACTTCTTGCCCCCATTCATGTTTGGTGTACAATTTTTTTGTTGTTAACTATTTCGATATTAGATCATAATTTCAAAAATTTGAGAAAAACACGAGTGGGGGCAAGAAGTTACAGCGCATCAAAATTGTCATTCAAAATTTTGAAAATTCAAAATTTTCAACTTTTGGAAATTTTATCAAGTAGATTGCGGCAAATAAAATAAAGTTTAAACAGGAGTAAACTGCGTTAAAAATCTGTTGAACTTGATATTTCAAATGCAACGCGTTTTTTAAATTTCGAAAAATAATAATAAATCGGTCAATATTTGAAACTAAATTTTAATTTTTTTGACGTTAAGTTCCTTTACATACTGGCGATTATTGATAAATTCGGGGACAAAATCTGAGACCTATGCCGCAATTGGAAATAGGCCTTCAAAAAAACTGAGTCCTCTGTAAATACTGAAATCAGCGGAGCATAGATCGCAATGGACCATGGTCCACAAAAAAATTGGTCCATCGATGGAACATGGACCAATTTATTTCGAGCTATTCAGTGGACTATTTATTTCTCGTGAACAGTGGCCGCGGAAATGTGGAGACAGAGGGACAATGTCCCCACAGTTATCTGATCTCCCCATAATCTGCCAAACCCATCCGTCCTTTATCTAAAAATTGTAATGCCCCCATAGCTTCCTCGGTCACCGCTCTTGAAGTATTCGGCGAGCTGTTAAATTACTATTAGTAATTTAACAGCTCAATAGTTTTTAGTAATTTATTAAAAACTTTCCGCGCTTATAACGGTCGAATCAAAATTCAAATAATTAGCATTCGAACGACTATCATATTAAACTGTACATAAAATCGCCCATAACTGTTTTTCGAGTTTATCTGAGCTTTAGAATGCTAAAAATGAGGTCAAAGACTTCAGACTCTTGAAGTCGTTGGCCTCGTTTTAGCCATTGAAAGTACAGACTTCCCGTATTTGGTTCCATTAGTCACAAAATCATCTTACATAAATTCTGAGACTTTTCGTTTTCCTGGATAAGTTTGCATTCGAACGTGATAATATTTCAACATACTCGAAATACGTTGGACTTATAATAAATGCTAAAACGAATTTAATTATTAAGCTTATAGAAATTGACAGGTATTTGAAACAATGTTTCAATAGGTGTAAATGTGTATGGAGAATTACAACTGTACCTCAGGAAGCAGAAGGAGGGTATGAGGACTAGCGTTGTTGGAATTCATTTTGATTTTTTTTTCGAATTCTGTCTAAGTCCTTAAAAAGAAACACTTCACTTAGAGTAAATTATGTATGAACATTAACTTGTTACTGTGCATCTAAATTTTATTTTATGTACCTTATTATTATTATTTGGTAGATTATGTCACACCATGATGCAAATTATTCACGATTTAGAAATAAAAATATCAGCTTGCTTGAGATGCATGTGCTACATGCATACAGATATGTATGTACAAATGAAGACGTCATTATGAAGTGATCACATGACATGCTACCCTATACAAAACTTAACGGTTGCACGTTAAAAATAACTAGTGGGTAAAATATCTTGTACATACATAGAGATACGCACATAAAACCCTTTTTCGATAAATATACATACATAGATTTCGTATCAACGTATTTATGGATGATGATGTTCCATTCCATTCTGTTCGACGAAGCCAAAGTGGAAAAGGGTTCAACTCACCCTTCACCTAAAGTCGTCCATATATAAGATAATTGTACATACAGAATACATACATAATGTAACTCATCATATCATGATTTCGTTAAAAAAGGTACATACCTTTGGTACATGGTTGTGGGGAAGAAAAGTATGAGTGAGATTTGACGGGTGCATTTATGTGGTGGTCGCGTAGTACAATGGAGTACGTCTGGGGCTATACCGGAAAATGCTTTCCTTCGATGGAAGCCGGGGTCACCAAATTTTTGCATAGTACCGTTATTTCTCACTAGTCTCTTAAGCCCGCAATGCGGGCTCTAAGCAAGACGATTTTATTTAGTTTAGCGATACAAATTCCTGCTGAATAATTGTTACACATTTACCTTCACACAGAGCAAAAGAGCCTGGACTTGATTGTCACGTTTCATAGCACGATGTTTAATAACAGAGTTCACAACTCTATTGGTGGGACAACGAAAAACGTGCTGTCACGACTCTAAAGGGGATGACCTCGAAAAACGTTAGGTCACGACTCTAAAGGGGATGACCTCGAAAAACGTTAGGTCACGACTCTAAAGGGATGACCTCGAAAAACGTTAGGTCACGGCTCTAAACGGGGTGACCACCGAAAACGTTAGGTCACGACTCTAAAAGGGTGACCACGAAAAACGTTAGGTCACGACTCTAAAGAGGGTGACCACCGAAAACGTTAGGTCACGACTCTAAACGGGGTGACCACCGAAAACGTTAGGTCACGACTCTAAAGGGGTGACCACGGAAAACGTTCAGCAACGACTCCAAAGGGGGTGACCACGAAAAACGTTAGGTTACGACTCTAAAGAGGTGACCATGAAAAACGTTAGGTCACGACTCTAAATGGAGTGACGACGAAAAACATCAGGTCACGACTCTAAAAGAGGCGACCACGGAACACGTTCAGTCACGACTCTACGGGGTGTGCCCAGGTCAAGAGTTCAAGCGTAGTCGATTCCAGGGAGTGTTCAATTGTTCTACTGTTCAGCCGATATTATTGGTCTGAAAAAAATCTGAAAGGTTTCCTGGCAGATATTTGATAATAATTTCTAAAAATCAAATAACCCTTTAGAAAAATTTCCAAGGAATTGAGACTATTAATACTGGCTGAACAGTAACGTTTGAAACACGTTTCGGCATTTGAAGTGAAAGCCCGCCCTCCAGCGCTGAAAAGCAACCAACGTCAGTTAGTCGGCGCTGGTTGGTAATTTAAATTAGTAAGGCACGGGTCAAGTGTCAAATATAGCGTGGGGTCACAGGTCAAGTGCCAAATATAGCGTGGGGTCACAGGTCAAGTGTCAACCCGCGTGGGTATGCCGCGGGCATAGGTCAAATGTCAAATCTAGTGGGTGTACCCAGCTCAAATGTCAAATCTAGTGGGTGTGCCCAGGTCACAGGTCAAATGGCAAGTATAGTGGGTGTGCCCAGGTCTCAGGTCAAATGGCAAGTCTAGTGGCTGTGCACAGGTCACAGTGCAAATGTCATGTCTAGTGGGTGTGCCAAGGTCTCAGGTCAAATGGCAAGTCTAGTGGCTGTGCACAGGTCACAGGTCAAATGTCAAGGCTAGTGGGTGTGCCCAGGTCTCAGGTCAAATGGCAAGTCTAGTGGCTGTGCCCAGGTCACAGGTCAAATGTCAAGTCTAGTGGGTGTGCCCAGGTCACAGGTCAAATGCCAAGTCTAGTGGGTGTGCGCAGGTCACAGGTCAAATGCCAAGTCTAGTGGGTGTGCGCAGGTCACAGGTCAAATGCCAAGTCTAGTGGGTGTGCGCAGGTCACAGGTCAAATGTCAAGTCTAGTGGGTGTGCCCAGGTAACAGGTCAAATGCCAAGTCTAGTGGGTATGCCCAGGTCAAATTTCAAGTCTCGTGGGTGTACCCAGGTCAAATGTCAAGTCTAGTGGGTGTGCCCAGGTCTCAGGTCAAATGGCAAGTCTAGTGGCTGTGCACAGGTCACAGTGCAAATGTCAAGTCTAGTGGGTGTGCCAAGGTCACAGTTCAAATGCCAAGTCTAGTGGGTGTGCGCATGTCACAGGTCAAATGTCAAGGCTAGTGGGTGTGCCCAGGTCACAGGTCAAATGGCAAGTCTAGTGGCTGTGCCCAGGTCACAGGTCAAATGTCAAGGCTAGTGGGTGTGCCCAGGTCTCAGGTCAAATGGCAAGTCTAGTGGCTGTGCACAGGTCACAGTGCAAATGTCAAGTCTAGTGGGTGTGCCAAGGTCTCAGGTCAAATGGCAAGTCTAGTGGCTGTGCACAGGTCACAGGTCAAATGTCAAGGCTAGTGGGTGTGCCCAGGTCTCAGGTCAAATGGCAAGTCTAGTGGCTGTGCCCAGGTCACAGGTCAAATGTCAAGTCTAGTGGGTGTGCGCAGGTCACAGGTCAAATGCCAAGTCTAGTGGGTGTGCGCAGGTCACAGGTCAAATGTCAAGGCTAGTGGGTGTGCCCAGGTCACAGGTCAAATGGCAAGTCTAGTGGCTGTGCCCAGGTCACAGGTCAAATGTCAAGGCTAGTGGGTGTGCCCAGGTCTCAGGTCAAATGGCAAGTCTAGTGGCTGTGCACAGGTCACAGTGCAAATGTCAAGTCTAGTGGGTGTGCCAAGGTCTCAGGTCAAATGGCAAGTCTAGTGGCTGTGCACAGGTCACAGGTCAAATGTCAAGGCTAGTGGGTGTGCCCAGGTCTCAGGTCAAATGGCAAGTCTAGTGGCTGTGCCCAGGTCACAGGTCAAATGTCAAGTCTAGTGGGTGTGCGCAGGTCACAGGTCAAATGCCAAGTCTAGTGGGTGTGCGCAGGTCACAGGTCAAATGCCAAGTCTAGTGGGTGTGCGCAGGTCACAGGTCAAATGTCAAGTCTAGTGGGTGTGCCCAGGTAACAGGTCAAATGCCAAGTCTAGTGGGTATGCCCAGGTCAAATTTCAAATCTCGTGGGTGTACCCAGGTCAAATGTCAAGTCTCGTGGGTGTGCCCAGGTCACAGGTCAAATGCCAAGTCTAGTGGGTGTGCGCAGGTCACAAGTCAAGAGTCAAATTTAGGGGGTGTGCACAGGTCAAATGTCAACTCTGGGGGTGTTCCCGTTCATTTGATCAAGTCTCGGGAGATCTAATAGGTGTGTTTCGTTGTTCTAGTGTTCGTCAACGTGGAAACGTTTTGACACTTTAGCGAAAAACGCCCTCTAGAAACGAAAAATGCAACATAGTGCCCAAACTGCCGCTAGGTGACGTTAGCTTGGACAGTGTGAGACACGTGTGTAATCAAGCGCCAAGTTCAACTGGTAACACACACACACACACACACACACCACTGCACAATTCTTGGTTCTGATTCCTACATGTGGTGAACCAGAAGTTCGTTCTCAATACCTCTCACACGCTAAAGCGGAAGCCCAACCTCCAATCCCTCCTCCAATCAGCTGACTCCCAGAGAGCAGTACCTACTTGCCCAGTGCAAGCATCTTCCCCATATCGTCAAGCCTATCTCAGGAGGGGAGCTTGCGAGGTTGATAATAACAGATCTTGATGCCCTTTGGATATGTGGTAGGGACCCATGAGTGTACTAAAACCCTGAATTGGTTTGACTCCATGGCCACATTTACGCCCGCCACACCCACTCAAAAATGCCCAAAAAACGCTTTCAAACTCAATTTTGCTGATTATTATTTCGCAGGCATAATTTGCCTTGTTGATTGCTACAACAATGCTCATTCAGAAATTTAAATTTTAAAAATACTAAAAATTTCGAAAAAATTGAGTTTGATATTGGATTGAAGAAAGAAACTATCTGGGAGTATATTGGTGAAAGAAATTTCAAAATCCGAGTAAAATTGGATTTTTGGCGTGGATTTGAGTGAGTGAAAACTGGAGTGAAAGCGTTTTTTGGGCATTTTTGAGTGGGTGTGGCGGGCGTAAATGTGGCCATGGAGTCAAACCAATTCAGGGTTTTAGTACACTCATGGGTCCCTACCACATATCCAAAGGGCATCAAGATCTGTTATTATCAACCTCGCAAGCTCCCCTCCTCAGTGTAAGCCGCACAGTCCGCATCTCGAGAAGGAGTGACATCATCTCCCTATCCCAACTCGCTCCCAATGGTTCGGGGACCGAACCTACTTTCGCAAGGGCATATACTGTGGGGAAGAAAAGTATGAGTGAGATTTGACGGGTGCATTTATGTGGTGGTCGCGTAGTACAATGGAGTACGTCTGGGGCTATACCGGAAAATGCTTTCCTTCGATGGAAGCCGGGGTCATCAAATTTTTGCATAGTACCGTTATTTCTCATTCCTACATGGTCCACCAGTTATGTATAGGTATGTCCACCAATTCCACGGCTGTGGGAGGAGGGAGAGCAAAAGTTTTGCGCGACGGGCCGATTTGCACCTAGAAGAGGTGGCTACCTGGGCCGGCATACATATTTTCCAATTTTTGACGGTAAAAACCGTTTTCCCTGGTTTTCCCACATGCCGTCCTAAAAAATAGTTTCGGACTGGAAAAACGAAACCCTAACTCAACCTTGAGTAAATTTTACTTATTAAAAAAAACTTTCTTCCATGAGAAAATATTTAATTTTTGCACATTATTTTTTGTCTATTTTATATTTATTTTATATAGATAAATACACAAATATATAAATAAAAAATACAGAATCAAAGAAAAAAATCACAAATGTGTAACACCCCCCACTACAAAAAAACTGTCCCAACTACACGAGGCAGAAAATGGTCTTAAAAAATCTTTGCATCACAAATGTTTTGACTGGGTTCGGTCTCCATCTTAATGAATTCGATGTCTGCAAATCAAATAATTCATTTTTAGCACATCACTTTAACCTTATAAACTGCACACTACATATATTTTTTCTAATTGCTAAATCAACTGAACAATACATGCATACATTTTTCTAATTGCTAAAAATGCGCCCGTTTACATGAGGTTAATTAGGCCTAGTTGTTCACACTAACCCGAGATTGAGTCCAACTCTGCAGCCAGGGAAGCAGCGTCGTCTCGAAATGACGCCCCATTAACTACGCTGCTTCCATCCAACACATAAGGAACGACTGGTTCTCGGTCACTAATCATCGGAAGACATTAATTGGAATATATATTTTATTTCTTGATGATAAATTTGAACTGAATTTCGCCCCTGGCCCAAAGCTGATGCAGACGTGATTTTAGATATTTTGAGTGGGGAAGAAATTTGATGACCAAGAATTAAAATGCTTACAATAGCAAAATTATTTTATATATAAGTACCTGAAAGTATAGGAAATTACTTTGTGCTTCGTTCGAATGTGTCGACAGGCATTGGTACGGTATCTCGACGTGAAGCAGCAGGGTTTCTTCAAACACACGTACAAATCTTTCCCATTTCGGGTGACCCTCTTATAACCATTATTATTCGAATATCTGTAAAACATAATATACTAAATTATTTAAAGAACTATACAAGCTTTGGGCGTGTACGAGAAAAATCAAGCAACGATTTATAGAGGGTATTCTGCATTTCTTCGTATTATTAGTATCGAAAAATAAAACATGGGGTCAAGTTTCGTAGAAATCATAGTAACGTGATTTTCGACGCCAAAATCTTACTACGCTTACAAAATGTCGTAACCGTCGTAACTTATTTTACGATACGAAGAAATAATAACCCTCGATGTCCTCCACCAAAAAGTCGAATCCGCCTTGGCCTAATTTCTGTGTTTCTGTCACGATTAGACATTTCTTGACTTACAGCATTTGCTCAGGACTGGATGGTGGGGATTGGTTTTCTTCTATCGCGGACTGTTTGGTTGTGGGAAGGATGGAGCAAGATGATTCCAAAATGGCACAAATGTTTTTGTCGGTAGTTCCAGCCTTACTCCTAATGGGTTGGCTATCTGCAAATCAAGGAAATCACTTCATGTAGCAATTCTTGGCAAGGTTTCGATCATATTTTTTTATAAAATCGTAGCGCTTCAACACACAAGTATTATTGCTGTATTAAAAATGTTGTATTAAAAATTATCAGAGTAATCTTAATAAACGACCGATTACCCGAAGACAGGCCGAAACCGGGCGCTATTGATGCGGCGATATTATCGAAAACTTGGTCAAATCTTTTGTCCGATACTCCGCCACTATGTAGATAAATATTACAATTCGTTTGCCATGGAAATAAATTACAAATACAAGACAACAACAATATATTTATTTTTAAGTACACTTACCTCACGTTGTGCCTCACTCTAACGTGCCGGCAAGCATTTGAAAGGTATCTCGACGTGAACGAGCAAGGTTTCTTCAAACAAACGTACAAACTTTTACCGTTACGGGTGACCCTCTTATAACCGACGTTAGGAGTTCTGAAAAAAATATACAAATTAGTCCAAAACTTATATACAGGCAAACGTGACTTTCGATTTGTACATATAAGTAACCAATAATTTGGAGAAAAATAAATTATAATGCACGGTACGATGGATATGCACTGCTCAGTGTTCAGTTCGTTCTCCACCAGAGTCGAAACCCCAATGGGGATTCCACATTGAATTTGTGCGTCCTTACAGTGGCGACGGAAGATGGGGGGGGATATGTGGGGACATTACTAATGTCACATTAGCATTGGGGGAGAAGGGATTTACATATTAACATGGGGAAGATACAAGTTTGCTGAATTTGTGGGCGGGGGCAATGTCTCATTGTCCCCTTGCTTCCGCCGCCACTGCGTCTCTGTCGCTATTAGGCATTTAGCTTACCGCATTTTCTTCGGTCTTGATGAAGGGCTAAGTACTTGGTCATCTTCCGGGGACCGTTGGCCGACCAGGATGGAGTCAGACGACTCCATATCGGTAGATCCGGTCTTACTCTTGATGGGCTGGATATCTGCAAATTATTTTAGCAATTCTCATGGTAAACTTTAAGTCATGTTTCTTAACAAGTACAAAAACGGAGCATATCGTCATCACACAACTATTATAGTAATTTAAATAGGATCCTCTTTGGCCTCCAACCGTGCACAACGTGTCTCTCTCTCGCTCTGCAACTGGATTCTCTCTCTTCCATCTGGGTCGCGGGTGTGCCAGGGCAAGTCAAGTGTGTCCCAGCCTTTTCGCCATATGAGCCTCGTCCACTCACACCCCCCACCTGCGTGCCTGGTGACACCCCCTGCCACACCCGTCCCAGCAACGACAAGCTGAGCCATCAGGCGAAGATGGATTCGCCGGACCCAGTGCACGGGAGGATCTACGCCAAGGAGGACTCCCCCAGGTAGGTCATTGTTTGGTATGTCGGGGTGGTGACCGTGGGGGGTGGTTGGTGGAAGAGTGAGGACGGGGTCGTGCATGGCGGTGGGCAGCGTAGTCGGGCCTACGGGGGTCCCATGACCTGGTTGTGCTGTGAGGGGTGAAGGGGCAAGTGGGTAGTGTCGCTCGGCCCTGGTCACACTGTGTGACCGTGAAGGGGACACGTAGCCCGTGCCCGTGAGGGCGCTAAGGTATTTCGTGGTCCGTGGACGCCCCGCCCAACAACCTTCACTCATCTTACTTCCGCCGTCACGACGCCGTCCTCATTTGGATATCACCACTATCTCATGGGATCTACCTATGATCTCTATCATTCATTGGCATATCTGGTGTCCAGGTAGTCAGAGCCGAATGGACCTCTGGGCCACATTCCCAGAGGTGATGGAGGTTTTCCCAACTCTCCACCATAGTTGGGTTTTTCCTTCATTCCTCTGGCTACCTATTTGGTTATCTATACATTTGCACATATGTACAACTCTGTAACCTTATAATAATGAGGGCCTCGGCCATATCTAATGAGAAATAAATCTTCTATCTATCTAGTAATTTAAATACACGACTGACTGATTACCAGAAGAAAGATCGGAAACTGCGCTTATCGATGCAGCGATGTTATCGAAAACTTGGTCAAATCTTCTATCCGACACTCCGCCACTACGAAGAGAAACGTTTGAATTAATTTAGCATGGAAATAAATTATACCAGACAACAATAACATATTTTTTTAATACCTAGCGTTGTGCATTATTCTCACGTGTCGGCAGGCATTTGTAAGGTATCTCGACGTGAACCAGCAGGGTTTGTTTAAACAAACATACAAACTTTTACCGTTACGGGTAACCCTCTCATAACCGACGTTGGGAGTTCTGAAAATATTAAACTTTTAAGTGGCAAACCTGCGATGAACATAAGCTAAATATTTTCTTCTTTATTTGGACGTGCTTACTTCTTATTGGCTGCCTGCAGACATGGTTTCTCGTCCTCTGTGGGGTTGAGGTTATATGGCAATACGTAAGCACCCGGTGTTGCAGGCCCCCCGGTAAAAACGGTCTGAAGGATATTGATTTCATTTTCGGTCGTATCTATTAGCTGACTGGTTCCCTCGGCCTCGAGCTTGATGAACGGAAACCCTATGTCCAGGATATCAGAGACGACACGAGAGGAAGTTTGACCAGGGTTAGGGTTGGAATCTGGCGTGGAGGGAAGGACAACGTCTGTAACAGGGGACACAGTTAATAAGTGGCAATTTGATGAACAAAGTGAGGGTATTCATTATTCCGTCGTTCATCGTATCGTAAAATAAGTTACGACGGTTACGCGATTTTGTCGTAAAAACCACGTTACACAGACCTTACGGTTTTTACAAAGCGTGACCCCTTGTTTTTTTCTTCGTAAACTATTTTACAATACTACTAACTAAGGATACGAAGACAATTGTAAATGAATACCCACATTGTAAGTTGTGTACCTTGAAAGTTTGTAAATTACCTTCGTGACGTCGCCTCCCCAACTCGGACAAAATATTAACGATTCTCCTCCTTATAATTAAAATATCCTGGTTCAAGTCCCATACTTGCTGAATTCCGGGGACACAATTGTGGCAACATTTTGATTGTGAATTATTATTCTCCACATAATTCGTGGGGTCGATCTCGTTTAGGAAATCTTTGCACAAGGCGATCTGTTCCGCGGCGAGGGGGGTGGGAGGAGGAGGCGAATCTTGAATTAAAGTTGAGCAGAGGAAACAGTAATAATGTTGTCCTTGTCCTAAATATTGAATATTTGAAATTATTGCCAAAGTTAAACTAGTTCGAAATTAAGATTGATTATCTATTTTGAGAGTGAGAAATTTTAAAAATCTTACTGATACACTCTTCCATCGTTGTTTCTACCATGACATGCATACGCTTAAATTACTGAGGGAGGAGTTGGCACTACTTCATTATTAGGGCATATTTAATATTTATAAAATTATATCATAAATAAATTCATCTTATTCATCACTTTACACTTCACTTTTGTAAAATATCTAGTAACATGTATTTGCTACGCGATATAATAACACGAGCAATAGCACGAGGAATTTTGTAAATAAGTATGTTTTTAAACTTTACGTTAATATGAAAATTATTTCGTTGTTTATAAAACACTTTTCACTCTCGGATTAAAATTTGAGAGCAGATGATGTTTGCTGTTTTTATGCCGATTTTACGACGATTCCCGCTCTCTTTGTCTCTCGTGTAAGTAAATAAACAAATTCATATCGTCGATGAATATTTTGTATGCAATTAACACGATTTTGACTTGTTCCCCTCTGCAATGCTTAACTTAAGGAATTGTGGCCAAATCATTTGGTTGCAATTGTAAATGTGAAGAATATATGCATTCTATATGCATTCTATATGCATTTGGCCCAAATACATGTGTGTGTAAGTATACATAGGTACATACATATATTCAACGAGGAAATGTGCTTCCGTGCACACTGGAGATTCTCCAGTGGAGAATGAATGGAGCATCCTTTTTCCCGTCTGGACATTAAACAGCGATTGAGCATCCCCATGAATCTTTATTTATTAAGCGAAAAGGTACAATTTTTCCAGGTAAGCTATTTTAAACCTAGACGATACATATGTACGTGATTCACGTAACGTGAAGTGGAATAGAATTGCGTTTCCTCATTCATTTGTTTCCATCGAGTCGAGTGAGATTGTTTTTTTATAGCACTTTTTACATTAATAATTTTCACTTCTGGTACTTATCTTGAAGATTCATTATTACGTATGTAAAGAACTTTAGAAATTTTAGTTGACTTGGGCAAATAATTTATTGCATTTAAATAAGGTTATATTTTTTAGGAGTTTTTCTCAGTGAACAAGAAAACTAAGAAGAAATCTTTATAAAAATGGATTTGGACCGCAATCATAACAACGAGAATCCTCACCTGGCCGTTTTACTTCCTGAGGTAAGTATGCAAATATGTACATATTTGCATGTATCTCACCACGCGACAAAATGCGTTAGAAGAGATTACATATTTACTCTAGTTTAGCACAAATTAAGTTCCCAGGGAAGTTTTTAAGCTTGCTTTTATGCAGGGTTTTGAATTAATTTTTCACATATTTCCGGTTTCTAGATTGTGGCGAACATTGTCACCTTCCTCCCCAAATCGGACCTCATCTCGTGCACTTTGATCAACTCGACGTGGGAACAAGAAGCCAGAAAACGTCTCCTCGTCCAATCCCAGTTTATCCTCGACGCACAAAATATCGCCCACCACCAAGAAATTTCTTCCGTCCGGGGAAACTACGCGAGAAACATTGGGGTCGTCGAATTCCCCAATTTATCTCGTCAAGGCCCCTGTGGAAACTTTATTTCTACTCAAGGTCATAAAGTGAAACGATTGGCGGCTCTATTACTCCCGCCAGATGTCACATGGCCCCAATATTTCGAAACCTTGTCAAACTCATTCCCCAATCTGACCTCGGTCGCGTTAGCTATCAACCATCTGTATGACACCGATTCCCCCCCCAAACCAGGCGGTCTTCCCGAAGATTAAAAAACTGGCAATCTACACGCCGTATGACTTCAGGGGAGACCAGCAAATACTAAGTACCCAATTGGTCCCCTTATTTCCAAACCTGGTCGCCCTCTCGTGCCAAAGAATTCGTCAATTCGTGGTGGAATCCTTTCTCAGCTCCGCCCCCACTGTGACCTCCTTGACCTTGATCAACATTAACCCGTTAACCGGTTCAATCCTACAAAATGCGGTAAACCTGACCCGACTAGAAATCGGTATGACTTCCACCTCACCCTTTTGACAACAAATTTAACCGCCATGCTGGAAAAATCGTCTGGAACGCTGGAATATCTGAAATTAACCCGGATGCATAATATTGATGCCTACCTGGTACGAAATCGGAAACAATTTCTCATATGGATCCCAATCTTGCCGAAATTACGGGTTTTTGAAATTATCCACAACGATTTCTCGACACGGCTTGAGGGTAAAACAAGTTCGCAGGTGACACCCGCCATAAATCTGAAATTTGAAAAGAGTAGTGCCGAAACGAAGTTAATTTATGCCGAGCAGTTCCCCGTTCTGGAAACGTTACGGGTTTTGAAGGGGGACTCTTTTCAAAATGATAGATTGACGGAGCAACAATTTTTTGAGGCGAGTGTGGGTTTTTTGTACAATTCCTTCATCAATCCGACTAACACGCCGTGTAAAACTTTGAAAAATTTAATCATTCCGTTCGAAGGGGAGTGTGGGGATAAGTTTAAGTTTTTTGACGTTACGGAATCCGCGTGTGGAAAGAGCTTCGATGTCCTGGGGGGTTTTGAGTGGAAAGATGTTGCAGAATTTTTGGGGGAAGTGGTGGATGTATTTCCAAATTTGACACGATTGGAGGATATGGAAGTGCAGGCAGATTTAAGCGAAAATGCTTGATTTTAATTTTTAAAGCGAGGGATATGTAGCTATTTATTTAGAATGGTCACAAATTGTTAAAGTTTATAATTTTAATTGTTAGATGTTTAATTATTTATTACGTTATTTAGTTTATTTAGTTTATTTACTGTATTACATTTTTGTTTATAATGTTCCAGGAAATGCACCAGAATAATTTTTGTGTAGGTCAAAATGCTTAAAACTTACTGCATACTTACAATGGAACCTTTTTTCAAGCTACACCTGGATCGACTAGCGAGTTATGTCAAAAAATCAAGCCAAAAATTATGAGTCACGTGACACTTCTCTTTCCATTGAATGGCCCCTTTGAAGAAAAATATTGGCAGTTAAGTTCAATTTTTCAGCAGATTTTCCCTTGCTTTTTCCTCCACGGGACAAAAACCAGGGAAAAGTTCGAACTTTGACCCTCAATATTTTTCTTCAAAGGAGCCATTCAACGGAAATATAAGTGTCATGTGACTCCTAATTTTTGGCTTGATTTTTTGACATAACTCGCTAGTTGATCCCCGTGTAGCTTGAAAAAAGGTTCCATTGTTAGTTTAAAATTGGTTCTTGTTGCAAAGAACAAAAGATTTTCAAAGTAGGCAAAATATTTGTACGTTATCTTTTTTATTCTCAGGTTTGTCCCTTATTGTTAACATTTAGGAACGCTGTAAGTATTGTCCTGAAATTGCATTCTGATTAAAGCAGACGCACAAATAAACTCTAATATTTTTATGAGACAAATGGAGTGTTAGAAATATTATTATCATTTGCTGTAAGATTGTCTTAAACTGGAATAAAAGACAAGATTGAGATGAAATCGTTTACAGAAAGCAATGTTGCATCGCATGATAAAAATATTTATATGTATGTATGTGCATAGATACTACACAAATTTTTCTCTTATACAGACATGTAAAAAAATGCTTGGTAAAAAAACGCAATAATTAACACGATTTGGATTTGTTCTTGTTCCCTTTTGCCATGCAGAGGTTTTGGAGAAGGACTTCATGCAATGCTCAATTTTTGGATTTGTTCCCTTTTTCTGAAATGCTCACCTTTTGGAGTTTGCATATCTATTCATCAACGACGTGTGTTTCTCGTGCATAATATGGGTCCTTCTTTCTGTCTGGATATTGAACAATTGAGCATTCCCATGACTCTATATTTATAAAAAGGATATCATTTTTCCAGGTAAGCTATTTTAGACGTGCATTATTCATGTACAAACCATGAAATGGGCAGCATTTCTTCACCTGATTCATTCAGTCGGAATTTGGAGCGTCTCTGGCAACGTGGCCACTTCAAAGCACTTTTTACATACATTATTATTTACAAATTTTCACTTCTTGCTTTTAAGTATCTTCAAGATATTTATTACCTATGTAACAAACTTGCGATTTAAATAGACTTTGACAAATAATTTATTGTATTTAAATCAGGGTGTTCTTCTCAACCGGACCAGAAAACTGAGAAGTAATTTTTCTAAAAATGGATTTAGACAACAATCATGACAACGAGAATCCTCACCTGGCCGTTAAACTTCCGGAGGTAAGCATGCGTCTTGCATTAGTATTTTACGTCCGAGTATATACATAATTTCTTCCGGTTTCTAGATTGCAACGAACATTGTCACCTTCCTCCCCAAATCGGACCTCATCTCGTGCACTTTGATCAACTCGGCGTGGGAACAAGAAGCTCGAAAACGTCTCCTTTTCCTATCTCACTTTATCCTCGACGCAGAAAATGTCGCCCACCATCAAGAAATTTCTTCCGTCCGGGGAAACTCCGCCAGAAACATTGGGGTCGTCGAATTCCCCAATTTATCTCGGGAAGGCCCCTGTGGAAACTTTATTTCTACCCATGGCCACAAAGTGAATCGATTGGAGACTCGCCTACTCCCGCCAGATGTCACGTGGCCCCAATATTTCGAAACCTTATCAAACTCATTCCCCAATCTGACCTCGGTCGTATTACTTATCGACAATCTGGATAACACCGATTCCCCCCAAAATCGGGTGTTCTTCCCGAAGGTTAAAAACCTAGCAATCTACACGCCCTGGAACTTCATGAAACCCCAGGAAATACTAAGTACCCAATTGGCCCCCTTATTTCCAAACCTTGTCACCCTTTTCTGCCAACGAATTCGTCAATCCGTAGTCGAATCCTTTCTCCATTTCTCCCCAAATGTGACCTCCTTGATCTTGATCAATGTCCCGTTATTTGATCCAATCCGAGAAAACACTGTAAAGCTGACCCGGCTAGAAATCGGACATGACTACATCCACACCCTTTTGCCAGCAGGTTTAACCGCCATGCTGAAAATGTCATCAGGAACGCTAGAAACGTTGAGTTTAGCCCGGGTCGAAAATATTGATCCCTCCAAGGTACGAAATGACAAACGATTACTCGTATGTTTCCCTATCTTGCCGAAATTACGGGTTTTTGAAATTGTCCACAATGATTTCTCGACAAAGCTTGAGGGTAAAGTAAGTCCGCAGGCGACACCCGCCATAAATCTGAAATTTGAAAAGGGTAGTGCACAAACGAAGTTACCTTATGCCGAACAGTTCCCGGTTCTGGAAACATTACGGTTTTGGAAGGGCGCCTCTTCTCGAAAGGAGAAATTGACAGAGCAGGAATTTTTTGAGGGGGTTGTGTCGTTCTTGTACAATTCTTTCCTGCATTCGACGAACACGCCGTGTGAAAGTTTGCGAGATTTAGCCATTCCTTTGAAAGAAGATCGTGACGAAAAGTTCAAGGTTTTCGACGTTTCGGAATCTGCGGAATCAAAGGAGGTCGACGTCCAGGGGGGTTTTGAGTGGAAGAATGTCGGAGAATTTTTGGATCGATTGGACGATGTGTTCCCAAATTTAGTACATTTGTATAAGGTGGAGGATGAGAAGGAATTGGGAACAGAGTAAGGAGGACGACTACATTTCAATTTTGTAATGTCTATTAGAAAGGTCGTAATTGGTATAATTTAAAATTTTAACCATTTAACCAATTTTAATTACATACTAGTTTATTCATTTTTTACTGTAATAAATACATTTTTGTTTATAATATTAGCGAAAATGCCGCAAAATAATTTGTGTGTTAAACTCTGTTTCATTTCTGGTGATATTAGCGGGAAAGTCATGTGCCCATTTACTTAACATTGGCACGTGACTTTCCCGCTGATATCACCAGAAATGAAACAGAGTTTAAGTACAAGTTGCTGATGCAGAAGTTACGGCGTAGTTTAAAATTACTTTGAAAGGATTTTCAAGTAAAATATTTGTACGTTATTTAAGTATTTCAGTTTTTTTGCGTTCTTGAAAAAGTGTGTGTTTGGACTAGTTTTCGTATGCAATTAACACGATTTGGGTTTGTTCCCTTCTGCAATGCTCACCTTTTGGAGGTTGCAGGTTCAGCTGTATTAATTAACTTTTAAGTTTATTTTTCATTTATTTTCCTTTTTGAATAAATCAAGTTAAATATTCTCCATGTAATACTGCTGTGAAGATGTTTGACATTTATTTTTCATATTAAAGTACAATTTGTCGTGTTAATAGTTGACTGACGGAGGATGAGTCCAGGTAGAATCGTATGAATGAAATAAGGCACAACTTTAGACAGCCATACATACGTACACTTTGTCCATATAACATCAACCACATGTGCTCCTCGTGCATACTGTGGTCTCTTTTTCTGTCTGGACAATTGAGCCTTCCAACGAGTCTATATTTATAAGAAAAGGTCTCATTTTTCCAGGTAAGCTATTTTAAACATGCATATGTAATTAAATCCCTGAAGTGGGGTAGCATTGCATTTCCTCACCTCATTCACTTCGATGGACTGAGGATGAGATTATCTGGACTTTTCATAACACGTTTTACATTAATAAGTTTCAATTCTTGTTCTTCTCTTCAGGCTTAATTATTACATAGGTTGGTAAATAACTTGCAAGTTGACTAGAGCTGTAGAAATTATTTATTGTGTTAAAATAAGGGTATATTTTTATTAGTTTTATTAGTTTAGTTAGTTTTTTTTATTTCTTTCTTTCTTTGATATTTAACTCATACTTATTCAACTTTAAATTATAATTGGATGTTCATATTTATTTAAACGGATTTTAAGCGGATGCGTCATCCATTCTGCCTTGTGGACGACGACGATGCATAATTGCAGCAGTTGAGATGTGGTAAATTTAGGTACATAATTAATGCCTAATTAGGTATATAAGTAATAAAAAGTTCAATTTTGCTTCTAATAAAGTTGCTGGCACTTTTCGAGTGCAAAGATTAAGATTGATAGATAAACGGGATACAAATAATAAAATTGTGTCCCTGAGACTAAAAAGTTGCCAATTTTGTGCATCATCGTAGGAACAATATGATTTTATGAATCGTTCAAGCCGAATTTATCACGGACCATTTTTGCCCCCAATTTGATATAAGATCCTCTACAGATTATCTCGTACTCCTTCACATTGTATTCCCCCTTATTTTCACATTCCTTCTTGAGCCTGTCCTTTGAGCAAATATCAGCCGCCATGTCGCACGAGTGCAACATTCCTAACTGGTGGAGACATTGGTCCAAGAAACTGTCGCACTTGCAGGTCCTGATCTCCTCCTTTTCTTCGTCGGTGAAGGGTCGGACGCAAAAGCATTCGGCAATCGTGTAGGGTGTCTTTTCGTAGATAAGTCGCCATCCGGGATCGCAGGAGTCGATGCGGCCCTTGCATCGCTCTTTCATACGATCCCCGCTCCCTTCTACGCACGTCTTCTGCTCGGAATTCTGAAATTTCAAGGTTTGGATAAGTGATTTTATTTTATTGAATTTCAAGCAAAATCTAAATAAATTCTTAAAAATTCTTAACCTCAAAAAATGATGCGAATAAGAGGCAGAAGGCGAGGAGAGGTAAGTTGAGACGAGACATTATTTTTATTGTTTAAGGAGAATGTCTGAATTTGCTGATTGAAGGGATAATGAAGAATGAATTTAAGATTGAATGAAAGGAAGTTGTCTGGGTTCAATAACTGGAGAACAAAATAGTTTAATTATACAATTTATGGAGTATCTACATAATTGTTTTTATTGTTTTCTTCAATGGAAATTATTGTGTCTAACTATTACGAAAGGAATTCAAATGACTTATTGATGAAGTTTTTTTTATTGATGGAATGCCAATGAACAAATGCAAGGAATTTCATTGTACAAATAGGCAAATACATAGTCCCAAAATAATTTCCTGTCCTATTTAGTCAAAATTATAACTCGTGAGATGAACATTGATTTACCTGAATTAATCTATTTTATGCTCCCTCACCAACATAGGCGATTCTAGACCTTACCTTACAATGATTCGCGTCTTTTTTAGGGTTCGTTGTTCTGTGCAAGGGAAGCTCATCATAACTGTTTCTCCATAACATTTATTGCTGTTTTAAGTATATGTATACGTCGCATAATTACCTTTATCATCATCACCCTATCCCCAGTCTTTTGCTTGTATTTACTGTAATTTATAAATATACATATGTATGAGACTGACAAAGTAAAAACACGAAAATACTATATTATGTCGGATTATCACTTACATCGTCGCATGCATGGATAAATTTATACGTAGTCTCGGATTTGCGAATAGTCATTACTACGATCGAGTGGTTTATGGTCGATGTGCATTTGTTGAAAAGTCATAATTTATCAGTATTTATGAAAAGCTGTGTGCAGATTTGTGTGGGGATTGTCCTTGACCCCACTCACATAATGAGAATTGCACATTTTGTTAAGATATGAGATACGGAAATTGAGACAAGTAGTGTTGACAACCGGGGTGAACTGGACTCGAATGGAGCTAAATCAGCAATCAGCTGGACGAGTGCAAAAAGTAAACATAAACTACAAACCTAATAAAATAAACTAAAATACAAAATACGTAATTAATTGTTACGTAATATTTACGCTGAGATATATTGACGCTGATTACATTTATAATTAACCGTTCAGTCTATTATGGGATATTATCCCAGGGATAATAAGTATGGGTTGTCTTGAATTCGGTAAGTTCAAAGTTTGTCAAATTGTTATTTGTTATTTATGATTTACAAAGTAAAATTATTTACTATTGTTTAAACATAATTATAATTATTAACAATCAAATCAACTTTATTCAAGTTATTGATATTTCAGAGATATACATAAATAAAAACATAGCATAACCAGCCAGTTTATTTATTTTGCATTTTTGGTTTTTAGATCGGTTTTAAAATGGAATAATCGAAATGGAGACTACTCATGCCGACAACTTAAACCCATTCATTCGCCTCGTTAGAGATGACCGTGTCGAGGCTGCTGTCAACGATTGGATGCGCAGGACACTAATTAAACAAGAAACCCTAATTAAGCAAGAATGTGAAGGTAACATACATACACTAATTTCTGCCATATTTTCATTCGAATAAAACCAATGGTATAATTAATATCGAACAAATATGTAAATTTATATCAGCTCTGGGTGCATTATTAACTTTGTCAGATAATTTATTGTAAAATCAGAAATCCACTTTTCTTAGTGACATTTAATACGACTATTTTATTACGACCAAATTAATTCGTGCATATACTCCAATGATACAAAATTGTGATGCACAATGAAATGCTTAATTATAACAGTCTTAACTAATAACGAAGTGTTAAATGGCCAGCATCAGAAACTCAGGAAACCTGATTAGGGAAAATTTTGAAAAATGAAATGGTTTCATAATCGACAAGAATTATTCAATGAATCCTTGGTCAGGATGGAAAAAATCAAATAATACTCAAACATATTTTTGAAATTGCCAAATGTCCTATCCTGTTACAGATCTCGACCCCGTTGATTCAAAACTGGCCGGAGATTACACTCTGGAGAATGTTGCACACCTTTGTGTCGTCAAAACCGAGGCAGAAAGTAGTCACTCCACGGAAAACGTGGCTATACCTGGAACCACCCTTTTCCCCCCTTGCATCACAGACGACACCCTCCCTGCGGTCACCCTTCCACATAAGGTGATCATCACGGGGGATCGAGACGATCTTTTCTTAGATGACGAAGATGCTGACAATATTATGACAACAACGGAGTCCAGGTTCTCCTCACTTTCAAACTTTCGAAATTACATCGTTTTTACACATTTTCACTTTGCACTTTACTCATTTTCCAGACCCTTGGCCAAAAACCTCCCAGTCAAACATGTCCTCGTTAATTCCTTCCGTGCCAAAGGTGTACAAATAAAGCCCACTTCGTAAGTCGAAATTTCGCCCTAATTTTCTTTCATGACGAGTGGCCGCGGAAACAGGGGGACAGAATGACAATGTCCCCACGGTTATTCGAGGTCGTCATCATCTCCCCATGCTATATAATCCCCCCATATCCCATTATGTCGATGTCCCCACTGCTTCCCCGGCCACTGCACTAGACAACCTGTGTTTTGCAGACGTCAACCCCATCGCTCCCCCGCTAATAATCACACGACAAACTTCCAAACGGCTGCTGACTTCAGTCAAACTAAAGACAACGGCTACACGGAGCTGCAAACTTATTACGACACGCACAAAGTTGAACGTTCCCATGGCAAACTAAAATGTGCCTGCTCCGTCTGCGGGATGTGGCTACCGTCTCCCAGTGATTGTGCCGCCCATGAAGTCATCATGTGTGGAGTGACCCATTCCCCCGACCTCTTGATTGAATTGGATGTCACAATAATCATATGCATTGTTGAGGGATGTGGGAAATTGTTTTGGAAACACAAAGAGTTCGAAAAGTGAGTTAAAAATTGTAATGACATGTAAATAATTTTGTGTTAATTTGTAAATATCCAATTATATGTATGTATAGCCATATCTTGACCCTGCACAGTAGCGGGCGTGCTTATGTGTGTGTCATCTGTGGGGACAAATTCAAACTAATAAAAGACCTTAACCAGCATACGAAAGAGTGCAAATTTGCACAGGAGAGAATCAGAGGTGACGATGACACAAAAATTTATTTTATTTCTGCTCCGGTTTTTGGTGACGTAATTAAATTCTTAATGGATTTAGAAAATGGTCAACTTCTCCAAGTACCTCAAGAAGAGGAGGAATGGTCACCTTCGTCTTCCTCGGTCGACGATTGTAAAGATGTCAAAATAATGCCACCTGGGGATCTTGGCTACCTGTGTTCTGCCTGCGGAAAAGGATTTCCCTCTGAAATGGATTTGCTAGCCCATGAAGTCGTCCAGTGTCGCGTGGTCTTTCCCCCCAAAAGTCCAGAGTTAGATGTCAAGTTACATGAATGTAAGATGGCGAAATGTGGACAATTTTTCGCCACAGAGACAGCGTTGCAAGAGTGAGTTGTTAAATCGGTATATTTTAGAAATTCTGAAAATCCAGAAGCTTATTGTTATATCAGAATGAATTTAAAATCGGAATTTAAAGATTTGACAGCAGTGTTTTTTTATGATATAAACACGATTTTCCATTTAAAAAATTGGTTTCCTAAAAATTTACGAAAAGTCGAACCTGTGGTTTTTTACTGATTGATTTTATATTTTACTTGCAGTCACGTTCTCGTCAGCCATGACCCTCTGGGTGAATTATAACAATGCATTTGGTGGAATAATTCAAGAAGGAAAAGAAGAGGGAAAAGTCATTTCGACTTGGACATGAGAATCCCATGAAAGGACAGAGGAATTGGACAAAAGAATCGCATGAAAAACATTCAAAAGTTTTATTTTCTGACAGTAATTTATTTCGTGATTACTAAATATAGGGTTGTGCTCAATAAAATCTGTTGCTCTTTTTTGTAAATTTTTGTACATACATAAACATTAGCCAATCTTTCTTTTTCTCAACAATTAAGTTAGAGTGAACATAAAAATGAATAAATGCATTTTTCCTTCGAGGTAAAATTGGTGTTGCGGCATAGGCCTAATTTGAAAGTTTTAGTTAGTTTGTAATCTTGATTTTGTAAATTAAATTCTAACATGTAAATCAGGTTGAAAAACCAATCTGCTTTTTCAAATTACAAAATTGAAATGCAGGTCAGTGTTTTTGCATCGTACATTCTGGTTCCACATATGTAATTGAGACACAACTGAAAGCGAAACTTTAGCTCATTGTTTCATTGTTTCAAAAACAATTGCAAAAACTTCCCCTCACTCAATTCGAAATGCCAATTAATCGCTCCTACTCTACATTTTATATTTTACAATGGTGTTGTACATCATTTTGTGGTCCTTGTTTACTCTTCTTGTTCAGTTCTCAGAGGGATTCCACCACAAATTTGTACCCCCTAGGCAAGGAAGGGGTCGCAGGATACCTCATCCGTAACTTATCTATGGATATTACTATTTAAATATGTGTATAAAATTTAACAAATCTCAAATTTTGACATAATCAGATTTGGAAGGCATAGGATAGAGGGAACTTGGATTACATCAGAACGCGTCACGAATTGGGGCGATTGGGGTGAAGAATCATTTTGCCCGGTGGGATCATTCGCCATTGGGCTTCGAGTGAAATATGAAGAATTTTGGCAGGATGATGACACAGCAATTAATGGGATTGGCCTCAACTGCGCTTTCCGTAATAATTGAAACTATCTTTTTCTAAAGTTTTAGCTCATAAAAGTTAGAACACAAGCTGCAATCTGTTCACGCGCAGATTTATTACACTTCCAAGCTTTCAAAATTTTAACTAGGTGTCTATTTTTAGTCGGGTCCTCAATTATTGCCGGATTCCTTATTATAGCCAGGTCTCTAACTAAATTATGTCCTGTCTTGTCTGCGGTCTACATACATCCGTAACATATCCAGGAAAAATGCTACACATTCGGCTAATCAATGAATATGGTTAAAATTAATGAAATTTTGAATTTCATTTTTTTAAAAGAAACTCAACTTGAGTTGTCCTGAATTATAAGTTAGCTTATCATGTCTTAAATTAGGTCGGAATAAAATTTATCTGGGTCTCTAATTCTGGCCGGCTCTGCGATATTCAGTTTTGGATTTTAGAGTATATATTTATGTACGGTATTTAATACCATAGGTCGGAGTACTCCGAGCTTGGAGTATGTACTCCGGTCTCCGGAGGCCGGAGTACGCGACTTTTTTGGAGTACGGAGTACGCAAAATATCCGATCTATGGTTAATGCATACATACTTTGACCAACATTTTTTTCAGCTGACGGCGAACCCGTCTACGGAAACCCAGCTAGCAAAATTGGTCCAAATGGAATCTGGGAAGAATGTCGCTGCCCAGCCAGTCCCTTTGAAGCGGTCATTGGACATCGACTTTGCGTCCTAGAAACACAAGGCGCCATGGATGACGTATCCGCTTACGGACTTTACATCATATGCGAAAAGACTGGGTTACACCGTTGCGTTCGTGAAATAGATTTTGGAGAGTGCAGTCCGGAGGTTGTATGTCCTGAGGAGTATCCTCGTATTTGTGGAATTCAGACGCAAGTTGAGGATAATCAATGGTGGTGTAAGTATTTAAGTGAAAAATAGAGTAATTAACTAAACCAGTAAATCTTTATGGATGACAATTTATGTGATTTTAAATAGTACTGGATCAGACCTCGCTGAATAATGTGGATTTCTACTGCTGCAAGGGTGACACGTTATAACATGGTTGAGAGATGAGAGACATTTGTATTTCTTCAAGTAATGTTTTTTAAAGATGTTTCAAAATAAATATGAACATAAAATTTAAACTTTCATTAAATATCAAAGAAAGAAACAAAAATAAAGATAATAAGTGCGATGTAGTTTTTGAGATTAAGTATTTTTCCTTCCAGATACAATACGCATAGTACACAGAATACATTGTACATAGAATAACAATTGTTATTCTACATATGTACAAACGTATGTATTCTATGTACAAACGTATGTACAAACGTAAAGCGACAAATTTTTCAGTGTAATAAATACATACCTACATATGTAGATTAGAATATGACCACTGAAGATCCTTAGTTTAGAGAAGTTTGTTAAAATTCGCCTCCAAAATCTTACAAAAACCACGCAAAAACCCGAAATATGGGGTGCTTAATAAGTATCCGGAATTTTTCCATACGCAAATATCTAAGGATATCAGTTTGCCCCAAATTCGAAAGGACCGTAGTCGTGTAGCACATACATCCATCGACTAAAACCCGAAAACCGGAAGTCAATATCTGTTACCGTTCAAAAATGAGGTCAAAAACCAGCGAGCAACTTGCAATACCTTTCCGCCACTACCTCGAAAAAGTGGTTACGCGCTCCAAGAAATTGAGCTGTAGCCACTTTAAAAATCACCTAATTCAGAAATCAAAAATTTGCCATATACTACTGAGGTATGAGCTACAAAAAACGGGTAATCACAAAAAAATATCTGGTCTGCCCATTCGTGTGGCAGCCCACAAAGTGATAAGGCTCGTAAAAATAGAAATCTGCACTGTCGGAGCGTGATTCGATTCCGTAATTGAAGTTATCACCTAACGTAATATATTATTTTAAAGCTTATTAGTTGGGTATCAAATCCTACAAGGTTTTGTAAGCTTATAAATGCAGTGAAGAGTAAAATAAAAGTAACAAACCAGATGACAGAAAAAAGACTCGACCTGAAGTGTCCTGAAGTCATCAAAATTGGACGTCCCGTACAACACGATTTACAGCCAAGATCATCAAAATCATTTTATTTGCACATACATAGTGCAACTCTCCTAGTTTCAAGAAACCTATATAAGCAAAACTTGAAAATAAATCTAAGCAAAATTATCCCGCTCCGCCTGAAAACGGATCAAATGCAATTAACATGGGAGAGGTGAACAACGTTCCTAAATCTGCCCTAAACAAGACCTATTGAAGAATTTTTGTCTTTATCCAGTAAAGAATATCATAGTCGAAAAACTTCAGCCAAAAATTTGAACTTATTTCACAAAGTGTGGTCAATAATAGCAAAAAAGATAGATTAAAACAGTGGCGAAGCACTTTTTGGTGCGAATGACAAAAGCTTCTACAGATTGGGCGGAAGGGGTTGTATGAAACATTTGAAGCACAAAATAATTAATTTCAATCTTTGTCTCTCCCTGCCCAAAATTTCAGTTATATGAAATTATTGGTTTATTTTATATTTGCATATGCAAAAATTCCGGATACTTCTTAAGCACCCCATAGCTCACATAAACCCCATTTAGCATAAGGGTTTTTCTTAAATTTATTACCCCAAAATCCAGAGCTGGGAATCAATCCGGATTACCCAATGTTAAAGAATAGAGGGATTGGGGATTGGGGATTGGCCATTTAAACACATTGACTAATCCGGATTGATTCCCAGCTCTGGCAAAATCACCCAACCCACAAAAACCCAGGGTAGGAAACCCTAAACACATCAAACGTCATTTTTAAAAAACCCATCGGTTTTAAAATTGCAAAATTAAAACCCAGGTCATTGCTTTTGCATTGTGTAAATATTTTGATTCCGCATAATTTAGACACAATAGTAGGTAGATTTTAACTAATTATTACATTGTTTAAAAAACAATTGCAAAACATTGTCCTAGCTCAATTCGAATGGCCATACCTTAATTATTCTCACTACATTTTACCTTCGTAAAATGAAGTTACAAATCATTTTGTGGTACTTCTTTCCTCCTCTTGTTCATTTTTCAGGAGGATTCCACCAGAAATTTATACCCCCATGGGAAGGAAGAAGTCACGGGACACCCTCTCAGTAACTCTAGTACGGATCTTACCATTTAAATACATGAAATTTAACAATTCTAAAATCCTGACAGCGTCAGAGTCGGAAGGGAATATCTGTACGGCATTTGGCTTACATCAGAACGCGTCACAGATTGGGGCACTTGGGGCATCGGAACTTTCTGAGGGGATCATTCGCCGTTGGATTTCGCGTTAAATATGACGAGATTGGGCAGGATGATGACACAGCAATTAATGGGATTGGCCTCAACTGCGTTTTCCGTAATAATTGCAACAAACTTTTTTCTAAACTTTCAGCTCATAAAAGTTAAAACAAAAGTTGTCGATACACGTATAAATTTGCATATTGTAAGGCCTATTCAAATATCAGAAATATTCGAATTTGCTCGCCAAAAACACGTGCCCACTTGATTCACAGTGCGAGAGGGCTGAAATTCAAATCAATTCATGTTTAATTATTTCCCAATCAATATTATCGGAAATTGCCAATCGGACTTCCCTTCGTAAAGCCGGCATCACCCCCACAACCATTCTCTAGTCGCCCACTCCATTTCTGACGGCACCAGGGTATGCTACCCCGGGTTTTTGGGGTATTGGGGTATTGCGGGTTTTGATGGGTTTTGGGATAGCAAATTTGAGCAATACCCACGGGCAGTCCGGGTAGTCGGGGTCAGCCTGGGTGAGTCCACTGACACCCGCCGTTGGATTGGAATTTTTCAACCAATGAAATACGGCCATATACGCCCCATCGCTCTTTCGTAGTTTGCGGTCACTACGAGACCGGAATTTGTACAAATTCAAAAAATTTTAAATGTCGTAAAGTAATTTAAGCATTATGAATAATGTTTTTATTTGGAACGTTTTTAATTATTGAATTTAGTAATATTCACTGCTTCACCGGATGATAGAATTCCTCACCTACAATGAATTTAACAAAGTCCTACCTTGCCCCCCCCCCCCCTCGACCAATTCCATAACGCCAAAGTTTACATACTTATCTTGCCCAACTATTACCACAACTGAATTATTTAATACTTTGGCCAACATTTTCTTCAGCTATTACCGGCCAATACTACCCCAAGAACCCATCCAGCAAGATTGGTGCATTTGGAAGGTGGCGAGAATGTGTCTGCCCAGGTGAACCCTGGGAACCCGTCGTTGGATTTCGACTTTGCGTCCAAGCATCACAAGGCGATGACGTGGATGACCAAGCCGCTTACGGACTTTACATGGTATGCGAGAAGCGTCTGTTATTTGGTTGCGTTCATGAATACGATATAGGGCCGTGCAGTAACGCGGTTGTATGTCCTGCTGAGCATCCCAAAATTTGCGGAATTAAGACGCAAGTTGAGGATGAAAAGGAGCGTAAGTACTTAAATGAATTAATATGATTGTGGAAAAAGCATGTGATCGATTTAAGGGGGAGGGGCTTCTAATGTTAGTTGTAACATGGAGCGTTTAGGTCACACCGGGCGGGTAGGGGTCAAAATTTCCCGAAAGTTGATCACATGCTTTATGTTCGGCCACTAACTAAACCATTGAATTCTTTGGGATAAAAATGTATGTATATATCATTTTAGATGGGGACAACACCTCGCTGAATAATGTGGATATCTTCTGCTGCAGGGTTGATATGAGTATGTGAAGACATGGTTGAGAAATGAGATAGATTTATTTCAATAATGTATCCCTATGTATGGAACTTTACACTTTAATCAATGTCATACATTACACAATAATAAAATAATTTGTACATATATTTATAACACGTTAATTTCATCATAAAGAAAATCTTGGTTTTCAAATGAATGGAATAACTCGAACAATTCTATAACTCTTTTTGCATTCTTAACATCTAAAAAGCAAGGCTTGCCTAGGATTCCAAGGCTAGGAATAATGGTCGACAAACTTTGGTGCATTATTGTGCGTAAGAATCAGAAGTCTCAGAATTGCCAGTTGGTAATTTTTTTGCGAAACTTGATTGATCAATAATTGATTGCCCTAAGCAGAAAATATGTAAGGCTAAATGTTAGCATTTAATTTACATATCGTCGTTGAAGCTGCCAAAAGGGCCTTCTCCATTTTGTGTCAATGGCAAAGGGGCCAAGTCCACTTTTGGGGGGTACTGAGATTTTAGGGCCAATAAATTCTACAGAATATTCTAAACAAGATAAGTGCAACCAATTTTTTTAGAAAATTCGGAAACTTCCTAAATAAGCTTCTGAAGCGAGAGTAATTGAGGTGCATGTAACAACTTACGATGCGATGACGCCAGCGGTCTCGCTCCGATTTTGATGAAACTTACATAATTACGTAGCCTTAGGTAAATAATTGAACACATATTTCGGGATTTTTCATAATGCTCAGTAAAATCTATTCATATCAAACGTTATTTTTAAAACCCGATCTTTCTTTAAAATTACAAAATTAAAACCCTGGTAACTCTTTTTGCATTATGAAAATAATTTGACTCCACACATTTGAAACACAATTGAAGGTAAAACTTAACTGACTTATGCCTTGTTTGAAAAACATTGTTTAAAAATTTGTCCTCGCTCAAATCGGAAGGCCATACCTTAATCATTCTCACTGTACAGTTTTCCTTCGTAAAATGAAGTTACGCATCATTTTGTGGTACTTCTTTCCTCTTCTTGTTCAATTTTCGGGAGGATTTCACCACACATTTATACCCCCATGGGAAGGAAGAAGTCGCGGGATACCCTCTCAGTAACTCTACCACATACGGATTTTACCATTTATGTAAATACATAAAATTCAACAAACATAAAGTTTTTGCATAATCAGAGCTGCAAGGCGAGGAATAGACGGCGAATGGATTCAATCAGAACAGGTCACAGATTGGGGCAAGTTTGGTAAAGAAGAGTTCTGTCCGGTGGGTTCATTCGCCATTGGGTTTCGCGTCAAATATGCTGAAGTTGGGCAAGACGATGACACAGGAATTAATGGGATTGGCCTCATCTGCGTTTTCGGTAATAATTGAAACACATTTTTCTAAATTTTCGGCTCATAAGAGTTTAAACACAAGCTGAATTTGCATATTTAATGGACCATTAAAACATCCCAAACTCCACCTTTTTACGTATTCATTGTGTTTACTCAGTGTGTTGACCTCACTCAACACCTCAATAAATTTCCATTTTCCTCACTCCCCCGACTTCCCCCCACAAACCTGACTTCACCCCCACCACGATTCTCCAGTCGCCCAATCCATTTCCCACGGTATCGATAACCGATTTATCTACTTGCCTTCCCATTTATCACTTTCTCCACTTTCACTTCCGTGGCAAACTGAAGTGAAAGCATTTCCCCTGAACACCTGAATTTACATTCATACATTCCTAACATTTTGTTAGCTAACGGCCAACCCATCCAGCAAAACCCATCCAGCACGGTTGGTGCATTTGGAAGGTGGCAAGAATGTCGCTGCCCAGGTGAACCTTTCGAAGCCGTCGTTGGACATCGACTTTGCGTCCAAGAATCACAAGGCGAACACGTGGATGACATATCCGCTTACGGACTTTACCTTGTATGCGAGAAGCGTAGGTTATTTGGTTGCGTTCATGAATATGACATAGGGCCGTGCAGTGACGCGGTTGTATGTCCTGATGAGTATCCCAAAATTTGCGGAATTCGGACGCAAGTTGAGGAGAGGCAGTGGGGTAAGTTCTTAAGTGAAGAAGCAAGTAATTAACTAAACCGCTAAATTCTCACGATGAAAAAATTATATGATTTTAGGGGAAGACGACACCTCCCTGAATAACGTGGATTTCTTCTGCTGCAAAGGTGACAAGTAAAGATGTGAGTTGAGAGATGAGCGACACTTCTAAATAGTACTCTAAATAATAATGCTTGTTAAGGATGTTTCGGTGAATAAATAAATAAAAATATCCAATTTAAAGTGAAATACAGAGGATGTCCCATTTATTTATTCGTGGAAAGTTTTACAATTTTTCTACCCAGATCGGATCTTTTTTAGAGGCGAAACTTGCTCTATATGATGGCCCTTGTTCTTGTTGAAATACGAAGAGTGGATCAGAATAATGGGCATGCTGCCTTTGCTCTATGATGCTTAACTACAGTAACTATATATGAATGAATGATACCGTACTTAATGACCATACTTGGAATTTGTTCCTAAAATAGAACAGGTAATACGTGTATGTATTTAGTGCCTCGAATTCGAACCTTGTAATCCGTCAGTATTTCATAACTGCGATCAGTTACATATTTATCTATTTTTAAATGTGTGGATATAAGGAATGCAATGGACAGACTTTGTTAGGAGTAAGTACCAGTATTCAAATGGTCGGTGAGGTACTATGTAACAGACTTTTTGAAACGCTATAATTCTAGAATTTCGACGAAATTTCGGCACAAAAATTGTACCCTTGTAAGAAAAAGCTAAAATGTTTTCCCCTATCAAGCCTTTATCCCCCAGTGGTCAGCTAGACTTGGAAATAATTAAAAGTAAGAAATAATTAATAGTTTTATGACAAAATCAGCGCAAGTTTTTTATTTATTTACTATTTCCACCCTTTTACCGGTGGTTGATGCAGTTTTTTCAGTTTCTTGCAAACTTTCTATTTATTCGAAATTTTGCGGAAAATTGCGTTCTGCTGTCTAGTCGAATATATGTATTTGTCTATTGGCAAAAATGTCTATGAAATACCTATTAAAATTAGCAAAGTGGTTTTCAGCAAATTGATTAAAGTGCAAAACTCTGGCGATTTTGATAGGGTAAAAAATAGTCTTTGTCCTTCTCTGATTTTGTACCCCTATTTTTTTTAGAAAGTCTGGAAGAAAAAGAGAAACAGATAAAGCAGTTGGAAGATAAGATAGTAGATTCTGACCACAAACGTACAATGGCACTCAAGACCCTTGATGATTGCGATACCAATATACGAGTTTGGAAAAACCAGATACACACCCTAAATTTTATGAAGAATGCAATAAAAGAGAAAATCCAGCAGTATGACGGGCCACCACCAGCCCAACGACGCAGATTAAATGGTAACATGTTATTATGAAATTCGTTGCAAAGATTTCGCCCATAGATACACTCGGTAACAAGTTTTTACGGACTTGAATAGTTTTAGTACCAACCGGTAGCAACTTTAATACCGAGAAATCAATACTTGCGTGGATATGCAAGATTTCTACCTTCGACTAACCCCAATGAAATCATGCAATAACTGATTTTTTGAAATTTTTTAGATGATGAGCCAATGGAAACTGGGAGAGGATTGGAACGCAGGAAGCTTGTTCCGTCGATGTCGACGATTGTAGGGTCCTCCGGAAACACCGTGGCTAATCAGGGTACGATCAGAGATATAAACAATGTGACAGTAGGGAACAGGTAAATAATTTTGCGCAACATTTATTGTTAAATAGGCTAGTTAAATTTAGGTTGTATTATTTAGCTTGCTCAATTAAAGCATTGTAAATATGTATGCTGGTGGAAATCTGTACGTACTTTCGTTCCACCCAAGTTTGAACTGGTACAGAAATTTTGAATTCTGAGAAACTACGGTACTGCCAGCCTTAAAGTTATACATCAGTATTATAGGATTCGGTCCAGAAGTAAAGAAACATTTGAAAAAGTATATTTATTTGTATGAAAGAAAAATTGTCACTGAGTTGGAACGCGGTAGTTTTGTAGTCCATGCGATTGACTATCCAAATCAGAAAACCGGAAGTCGATATCTCGATTAGTTCAAAAATGAGAACAAAAAATTCAGAGGAACTCGCAAAAAAATTTTGCCACTACTACGAAAAAGTGTGCGAGCGCGTTCGGATAATGGTTAATAGCCACTTCGAAAAAGAAAAAATTCATAATGGGGCAATTTGCGGAGTTTTAGATATGCATGAGGGGAGGAGGAATGCTGAATTCAAAAAATTAAAAAATCGTCCTGCTCGTGTAGCGACCCCCAAAATGATACGTAGAGTTCAGAAGGAAAACAAAAATAACCTTGGGATGTCAGACAGTAATTTGGGCTACAAATTGAAAATATCAAAATTAAGTTTACACGACATTAAACCTACGAAGTTGGGGGTCAAATCCTATAGGGCGACACCTGCACCAAAGTACAACCAAGGTCAGCAAAAAAGAGCAAAGCCCAACTCTCGGCAGATTGCTGAAAAACGAGTCAAGCAAAACATGCCCGTGAATCTGGTCATGAATGATGAGACCAATTGCTCGAATGATCCAGATGAAGTCCCTGCGAGGAAGTACTACTCATGTACTAATCAGAAAACGTTTAAAGATTCCTTCAAATACACGCCGAAGTCAAAATTCCCTATAAAGCACATAATCGGGCGAGCATTGGACTCATTGGGGGACGTCTCAAAACCGTTCGTGACCACCATGACCTCGGAGAGATATCTGAACGATTGTGTAAAGAAGATCTTGATCCCCTTTATCAATAATCGTGATGTGCTTTTTTGACCGGACACAGGAACATGTCATTATTAAAAAGTTGTTCTGGACTACCTGCGGTCGAAAAAAATCGATTTTGTTGCAAAAAAGGAATATGCTCCCTACGTCCCTCGGGCAAGACCAATTGAACGATTTTGGGCATTATGCAAGAGAGAATATAGTCGTCGAACAAAACCACCCAAAAAGTTGGGAAGATTCCGTCACATTTGGACATACACCTCAAAAGTGGTAGCGAGAAAGAGTGGCAAAGCACTTTTGGGGACCGCGAGGCAAATAATTCGCCAGATAGGAAGGATGGGGGTCTATGGACCATATGAAGCAAAAAATTGAACGATACGGACCTTGTTCTTAACCCTTAAAAGTGTCATTGGAATTAATTAAGTTTTCCGGATTTTACAGGCATTTTTCAAATGTTTCTTTACTTTTGGAACGAACCCTACGTATGCGCAATAAAAATCTGTTTAAATTTCAAACTAGAAAAAAACCAAAACTTTCTTTAACTTTGCATAGCATGCGGGTTTTGAGTTGGAATTTTTATGTCTCTTTACCTTACCTTCTTCCATATATTCAAATGGCAATTTTAAAACCTGTTCATCGCTTTGCGTTTCTTACAATATGAAGATTTTCATTGAAGCAAAAGAAATCAAAATTCTACCTTCCTAACTTTGCAAGCCTAAAAATTGTCGATTTTTATCAAAGTTGACAAAAAGGTAATATAAAATTTTCACATTGTAAAAAACGTAAAGCGATGAACAGGTGTTAAGTAAAATCGTCCTGAACTTTATTTATGTATCTATTCTTACATACAGCTTTACCGATGTCACTTGCTTAAAATTATTTTAAGAAAATTAAAAATTATTTCTCCATAGATCCATCCACATCCATTTCCATCTGCCAAAATAGTGGGAGTCTGGATTGTACCCTTTTCAGGAAGAAAGAACTTATCGCATAATACCTGGTTGACTATTAAATTATTTCTAACATCAAACCCAAGTAAACCTTCATCACCTACTTGCTGACCTAGTAAATTGAAAAAAAAATTGTTTTATCTCTCTGTGCTGTGCATTGTAACGATGTTGTCATGGAAAATTTAGTAATGATAAATATTTGATTTTCATGACCAATAAATAAAGTTTCTAGTTTTCCTTTCACCAAGAGTAAGATGTAGCATGGATGAGTAAAAATAAATTTAAGCTCAAATTTCATGAAAGGAGTTGCATGCAAAATCCATATTTACATATGTACATACCCAATGTACGTATTGAGCATGGTAGTGGTCAGACAATCGCCGAGTTCCATGTTACGTATGTATGTACATATGTAGCAAGCTTCTATTTCCCCTGGCTTCAAACATTTTGTATGCAAAAAACTTATCTGAATTATTTTATTTGACTGCATTATTACATCTCAAACGGATTACAAGACAACGTTGATCAAGAATGAATGGGGAGACGCAAAAAAATGTAAAATTGTCAAATCATTGTGGCGCATATTGCACGGGTATGTGTAAGAACATAAAAAAGTCATACTCGTATTTGCATACGTAATTAAATATCTGCGTACTTTTTATTATACGGATACGGAGATTTAAGTCATCACTTTTACATATCCATGAATGAAATGAAACCCATTTCATTTCACACTTCCTCTACGTCATTTCTTATTTTTTTCGCATTTTCTTCATCTCAATGAAAAAAATGGAAGTAATACATACACCTCAAATTCTGATTGCGCGTCATTTCTACATTTTTTTTACATACATACCACGCACAACTAGGACAAAACAATGAAATATGTAACTAATTTAGTTCCGTCTTTATACCAGCGGTCGGTCAAGAGGTACGCAAGCCGGGCAAGAAGTACATACGTAAGCAACTTTATGCAAATTCGTATAAATAGTCGGTCCCCCTGCCTAATCTATATCCAGAAACTGAAACTTCTCCAATCCGACTATTAAAACTAAGACATATGTACTTCCAAGAAAATCTCCAATTCGAAAAACAAACCCAAGTGACATTTCCAAGAAATTATTCTCTTGTTCCCAGCAACCATGAATTTTGGGAAAGCTTTCCTACTCGGGATTGCCATCACGGGAATTGTTGCTTGTTTAGCAACGGGGGGATCGGGTGTCCCAGTACCCGATTCTGAGGGGAACGACCTGCAGGGGCAAGTTGAACTAAGGGAGGAGGATTTTTATAACAAAACTCAAGTCCAGTTGGATCCTGTGGAGGGAAGCCTGAGCGACGGCAAGGATAAAGGTGATGACGACGACGCTGATTTAACCTCCTCATTCCCACAGGAAGAAGTAGAGAAAAGTGACCAAGATGAGGATGCGATGGAAGCTGCAGCTGCGCCCAAACTACGAGTGAAACGTAAGATTTTCTTAAAATTTGTTTGTGATTTGTATGAAAATATGTGTGTACATACATCATTACGAATAATTTCTAATTTTTAGGAAAGGGTGGAAAAGGAGGTGGTGGGAAAGGGGGAGGAAGAGGTGGGCGCGGACGAGGGCGGGGAGGATTTAGAGGACGAGGGGGGTTCAGGGGACGAGGGTTTGGAAATTATGGACGCGGATATGGGCGTGGCTATGGGTATGGGCGTGGGCGTGGTTACGGGTATGGGCGTGGCTATGGATATGGGCGTGGCTATGGATATGGGCGTGGCTACGGATATGGGCGTGGCTATGGATATGGACGTGGATATTACTATGGATAAAGAAAACCGACTTTGATGGACGCGTTGGATGCCTTTAAAGTGAATTTTTCAAAATTAAATGAACTGTTTGTGGAAAGAATAATTTTCGTTTTTATAAATTTATTGAAAAATAAATAATGCTCTCTAAAATCATCGCTTCACCAAATTATTAAGTAACCAAAGTTAAGGACAAAAAATATTTGCATGCATAGAACAGCCATGAATAACGTTAATTTTTTGAGCAAGGTTTTCTCATACAGTATTTCCATCTTTGATTGAATGCTTCTGAATTTTCTTGACATTTTGAATTCCAAGAATTATTCAAGTTTATTTTTTTTGGGTGGTTTAATTGGCTCGCTAATACGATTCAAAATTTCCGATGCGAAAAATTCGGAAATTTCCATTGGCTACTGATGTTTTTGCCTCAGTAATGGAACTGATGATTATAATTGCAAATTATTTGCATGTAATTCTGGAGAAAACCAGAATTTGGTCATGTTTACATTGTAAGTAGCTTTGTAAATAGGAATTATATATGTGTTTTGGAAATAAGTAATTTGTTTTGTGGAAATATTGAGTATTCAAATATGTGGCACATTACTAACCAGCATATATACATATGTACATAGATATGCATTACAATTTTATGGTTAATCACCAGGGCGCACAAAGTTTTTGCTCTCCTACGGTGCTAATGCAAGACTGATTTCTTAAGCAAATTAAAATTTCGGGAATTGCGTGCAACTTTTCCATGAATTTGGTTGTTAGATACTCACATACCACAAAAGAATAAATATGATGTAATGTAAATCTTATCTTTGTCTTCATGTCTGAAAATGAGGAATAAAAGGTTTTATGACAATTTTATGATATTTTTATGACAATTTTTTTCATAATCCCGTTAAGTGAAGAATCAGACAAAAAAGGGTGGCTAAAAAAAGCCGACACATTTAGGGAAGATTTCAGCTGGTTGGGGGTACCGTAAAAGCTAGTGAGAAGTTTCAGTTAATAAGTGGTGCATTTAATTAAGAATCCATTTCTATGCTTTATAATACCTAAAAATTTTATTACCGTTCCATATTAAAACATTTCTGCGTTTAAAATTTTAAGCTCGAGTGAAATTAAAATCAGGAAAATTAAGACATTTTTAACGGATTTAAGATTTAAGATAATCGCAGGAACCATTAAATTTTAACCAAATTATAATTTTGGACAAATATTTATGTATGTACATATCATATATATAATTTTAATGCATGTATTGTTTTGGTTATCCTCTTACTCGTACTGGAACTCGAATCCCGTTGCCGTGAGGCTTGCATCCGTTACAAATAGGATTAGGCCTGCTCCGTCCTGGAAGGTTACACTTGTTGGAATGGTGGACCCACAAAATCTATAAAAAAAATCAAAAATGTATAGCAGAATTTTTTGTAATGGTCACCACATTTGCATATTTTTAAGAGTTAATGTATGCCGCCGCAAGTGTGAATAATAAAATTTATGTAAATGAGGTGACACGCACAAAGTCAACTGTAAATACTCGTACTCACAAATAAATACGAGACTTGAGAAACTCGAATTTAGACTAAATTGGAAATTGTCTCACCTGGCAACCTCGAGATATCCGTTGTCAAACCAATTGAAGATTCTAACCGGGTCGCGCATGCATCCAGAATCATTTTCAAGATCGACCCTTGAAAAGCGAAGGGTCGGTTGTCCCGGAACTGAGGGCGCAATGGCAAACAGAGCATTTTCATTATTTCCGTACTGACCCCCGTTAACGGGATAGGTGTAGTTTCCCTTGGCCTCGGTCAAAAGGGCGTGCCCGCTAAGGTCAGAATTTTGGGGCGAACCACTCGAGTAAAACTCCAGTTTGAATCCTTGAGTTGGGGCGTGCCCAACGCTGAGGGTGAGAATGAGGGTTCTATGGTACATCGTGACGTTCTGACCAATTGTGTCCCTAAAATGTAATAATATTTAAATTATAATTAGTGTACTTGCGAAAACGTCTTATTTAGAATCGCAACCCATTTAGCAAACTTGAGAAAATCAGAAATTTGTGTCGTTAGGTTAGTCGAAGTGGATTCGCAAATCTTGCAAATCTACAAAAAACACCTATTTTTATAATTTTCCATGGATTTCTTTCATTTCTCTTGCTAGTGATGGTGAGCATGTGTATGCGAAATAATTTTGCGAAATGAGAACATGCCCAATTGCTGGGTAAATTTGCAAAAAAAATCTGATGGTTTTCTAGCGAAATTTTTGCGGTCTTGCAAACTCGCAAATTTTATATGTTGCCATGCTCAATTTTCGAGAGTAAATGAAACCTTACAATTTTTCCTGGGGTGTTATCCCCCCTCTGGATCGGGCGGAAAGGAAAAGCCCGTCAGTTCCTAAAAGGCCGGACGAAACCAGGTTGAACCTCTGGAAGAGGTATGACGGTCTTATAATCCAAACACACCGCATATCCGCCCGGATCGATCCGCCAAGCTGGAACTCGATGGAGGCGGAGGATGCTTCGACAAACCCCCCACATGTCGTCACTATTTAATTATTTAAATTATTTAAATTTAACCTTTAAACTATGTAATACCATATATGAATCTTATTGGCTTACCATTAACGACAGGTTCAGGGTCCTCGGGTGTGTCCTGGTTAGGCTGTGGGGTGGCTGGAAAAAGGTACATGCAAAACTAGATAACTGGGGCAAAGTGAGAATCGGAAATATAATTTTGTATATTGGGTATTTACATACCTGTTGCCACAGCGAAGAGGAAGGCGACGAGAATAAAGGTTGAAGTTGGATTCATGTTGAACTTGAAGACGAATTATGTGTGGTGTGTCTAGAAGGTAGAGAATTGGTCTCAAATTTATACCCTGCCTGAGGATCGATAACGTAATTGATTTTGCTTATCGTCCCATCCAGACAAAAGTTCATTGCGTGATCATATCCAAAATTTTATTTTCTGGCGACAGGTGTATTAACTTCTCTGATGCAATATGTATTTTATCGGGATGGGAATAACGTCAAACTGACACGTAGGCTAAAAGTATCATTGCATAATTAATCTAGTTTTACATAACATGTAAATCTAGATTAATTAAATAGTTTACTCATATTACGTGTAAACTATTTTACACGTATACTTGCAAAATAGTGAGGCAATTCACGCACCCTTGGTAACTACGTAAACAGCGTAAAATCCGTAAACTTACAAACCTTTACAAACAGCTACCCGTGAATTCACTTTTGCAATTATTTTCCTAAAAATTTTTCTGATAATTGAAACATAATGCCGATCATTTCGAGAAAGCGGAAATTAATGGAAGAAATTTAATATTTGAAAAAAACACTTCTGGATAGCACACAGCTTTGGAAGTTCATAATGTTAAAGGATTTGATGTCAAATAATAGAAAATCTAAGAAACATTTAACCATCTACAACACGGAGTTTGACAATATTATGTCGGTCAATTCGGAGAAAACTTTAGAACTCTGGCTAAATGAAGGCTGCACTTTAGAAATTTTGTTTACAAAATAAAACGTGTGCGAGTGTCGAACAATTTTTTTTCTTCCCCAAATTAAGTTTACAAAATACTTTACAAAATAAAAAGACGCCCGTGAGCTGCGTGAGTTTACAAAAGCTTGTAAACTGATTTGCCTTGGCAATTTTTGTAAAAGCTTGTAAGTTTACGGATTTTACGTTATTTGCGTAGTTACGAAAAGTGCATGAATTGATTCAGTATATTGTTTGTTAGTGATACTAATTTGAATTGAATATTTAGCCCCGGCTTTAATATGATTGTAGGAAATCCAGAAATTTCATACGACAAAAGGCCTAGTTTTCGCTTTTGCAAACATTGAGTCGGTCGCACGGAGATAATCCTTCCACACATTTTACACTATAAAAGCTCCAGAAGTGATCCAAAATACTTAAAAATCTACATTGACAATGTTTTCATTATACTCCGCAAAAACATTGTTGTGTTCCTCATAACTGATCCATTTGTATCATATGCAATTCATTGACAGTGCGATATTTAAACAGCGGTTTTTTGATTTCTTAAGTGAGTAATGTACATACGTCGGATATGAATGAAAAATGACTTTTTCCATTTATTGATCTACAGTCGCCAAACTTTCTGAGAATGTTTATGGTCACTAGTAGGTCACGTAGGTCGAAGCATATTTTCTCATATTAGTCATATTTTCGGGTGTTAGGACATATTCATATTCCTGATCATATTTCGGGTTTTTTCGTTCATTTTATCATTTTTGGCCAAATTCTAAGATTTGGCAACCAAATTCTAAGATTTGGCAACCAAATCGACGGAAAATGACAAAAAATTCAGTTTTCTCACAATTATTCATTGTGAGAAACTTTAAGAAATTTACGTTCACTTTCGCCTAAGGTGATTTAATTATTGGGAATGAATTAAATCACCCCAGAATTTGTTTAATTGATAAAAATTGAGCATTAAAATTGAGCATGAGAAAATATATCAAAAAATTAAGCCAAAAATTTGAAAAATAAAGTCATTTTTATGGTCATATTTTGGGGATTTTTACGGTCATTTTTCATTCATATTTTGAGGTTTTATCATTCATTCATATCCGACGTCTGGTAATGTAATATCACTCAATTATTACGTGTACGCCATCCATAAATATGTGGCAAATCTTTTGGCCACAAAAAGAAGACGAATAATAAAATTAATAAAAGTGTCTGCACAAACTAATTTAACCAATTGCATCATTTGACTTTGCTCCACGTATGTATTTTTCTACGCACAAATTACATATGTACCTGTACAAATGCATACTCCGTTGCGTGCTGTGTACGTGACCAGCGGTGGCGTGGACAGCTTGAAGATAAGCTGCTTTGTCATTTTCTAACTCAACCATCGCATTATAAATAGATTGTTATGTAAATATTACGTGCATCGACATTACACAATTTTTTACAAGGTATGGAATATTCTGGTTAGACCTTCATACGGCACAAACATGTACATATCCGAGGGTCAAATAAGTTTTCTGAAAGTTACTATAACAAGCTTCAAAAACTTGATTGCGACATGAAAGTCATACATATGCCTGCTCTTAGAATAACTTTGAAATATATTAAATGTTGACTAAAATGTTGTCGGAAATTTTCATTTCTGAGTTTTCTTTCAAATTAAAACTTGAAAATGGGTGCTGATTGTTATGCCTTCATATCAAATATCCTGGAGTGGTAGCATAAAAATCGCTTGTCTTATTCACCTGACAGATCATAATTTTACTTAACCTAAGCAAAACTGTATGCTTAATATAAAACTTATTACCTACTTAATTAAGTACATCTTTTAGCCTACGTGTCAATTTGACGTTGCTCCCACCCCGATCAAATATTGCATCACAGCAGTAATTATGTAAATACATCCGTAAGTCGTGACATCAATCAAATTTTATAATGACGCAATGGACACTGTCTCGACAGGGCGATAAGCAAAATCAATTACGATGTCGACACAGTATAAATTTGAGACCAATTCTCTTGTTTCGAATCATACTATAATTGTCGTCTGCAATATGAATCCAACTGTCTCCATTGTTCTTGTCGCCTTCTTCTTCGCTGTGGCCACAGGTATACAAATATATACCCTACAAAATTATATTTCTGATTCTCACCTTACCCCAGTCATTTAGTTTTGTATGCATATTTTTAGCCGCTCCGCAGCCTAATCAGGAAAGACCTGAGGACCCTGAACCCGTTGTAACTGGTAACCACACACGAAAATTTATGTGAAAATGTAAATTTATCCCTTTGCGGCATTATATATATATTTTTAATTTAGTGACGACATGCGGCGGCAGTGTGAACGCTTCATCTACCTCGATCGAGTTTCAACTTGGCGGATCAATCCGCGCCGATATGCGGTGCATTTGGCTTGTGCAGGCTCCTTACTTCAGCCAAAGGTTCACCCTGGTAGCTTCGGGGCTTCAGGAAACCGACGGTCTTTTTATTACCCCGGTGTTATGGGATGGGCTTGGAACCTCACAAAAATTGTAAGCTTGAAATTTATTATGGAATTTAAGTTTTTGTCTCAATTTTGTTGAAAAATGAACAATTTTTTAGATCTACACTTCGCCAGAACTTAACTCTAACATCAAAAAGCGTGTTGATCACTTTGATTGTTGGACACGCCCCAACGCTTGGATTCAAAATGGTATATTATGCAAGCGGTTCCTCCGTGTTTCCAAATATTACCAGTCACGCAATCTTGACTACGTCGAAGGGAAATTTGACCTATCCCAGTAACGGCGGACTTTATAGGATTAACCAGAGGGTCTTGTTTCCTATTGCCCCAAGTGTCCCGGGGCAGCCGACCCTTCGCTTTACGAGGGTAGATATCGAACCAGGTTCTTCCTGCCAATTTGACTGGACTAGGATTTACAATTGGTTTGATGGCGATTATCGTCAAGTAGCGATGTGAGTGGATTAGGGTTTTACCTGCTTTGAGTATGGCAATTAAATATTTTTTTAATTCGCAGATTTTGTGGGGGTACAATTCCAACCAGTGTAACGTTCCAGGATGGCGCGGGCGTCGTCTTTTTTTATTCAGATTCTAGCGTCACCGGGACTGGATTCGACTTCCAATATGAGTAACGCATTAAACGCAGTAACACATTTAAATTGATGAACACATTGTAGATTGAACTTTTGTGTAAGAGGGACAAATTAGCAATTATATTTATTTGTGGCGAATAAATTCAAAATTTTTGTGCATATTTTACTATCAAATTCTTATTTCTCTCATTCGTTCTAAGCCGATGGGATGGTTTATTAACAGTATACATATATTTATACATATATGTATTTCATTTATATTTATATGCTTGATTTTATATTGACTGAAGTCTTGATTTTAATCATAGACAGAGCTAGGGGTGCATATCCATGTACATATCAATTACAAATGTCGCAAATTATTCAAGTTTATAATTTTGAGTGTGTAATTGATTATATTTTTAGTATTAGTCCATTTAATTCACTTTCTTACTGCAATACATTTTTGTTTATAATGTTCGCGAAAATGTGCAAGAATAATTTTTGTGTTATATGCATACATATGTGTGTATGTACATGGTCAAAATGCTTGAAAGATAACTTCATAGTTTAAAATTGTTTTTTGTAAATAAGGAAGGATTTCCATTGTGAGCAAATATTTGTACGCTATTTATTTTATTCTCAGATTTGTCAAGTATGTATTTGCTCAGTTTTTAGAACGCTGGAAATTATCATAAAATTATATTGTGATTAAAGCAGACGAATATATAAACTATATTTTTTATGACATATGTATGTATAAACACACGGAAATAGAAATATTATTATTATCTGGTGGAAGACTGGCTTATATAAACTGGCTTAAAAGACAAGATTTAGATGAAGTTTTTTTACAAACAAAATAATGTTGCATCGCTGCATGGATACAAATATTTGTTTTTTTCTTTCTTTGGTGTAAAATTTAGTTACGATGTAAGTGCTATGCATTTATTTACAATTTCTCAAAAACCAAAATAATTAAGTACGCATTGGTGAGCACATTATTTTTTAAGTAGTTAACTTTATTAACTCAGAATTACGGATATCAATAATGATCTGGAAAAGGTAGCATTTTAATTTGAGCGTGAATTAATTAACTCACAAATTAATATTAATTTTTAATTTGCATAATTTCCCAACCAATTTTATAGTTCGCATGTTTAAAAAATTATTACTTGAACTTTAATCAATTACATACGTGTAACAGGAATGAGTTTAAAGCCAAAGGTACGTTAATTTTCATAAGCCTGCCTTAAGATTGTTATAAATCCGATTTATCTTTCATGATACAATGGCACCGTTTAAAATCTTGGCAACGGAATCTTCTCTAAGGAGGACACCTTGCAAAGACAGACCGCATTCACAAGATCGACGCCATGAGCACAAAGAACATTTCGTGTTCCTTCCATTAAGGAACCGTCATACTTCTTACAAGTTTCAATGCAGTCAGTTCCATCACAGGAGACGAGTACATCCTGTGTCTGAAACGTAATACAACAAAATTACTACCTTAGTTTCTGCTTTGATTTTTAATTTCTTACTGGGTTTTGATAGGTTGCGCAAATTACGAGGAGCAGGAGAAAAATTATTGGGAATCGTCTTATCATTGTGTACTATATTCTTCTACTGTTAATATTTCTTCACGAAGCACAGGCTAGACTGGTAATGAGAAGCTTATGAGGTGGGATCTTGCTATTTATGGGGTGTTATTGGAGTGTTACTACAGAGCATGGTCCCTCCTCACGTAAAAATTTTCAACAATTTTTCTAACCTTCATATGATTTTTTTTTGATAATTAACATGCTCGATGTGATGCCCCTTGTTCTGAACTACAAGTCTGCAACGCTATTTCCTTTATGAAAACGCTTCCTGGAACTTTTGAATGGATATTTTTAACCACTCGTCCTTAAAACTTTTCCAAAGTCCATCTAAAGTCGTAGATAATTTGTACATTTTCTCCACGACACACAGGAACTTCACGTAAGGATGGCCCATGCTCTGTAATGCAGTGTATATGTGCATATGTACATATGTACATAGTATGTACATATGTATGTACTACATACATATGTAAATGCGAATTTGACTTTATTGGAATTCAGTTTAATTGGTTTTTAACGAGATGCATCTCATTATGCATAGAACAAATTTATATGCACAATAATCTTCTTCACACATCTGACTCACGTTGGAGAACCTATGTGTACATACTCAGTACTGACTAAGGAAGAGGGCTTGCCTTGGTCACTCTCGGATTTTGATGCCGTCTGGCATGTATACAGGGTGTAGGATCCCATTAGTGAATAATAACCCCCACGTGGTTTGATGCCTAGGCCTCGTGTGCTCCATTTGTTCATTTTCATTATATTTCTATTTTCATCTACTAAATTTGACAAACAAAAATCACCATTGTAAAGCTCGCCAGAAACCTAATTTTGCTCGCATTTTGATAATCCTTCCAATATTTAACTACCACGTAGTTATTCTACTATCGGATACCACACTGAGGTATTTTTTGTAATTTTAATTTTCTCTAAGACGTTGGTCAAACAAATTTAAAAACAAAAATATTTTCCCGCCTAAGATTAGGATCCCGCGCCGTATATGTAAGAACCAGTTGATCATTGTAACAAAGTCCGGGAACGATTTTCATAAGCCTTATTGTAATTTTTTTAAACCGGGGGAAAGGTCCTATGACAAAGTTTAGCAATTTTAATACAGTTTAGATATGTGTTTCCGAGTCAGCCGACATCTGATGTTTTACCGTTAAAATTATTAACCTGAGGCTAAATATAATCATATTTAATTTTATAATTATTCTTAAAATCGATGTGTATCAAGTAAAAGGGTTCCCTTATGACTATATTATCACTTATGCAAACATTACTTAACTCATGCGATAATGTATATTTTGTAATTATGTATAACTCACTCAATCCTGGATGAAAGCGATAAGCATTACGTAAGTAATAAATTTACTTCTCCAAGAGTGAAGCACATCGCAACATAATGTCTCACTTTGATTAGATTCATCTTTGTTGAGGTAACCAAGCTAGATACAAATATTCACTGATCCGATATGATATAACTGTTACTGTTATATATTGAATAAATCATCTCAAATGTGCAGTAATATAATACGCCCAAAACATGCATGCAAAGTATTATGCATATGATGACCGCGTAGGACAGGATGCGGACGATAGCAGTGGAGAAATTGAGCAATGCAAACTAATTCTTACAATGAATATCTCCCAGCTCATGCTCTCCGATTTTGACCAAAATTACGAATTTATATAATTAATAAGATATTCATTTTAAAATACCCGATCTGCTACTACTCAGGTTTAGCCGACATATTTTCATCCGAAGAGGAGAGCACGCGCATTAAATTATGAAACAAATTTGTCAACTCTCCTTCTCTTTGGATGCAGTAACGTATGTGTCAATAATAATAAGTAAAATTTACCCCAGGTTGAGTAAAAAAGATGGCACAACCAAAAGGTAAAACTTCTGCAACTTTGTGCAAAATTTGCCCTACGGTAGATAAATTTTGCACAACGGTTGGATAAATTTTACCCTTTGATTGTGTCATACTCTTTTTTCTTAACCTTGTGCAAATTTTACTTGTATTTTTATTTATAGTGTATGTATCAAACCTGACCGTTTGGGCATATTTGCAAATTTTACATTAACTAGATTGTGATCAACACTAGCTTAATTAATCAAAATCTGAGAGCATATGCTGAGAGACCGCTATTGTTAGTCCACATTATGTAACAGTCTCTTATGCCCAAGTTCAATCATCTGAGGAGTAGAAGGTCACTACTTGTCGGGCCCCGATTTCGATCTCCTTTGGATATGTTGTAGTACTACATGAGTGTAGAAAAAGTGAAGGAGGGTTAGACTCCATGAGCCCATTTACGCCCGCCACGCCCCCTCGAAGGCGCCTAAACCCCCAGAGTTGCCGCACTAAAATCATCGCCAAAAATCGAGTTTTGGTCAGATTTTCAAAAAATTTACATTTTTGTTATCCCAGATAGTTGCTCTATCATATCCAATAGCAAACTCAACTTTTTTGAAATTTCGAAATTTTTCAATACATACCCTTGGTCAGAAAATCTTCGAAAATATTAAAAATTTCAAAAAAGTTGAGTTTGCTATTGGATATGATAGAGCAACTATCTGGGATCACAAAAATGTAAATTTCTTGAAAATCTGACCAAAACTCGATTTTTGACGATGAATTTAGTGCGCCAACTCTGGGGGTTTGGGCGCCTTTAAGGGGGCGTGGCGGGCGTAAATGGGCTCATGGAGTCTAACCCTCCTTCACTTTTTCTACACTCATGCAGTACTACAACATATCCAAAGGAGATCGAAATCGGGGCCCGACAAGTAGTGACTTTCTACTCCTGAGTTCAAATGCATAGTTTGATTTGAGCCCCAATTTAGTTTGCATAAGCATGTAAATGTGGAAATCATGAGCTGATTTTCACATTTCTCCCCTTTATATATACATGGACTATATTTGCATATAAATATGTCTGTACGTGTCGTACATACTATCTATACATATACTTGTATCTATACATATCTGTTTATATACTACTTACATACTTACACGGCTCAAATTTTAGAAAGCAATTCAGGAAACTATCTAAAATACATGTACACTAAAAATAATTTTGAGACAAAATCGTTACCACGCGGAATCACTATGATGCTCTACCGCACGGTACAGAATCGATAGAACTGGGGTAATAAATGTAGTTCATACATACTATAGTATGTACATACTATAGTATGTACCGGTAAAAAATTCTAATTTTTTAGACCATCCCTTTGCCTGTTATCTTATTTTATGCCGTGATTTTATTTGCCGATTTTTACTATAATAGTATTACAATTCCACTATAGTGGATTGTTCATATACAAGCTCATATACAAGCTCAAAAAGGTACGGGGAATCGTCACCCAATAATTATTTGTATATGTATATGTACAAATAATTGATTGAGAAAATTATTAATTAAGCGAATGCTTACAAACATATCTGTAAATACATACCTATGTGATAAAGCTCTTGACCAAAAAATAAGACGAATAATAAAAATAATTATCACTATAAGTAGTTTCTTCTCATATGTATTACTCGTACCAATTGCATCATATACATACTTCTACTCCACGTACATATGTATGTATTTTTCTATGCATTAGTAAATATTTACATACCTAGGTACATATGTACTACACATACATATATATATGCATCCCAAACAGTGTAACGTTCCAGGAGGGCGTGGGTGTCGTCTTCTTTTATTCGGATAATAGCATCATCAGGAGTGGATTCGACTTCTAATATGAATAGCGTATTAAATAAGATTGAATATATTGTTACCTAAAATCTTGGTGTGCAGGGAACATGAAAATTATATTTAGTTGTGGTTAATAAATTCAAAATTTTAATGCATCATTACATACCAAATTCTGCTTTATTTATCTAACGATTCTTTAACTCGTTTATCTACTTTCGAGCATTTTATGTACCTTCAGTTGTATGCGCATAATCTGGAATGTGCACATTTAGTGTATACATTTACAAGTTTTTTATGCTTATGCTTTATAAGAATTTTATAACTAAACATGTATAAATAGATACTCTAGGAATGTTTGCATGTTATGAATCAGATTTTAAATCGCGATCTTATTAGCAGATTTTGTTTATTATATTTAGCTTTGCACGTAAGTAAATCCACATGAAGCTTTAAATATTTAAGTTTGCAAGTTTACAATTATATTTACACCGAACTAGCATTGTTAATACGTAATCAGCATATGTCATGTGCATAAATATTATTCATAAATAGCCGACACTAACAATACCACCGTGGAAATAATTGCAAAACAAATTGATCCTGTTAAACAAACTTTCTCCACCACCACGGCAGCAAACATCCATTCCTTTTCCGACCTCGTAATCTCACAGCCTTTGAATTCTCTCTTAAAATGTCTACAATTTACACATTCTTCAATTCCATTAGTTATTTCAAGCTGTTTTTCCTCTTCAATAGTCCTCTTAATTTCTTCCTTCATATTCAAACCTGGTTGCTCCATCCCGAGTAGAAATGGGAGCCATTTAAGTAAAACTTTCCTACCTCGTTTACCCATCCGTTTAACGAGGCCAGGGTGGCATTTCAACTTTAAGTTGACCACAATCGTGCTCACGACGGACGAGGCGATGGCGAACATGACACAATTAAAGTAAGTTCCGAGTAATGGAACTCCATCCGAGTTGGCAGGCATCGTTCCAGCAATCACGTTAATAAAGACGATTAAGGAGAATAGCACGGTCACGCCGAGGGATAGTTTCTCGCCAGAATCGGGTGGCAGAGTGAAGCCAAGAATGGCTAGGAATCCTGAAATAAATCGAGTAAGTAAAATTAATTTACGAACGTAATTTAATTTATTTTTTTAAATTTTATCCAATTAATTAAATGAGTTTGATTAATAAGTAGAGTCAAAAATTAATTTTAATTAATTTCTAGGATTTCTCAGTCTCATGTATTAAGCATGGCTTGGGAGACGATTAATGAATGAAATTATTCAGTCATTCCTTGTAGAAATGCAACGAATAAACATTTATTCAAAATTCATGCATTCAAAAAATAAAAAAAATATTCAATCATTATGCATGAATTAATTGAATAATGAATGAATAATTTATTCGTTCTCTATTAATTAAACGAATGTGAACAATTATGTTGGAATACAGAATTTAGTGCATTTTGCAAAATTTAACCCAACCTCTCACTCACCAATCAACGCCGCTGGTACGACCAGGTTAAAACAATGATACAAAACCTGTCTCTTGATCTTAATCGTAAAAACGATTGTTATATAAGCTTCCTCACAACACCCGTAAAACTTCTCCATCCTTCTTCCCGTAAATTCCACCAGTTTCCACTCCCCATTCGTCACATATTCTGACAAGTCGAACGCCAGTCCGGTCACATTGACCAAATTAAAGTCAATCTCTTGCCCAGAATATGACCAGCTCCCGAACTGAATATTGCAACTCTGGCTGTCAAACGGGAACCAAGTCACGTCCATTTTGCACGTGGATTTTATGATCATCGGTGGCACGAAGATAACCCGACCGTCATGTGAGACCAGGGCGTTTAACTGTTTTCGGCGATGTATCGACTGGAATATCTCCTCATCCGCGGTGTTATACAGGAAAATGTCGGGCGACCAGATTTTGGTCAAAGGGATCCGAATTCCGGTAATGTTCCCATACTCGGAAACATTCCAGACGAGGCCGGAATCCGTCCAGAACGTTCGAAACCAAACGTTTGTCGTGAGAATTTGCTGTTTTTCGTCTACTTCCAGAATCTGCAGGAGGGCAAGACCGATTTCGACGTGGAGCGGGGTCGCATGCGTGGCGACGGGTCGGGTCAGTTTGTCGTAGGAGGGGGATAGGATGGATTTTATTATGCGGCTCTCATCCGGCGAGGCGGAAGTGGGAGAAAGTTTTAAGATGAAGAAAAATGTGACGACTAAAAATTGCAGGTTATTCATGGCGCAGTGGTATTACAAAATATGTAGAACTTTCACCGTCAATAAACTAGCAAAATATGTAACTTTTTGAACGTGTTATATTCTATGGATTTAAATTTAGGAAGCGATCCGTTATTATATACGTTCTTTGTGAGTATCGATATTGATTGGTTGTAAAATACATACACTTAGAGATGCTCAATTTCGTCACTTTGTTACATGTATGCTTTCACTTCTAGTATGTACACATATGTAGAATTTAGACATGTACATATGTACGTACTTGCACAAATTTCCTTCCATATGGATTCAAGCCAACAAATTTGATCCAAGCCACCGCAAGGAGCAAGGTTTCCGGCAATTACATACATGCATGTCTTTTACGGATCAGTCGTAAATTACATAATATGGAACACAGATAGGTGATGAAATTGTACACACAACGTGCAATATTCCTGTGTACGCTATACTTCACAGGAAATTGGATAGTTTCATGGTTGCATGATCGTGTCAGTGAAACTGCGGGATACATCACTTTATTGTGTTTGTACGATGCTTGTTTGCTGTGGAGTGGGCATAAGTGCCATGGACAAGTGATGGATCAAACTAATACGGCTTTTCTTAGCTTGACTTTCTCCCAGCCGTACTGTGCCTCCTGTTCTGAGAATAATGTTGCTTATATACATACACAGGGTTCGGAAACCCGCAAAAGTAAACAAACCCACATTAAAAATTGCTGTTTCTGCGATACTTGATGCACACAACGTCTCACCCTAACCGGTGAATGAGAGGTTGCGTACCCTGTAATATGCATATGCAAAATATGATGCACCTATGCGCATATGGAAATATATGTACATTGTACATATGACCATCTGCTGTTTAGTCTTGGCATCATAAGTAAGTTATGCCGTGACGCTTATTTTTCTTAAGTGAAGGAAAAGTGAGCATATCGCGATCATACTAACAGATCACCATGGTTACATCGAAGCCTAACTATTAGCCAGTGAAATTTCGCCCAAACCATTTGTTGCATGGGAAACATGTTCAAGTAAAATAGTTTTAGAAAATTCGATTTGACAGATATTCATTAATTTATTTTTTCATAATGATAATTTATGCATATACTATTAGTAAATTAATAAAAACTAATTTCCAAGTTCATCAATATGAGATTATTATTATGGTAAACATATCTCTACTCCTTATCAAACTAAATTAGTATATACATATGTAACTACTCTCCAGTCACACACAGTTTAAATTTTGCAAAAATTGAGAACTACGCCACTACCAGCCTCAAATTCTCGTAGTCTAATTTAAGGAAATTTGGACGGACGGCGCCCGAGTTTCTCACAATTTCTGTAAAAGTTCAACCCTGTGTGAATGGAGAGTAGCAGTAAAACTCACGTTACTATGTTTACCATTCCATTTACGATCTCGTTGCCGACTTGACGATCTCCAAAGTATTTTCACCTCCCTCCACTCCACCAATACTCCTCATCCTCACCTCCCCACCAAAAATACTAGGTGGGAGACCATGGGTAAATGTTCTTCTCCAATAACTCCATGGGCGTCCATAGGAAATTTGGTATGAATGGGTGAAACTATTTAAATCCCCATAGGAAAAATCCCATTGGAAAATCTCCCCTTTTCTCATATGGGATTTATAAAGTACTGATAAATAAGGATGAAACACATATGCACCCTCATACACAGTCATATTCAGCAGGAAATTTATTATATTCTTTAAGGAGATAAAACAAGAATTGTTTGGATTCACTTGACTAGTTAAAGCGACTAGTTTAAGCGGCGTGAGACAATTAAGTAGTGACTAATAAATATATTAAATACACAAATAAATTAAATCACGTTTTATTTATTATTTTCAAATCTAGAACAATGTTAACAATTACGAGCATTCAAATAAGTTTGGCAGTTGTACAAAATAGGTGAGAGACGTTGTTTTCACCACAAAAAATTTGGAGCTTTTTACTGATCTGATTGGTACAATTTTTCTTTCAAACTCGACGTGACGCTTAAAATAAAATGAATTTTTATAACCTCGTGTTCTTTTAACTCTGAAGCAGTCTAAATCAACAACTAAATTTTCACATTGGCAATTTAATTTACATTTGCAAGCAAGTTTGTAAAACTTCCTAACATAACCTAATTCCTTGGAATGCAAAGAAACAACATTATCGCATTTTTTCGGAAATTTCCCTTCCAAACACCCACGTTCTTTCGCTTTAAATGTGTGAAAACCAATAACCCCTTGACTAGACTCCGAGATTATATCCGCCTGAAATTGTCGTATTAGAATCTCCAATGTTACACTGTCTAACAAGGCCGTTTTTGGATTAATTATTTCAAACTCATGTCTCTCAGATTCTAAGAAGCTTTTACAATTTCGTAGTAGCATTTTCCTCACAAATCTGTCAGCAATCTGCATTTCGACAGCATTACTTCCTTTCACAAATTTGAGTAGATCGCCGTTGAAACTTTCGAATCGGTAATTCGAAAGCCCCCATAATGGGCCCCAACGTGTTACGCATGATGGCATGTGAATTAATTGATGCAAATTGTAAAAATAAAATACCTCCCCGTATAAGTCGTATCCATTTCGTACAAATAAACGTACCAGATCTTCAGCCTTTGAAATATCATCCCAAGCTATTTTACATCCTGAAAGAAGATAAATGGCTCTACTAAGCTGCGAAAAATGCGACAGAAAAACCTCTGACAAAATTCCTTTCAGTACCACTGGAAGAACATATAACCATGACCTCCATTGAGATGCCTTCCACTCTTTTCTTTTACATAAAGGTTTAAAATTCCTCTGTATTTCTCTGGGCACCCTTATGGACTCAATGATTCTGTCTATCTCGTCTAATCTATTCCCGATATAATATTCCTGATCAATCTGTTCTAGCCACCAATTCGTGATAGTGCTAACAATGCCCAAATCGACGCAGTGCATGGGATCTACTACAAACCCATCTACGAGATTAAAACCATGCAGGGTGAAAAGTGGACTGACGCATTTCTGACCTTTGACTACACCCATACGAAAATCATCGTCTGTCCTATCCTTAATAACTAAGTCGTCATTACTACCCGCAACACACGAGTCAGTGGCCTGGGGGTCAACATAAACTCGAGCACTTCCTGCTCCCTTTTTTACCTGCTTGCCAGGGTGATCACACCAAGTACATCCAAAGCAACCATTGAATTGCTTTAAGCCTTGTAATACACATCTTATAGGACAGTCGACAGGACAGATTGGAAAATGAAAAAAAGATGTGATTTCCGTGCCGGTCATGGTTTTCCAAGTAAGACCCTGAGTATAAAGCGCATTCATCTGTTCAATAATGCCCTGGAGGAATAAATCAAAATTGGGTTTTCCTTCCCCATACCAAAGTCCCCCCAAAAGATAATACTTTTTCGATAAATAATAAGGAAGCTCGTTTATCAACAAGAGGATTGGGTAAAGAGATCTGCGATTTGACGAATTGAAAATATTTACCCCATCCGAGTTAAATGACAGAGAGAAATCTGTGGAGCGTTTGACACTTTGCAAATAGGACTGACCACTTTGAATACCGACACATATCGTGGGGTCCAGAGCGCGATGAAAAAAATCTGTAAGTTCTCTTTGTACATCCTGACTATCCAAAATGCACCTTAATTGTCTCTCCATATTGAACTCGATAAAGAAGTTGCCATCCTTCCTTATGGATAATTTATCATACTCCGAATTACAAGTGGGACAGGAGTGGTTTTCAGTTAATAATATTTTACAAGAATCACAATAAAACCGAAGCTCATAGAACTCTTTTGTATTACCCAACTGCTTCCGGTATTTGTAATATGCTGAAGGGTATTGTGTAGTTTTTGGGAGGTGGAGCTTAATTAATTTCAAAATATCTTCAACTGCAGAATTGCTTAACGAGTGCTTCGATGCTAGCGTGGCAACAGCTTCCAAACTTTCACTCAGCGTAATATTACAAAGGGGATGTAGTTTTCTCACCTAAACAGAACATACACTTATTACAAGCGTAAAATTAATTTAAAATTAATATTGAAATACTAACTTCTTCGGACATCAATTCTTCATCTGATGAATCATTGTCACTTAGAAACACATCGCACCGATCACTGCAGTCTGAAATTGATGATTCGTCTAGGTTCCAGTTTTGGAGTGGTTCAGTTTGTTCGTTCTCGTCTCCTAAAAAACCGTTATACTTGGTCTTAGGGACGTTCATAAATTGAAATTTTAAGTAAGACCCCCATAATTTATTATATATGAAGTGGGGTGTACCATGTGACACAAGGGAGGGAGGGTATGAAAAATCGGCGCTTTTGCGTAACATAATTTTTGGACATTTCCTTAGACTTGATAATGAAGAGAATTTACCACACAAGGAAGACCAGTCAAAAACGAAGTCGTCAATATTGGCGTCATTGGAATGGTAATGATTTTCAACCTTGTCAGGAGGGTCGGGCGTCAATGGATTGAGAAAATCATGCAGCTGCAATGCATTAAATATGTTACTCAATAAAAACAGAAATGTTAACCAGGAAAGTAAATGTGAAAGTACCTTTCTTTTCATACTCCACCTTGACCTTTTGGATTTGAAAATATGAGACATAATTCAACGATACACACAAGATCTAAAATTGATAATATCTCAGCTGTTGCAAACTGGTAATACAAATATAATTTGCATTTCGCAACGACTGAATAAGGGCAAATTCAAAATCTGCACAATTGAGCTACTTATATATATTAGCCGCAGTAATAGCATATGTACACATATATATATATGCATGTCAATGTGAGCATAGAGTTTGATCCTGCTGCATACATACACAACGTCAGAGTGTCCATTGCAATATTACACGCCTCGATAAACATTTGGCATGTAAAATGTTATGACGAGTGTTGTTGAGCGTGTTTGAACGAGCTGAGCCACTCAGAGCATCGAGAGGGAAAATTAACTTTTGCCATCCCTCTCAGTTTGCGGTTCATTTTCTTACATTTGTCCAGTTTTGAATCACATTTGTATTTAATTTCAAATATTTTTTATCGTTTCCGTTTTCAATTTAACTTTGTCGTTTACTAAGTGGCAATGTCCCAAGAGAAAGTAAAGGCAAAACGGTGGGTGTGTGTCGATTGGGGTGGCTTAGTCTATAGTGCGGTCAAAATAAAATGTCTTGTTAAGGGATAGGGGAAGTCTGGTGGGGAGTTGCAAGGATTTGAAGTTAGTGTCCTCGACAATGGAGTGGAGCATTTTGGCACCGTCGTCGGATATGGTTAGCACGCATTAATACTATATGTATACAGTCTAACTTGATGATTAACAAATATATTACGAGTATTTTTTCTTGCTGCTTTTAGGAACCAGTACGGAAATGAAAGAAATGGTTAAAGATAAGGCGGAAGAGGCTGCTAATTTGTCTATGCAAGATGTTATGGAGGTCGTCAACGAATTGCATCTAGATCCTGCCACAGCAATAATCCAGGTTCCATCCTCCCATGAACAAAATGAAGCAAAAAATAAGGTCAAGAGAAAGCATCGCGTGATTCGCGTGGCAGATGACTTTACAGTATGTCGCAGTAATTTGTACATTAAATTTTATGCCCAAAATGTTGCCAAAATTTTTGATGAAAAGTGTATTATTTTTGTTCCTAATTTCAGGTATCTAGCCCCAGTCGTAATGCTAAGAAGGGTAAATTCGTGGAGCAAGCGACCACTGGAAGCAATAGTATTGCAACGCGGCCGCTGGTAATTATTATATATCACCAATTAATCCACAGGAATACTGAAATTTGTATCGTAATTAATGTTGTGCCTTCCAGTTAATCCTTAATACGGCCAGTGAGGATCAGGGAACGAATTCGCCAGATGAAGTTTTGATTGGTGACCCTGAAGACCATAACGCAGAACCGAATGGTACAAACGAAGAGCGTGACCGTGGAGCTGACAACCTAGATGGACGTGAAGAATCATCAGATCATGCCGTTTCGCAATTTATTATCGAAAGGAACGAAAAGGCAGAGTTGCTTCGTAAAATTGACAGCTTAACGAAGGAAAATAAGGCATTAAAAAGTTAGTCTTCTCGAATGATCCTGCAGTTCTGGTATTTAACCGGCCAATTCATTTTTACTAGGAGCCCAGGGAAGACTGGTAAGGGCGGAGGCACACCGTCGAACTGACCATAGCGACCTGGAAGATTTAGGATATGGGGTGAAAGTGAGCAAGGTGTTCCTAAATATTCAACGCGTAAAGTATTTGGAAAACTACATGAAGTACCTTCGTGCTATTTTTTTTGAAAGTGGACTATTTACAATGCAAGAAATTTGCGACAGTTCCATTACTGGAGCTCCAAATCGATTCGTGGAGGTCGCACGGCCAGCTCTAAGCCCGATAAAACTCAACGCAATTAAACGTAGGTGGTTTTACTTAAGCTATCTAAATTTTGGTTTTGATTTACCTTATTTCATTTTTATTTTTAGAACATGTGATGGCTGAGTACAACATAAAGGTTGGAGATATCCGCTACGAAAAACTACTAATGAGGATGAAAAACTTAACTGGAGATGCCAGGAAGAGGATGAAACGAATGAATGCGCGTAATAATGTTTCCCAAATCGAGGACAGAAATGAGGGTCACATGGATAACTAACTGACTTATGTATTGCAATAATACTGATTTTGGTATTTATTTTGTTTTAAACTGCTCATTTACTGTTATTACCAGGCAGAGTATCTATGTGACTCTACCGCATGGTAATTTATTTATTATCGAGTGGTAGAAAATTAGTTAACTACTGGTAATATTTTCAAATTTCGGGACCGGGGTTATTACCCATTTGGTAACAAAATGTCTACCACTCAATAATAAATAAATTACCATGCGATAGAGTCACATAGATACTCCGCCTGGTAATAACTTAGGAGGGGAGCTTGCGAGGTTGATAATAACAGATCCTGATGCCCTTTGGATATGTGGTAGGGTCCTATGAGTGTACTAAAACCCTGAAGTGGTTTGACTCCATAGCCACATTTGCGCCCGCCACACCCACTCAAAATGCCCAAAAAACGCTTTCACTCCAGGTTTCACTCATTCAAATCCACGCCAAAAATCCAATTTTACTCGGATTTTGAAATTTCTTTCACCATTACACTCCCAGATAGTTGCTTTCTTCAATCCAATGTCAAACTCAATTTTGATGATGATTATTTCGCAGGCATAATTTGCGTTGTGGATTACTACAACAATGCTCATTCAGAATTTTAAATTTTAAAAATACTAATAATTTCGAAAATATTGAGTTTGATATCGAATTGAAGAAAGCAACTATCTGGGAGTGTAATGGTGAAAGAAATTTCAAAATCCGAGCAAAATTGGATTTTTGGCGTGGATTTGAGTGAGTGAAAACCGGAGTGAAAGCGGTTTTTGAGCATTTTTGAGTGGGTGTGGCGGGCGCAAATGTGGCCATGGAGTCAAACCACTTCAGGGTTTTAGTACACTCATAGGACCCTACCACATATCCAAAGGGCATCAGGATCTGTTATTATCAACCTCGCAAGCTCCCCTCCTTAGTTACCAGGTTTCTGAGAGTGTACAAATTAGTGTGATATTTAGATCTGTGAATAAATATATACGTACATTCCTGACGCACAAATTTGCGTGATGCCTAGCTGTCTAAAATATCTTTCCACCTGTCTCCATGTAGACTCAATTCCTTGATAATGTGATGGAAAGTATGCACCTCTATTAGACGTTTTGCCCCTTTGGACTCGGAGCTCGAAATATTCCGAGAAGGCAGATGAGGAAAATTAAATAATTAAGCAAAGTAGACACAGTTTCGATTTCATTGCAATCTTGTTTTGTTCAAATTTTCAGGTTCAAAAATTCTTATTAAAAATGTGCAAGCGTTATTGGAATTGTGAATCACACTTTATTATATACTGGTAGGAACGTGCTTACTGACAATTTTTCGTTGCCTGATCGATTAACATTTTTCTTTTCTGAGAATTCATACAATTAATGCCTACATTTATATAATATACATTGAGCTGTCAATCTTGCGCAGGACAGTGGAGGAATTCAAGTGCGTCTTAGCAAAGGTATGTGATTACGTAAAGGCTAGCCTAGGAATAAATATATATGGAAATTAGAGCTGTCCATGCAATTAAGCTTCAGAAATAATGCTGAATAACTAAATATATAAATATGTTCGTATGTATGTACGAAGGTGGGCCAATAATGACTTTAAAAATCCTAGTTCAGGTAAGGTGATCATTATAACACATTTTATTTTTCAATATACTTACTTTGGTTCCGACCATTTTCAATTAGTGGGAATTCAAACATCACATTTACATGTACTACATGTACTACATATTTGAAAAAAAATATTCCAATTCAACTTAAACAAGGTGATCAACACACTTTCAAACCTTGGCGATTTGTACCATCGGCATGAAAGCGCGATTAAACAAGATGGGACAATGAAGGCTGTCGCAACTCGTGTCTCAGGTTTTCTTAAGACCAAATAGTAGTCTCATATCTCATCCCATCTCATGCTGCTTATGAGTGTCGTATCATCTAATGTAGGGCATCCAAAATCGGTTTTTCCGATTTTGTAAAACCGGTTATAAACCGGTTTTCGATTTACCCGAAAACCGGTTTTATAATTTTCCAGAAAAACGGTTTTGTAAAAAACCGGTTTTATCTCACTCGAAACCCGGTTTTCGATTTTTGATAAAAATTGTTTTAGAACCACTAAATATTTGTCATTTCTTGTTTTTCGTCCAAATTAATGCCCTAAGTGTGATCAACTTTAAGTTTTACCACTTTATATTTATCAAATTTTTTAAATTTTGTAGAAAACCGGTTTAAAACCGGTTTTGGAGAAAATCGAAAACCGGTTTTGCGAAAATTTGAAAAACCGGAAAAATCGAAAACCGGTTTTACGAAAGTTTGGCAAAATCGGAAAAATCGAAAACCGGTTTTTCAAAATTTTCCGATTCTGGATGCCCTAATCTAATGGGAAAAAATAAGTATGTAAGGGCATCAGAGATCCATGATTAATGAATGTTTTTGTGGGATTAAGGATTAAGGATTAATGTTATTCCGGGATTGGAATTAAGGATTACGCATTAATTCACAACATATTATTAATATGTTGTATGTATTATGAATTGCGATACGAATATGTAAGTATTTCAAGTTAGTCAGGATGATTATTTTTGAAAATATTTTTTATTTAATTTCTGGGGATAGTCCAATCTAAAAATAATTTGGTTTGACTAAAACAAGTTGTGTTGATCACTCAAATTAAAGTCCAAGAGCAGCAGCAACATCGATACGTCCGTAGCCTGAAATTCACAAAATACATATTTTCAATATCAACATCAACGTCTTAATGGGACATTATTCGATCTTCACTTCAATTGCAGCAAACTTACCGAAGGCATGATTTGGGAAATCTCCACCTTCCGGAAGTCCACAATTCCTGTCAGCATTGGACAAGGTGGGGTGGGCTGGCGTGGTGGTGAGGGCAGTGAAGATCTGGTCATATCCCCAGCTTGGGTTGGCAGACATGAGAAGAGCGATGGCTCCAGCGGTGTGGGGGGTGGCCTGTAATGACGAAATTATTAAAAAATGAGTCAATCTCTCATAAACTAAAGTATTCAGTGCAACGTACCATTGAACTTCCGGACATCGTGACGTAATTGTTAGCTCCAGTTCCGCACGACACGATGTTTCCTGGTGCGGAGACTTCTGGTTTGAGTTCTCCTCGTGCGTTGGGTCCTCGGGCGGAGAAGGTAGCCATGGCGTCGGTGTCGGTGGTGGCTCCGACGGAGATAAGGTTGGGTTGATCTCCGGGGGACCCGACCGACCTGCAGGAGGATCCTGAGCCTCCGATCGCGAAAACTGGGATGATCCCAGCCGATCGCCAGGCAGAGACAACAGTGTTGTACCATGTAGCCCCAGAACCACCACCCCACGAGTTGGAGACGATGTTTGGTCTCGGGTTGGCGGTCAGGACCCATTGGCCGCAGTTGATCAGGTTAGCTTCTGTTCCGGATCCTTGGTGGTTAAGCCCACGGCATGCGACCCATTGCACCATAGGCCAGGAGCTGCGGCGGTAGGACAAAGGAAAGGGTAACGACTTCTTCGCCAATTCCTCAACCAAAAGATTGTGCTGAAAATCTAGATTATTTTTAATATAACAACTGTGTCATTTCGTCTGCCCCCCTTCGAGATATTTGAGTTCAAAGTTTTTACACTTTTTCGAAGGCGAGCTAAAAAAAGTTCACAATGCCCCAAGTCATATGGTGGCAGCTGGAATAATATTTCTTAGGCTCGCCTTGGAAAAAGTGTAAAAACTTTGAACTCAAATACCTCAAAGGGAGGCAGACGAAATGACATAGTTGTTATATTAAAAATAATCTAGATTTTCTACACAATCTTTTGGTAGAGGAATTGGCGAAGAAGTCACTACCCCCACTTTCCTTTGTCCTACCGCCGCAGCTCCTGGCCTATGGTGCATTGGGCAGCAGGGGCAACACCAACACCGTTGGCACGTCCAACCACGGTTCCCGTCAAGTGAGATCCGTGTCCTTGTTGGTCAGTTGGCTCAACCGTGTTGTAGTACGGGTCGCTCCAAGCACCACTGTACGCGTCAGCGAGCGCAACATGACCAAGATTAACTCCGGTATCGATGATGCAAACAACGACGCCTTCACCTGGAGTGCGCGCCCAAGCTTCGGGTGCCCTGATCTTGGCAACGCCCCATTGCAGGTTCTGAGTAGCGTTCTGGGCAAACTCAACGACGACGGATGGAGTCATTTGGACGGTGACTTCCTTACGGAGGGTGAATTCTCCGGGGGTGGCAGCCAAGGTGGCGAGAGTCTCGGGGGTCAAACCCTTGACGAGGATGATGTTGGATCCCCAGTAGGTCTGGGTCTCGAGGCCGAGGGAGGAAGCGACTTGGACGAAGGGGGCCTGAGCAGCGGAAGTGAGTCCTTGCAGCGTGGCGACGAGGGCGGACACCTTGGCATCACCGGAGAGGGACGAGAGCGATCGGCTCGCTTCGACTTGTTTCATGATCTGGGGAAGTTCAAGGATCGCCTCGGTGGCGCCTTGTTGGATGGCGAGGTTAAGGGCGGGATGGACCGTGCCGGCGGCAACGACTGCAAAGGTAGCAGCGAGAACGAGAAGCAACTTCATGGTGGAGCTGAGGAGTGGAGGGATATTTTATTGGATTGCTGTTTCTGGAGCAGTGTGAACAAATGGGAAATCTGGAGCGCTTTTATATTCAGAGAGATCAGCACGATGAGATAAAGATTAATTTGTATATGTTGATGGATTACATCGGTATCAGAGGACATTTTAACTTGAAGTATTTATTGTTACAAGCTTTCGATATTCATACAGAATTTCTTCATCAGGCAAAAATATATTGATAAACTAAAATTCATGTCCATATACGTTTCTTCCTTCAAGTCTAATTTGGTTTGATATCACATAATTACATGGTTAGTTGGTTACATTTATAAAATTTTTATGTGGGCTTTGAGAACTATTGTGTGAAGGTTAAAAAGTTGGTTAGTGTACTTGACCAGATCGGGCTATATTTGTATATGCATGTAGGAGTAGAATAAAGGCAGGTGGTAGCAATGTTTCGATAAGCGCAGATAAGCGGTTAATCGTTGCCTGGTCGGTAGGGAAATCCCAGTTTTACATACATGCACAGTTATCAGAATTGCAATTCGTTTGGTCTACTCGATTGATCAAATCTGATAAAAGGGACACGTTAAATCCCAGACATGATTGAGTACCAAAGATTAGTCGGCATATGCATAATTATATATAATTATATATTTTTTAAAATTTGATCATTAGTAGCCATGACCCATATTTACGATAACAAATTGTTTAGGAGATGAATTATGATCATGATGTACAACACTTTTTAATTTTCTATCAAAAACTTTGCCTGACGAAGTTCACAGTTTGTGAAAGAAAGCTCGCAATAAAAATATTTCAAGAAAATGTCCTCAGATGCCGATGAAATTGCTTCAATAATAATACGAGGATGGAAACAACTATTTATAATAAATACATTTAAAAAAATAAATCTAAGGCGAGAGGCGCTATTACAAACAAGAAGCAAGCCCTCCCACCAACACCCCCGTCTCGCTGTGGCCCCGTTAATATTTTTATATCTGGGGGGTGTAACCGCAATTTTATTTTTTGTAATTCTTTCCTGCATCATACCCAACAATTTAGAAAACCACGGGGTATGTATGCCAACATTGATGCATGCTATTTTCGTGATAGTGTCATAAAATTGCCGCACAAATGTCGGAAATGGAACTATTATTTAGCTCGTTTACCAGAGCAGCTATTCCGAAATTCTGAAATTTCTGAACGTAGATTTGGCATGTATTTAACCGCACGATTGCATACGTTAAAGTAGTTGGTTTTGAGAAATAAACAGTTTTTCTGTTTTTGAGTTTTTTTCAGTTTTTTTTCAGTTTTTGAACGACGGTTGATGAACAGAGTCCGGGTATGTGTACATTTATTCCAAGCCTTTTCAACAACAATACTGATTTATTTGGAACTTTTGGATCTTGGTTCTGGTATAGATTTTCTTTAATCAAATTTAAAAAAATGTTTTACACATATTTTGTCGATTTGATTAAACATTTTGTATAAATGTTTCGAGGTTTTTAATAATTTATCCGGACTCTGTTGATTAACTACATATTTAAATTGAAATTAATGCAAGAACTGCATCCGATAGGGTTTAGAAGTGCAATGCAATATAAAACTGTAATATTGATCAATTTAAATGCAGTTTACATTAGTAGTTAAAACTTTGAATCATAAATTGCGGTTACATATAAAAATATTAATGGGGCCACGGCGAGACGGGGTGTTGGTGGGAGGGCTTGTTTCTTGTTTGTAATAGCGCCTCTCGCCTTAGTTTTATTTTTTTAAATGTATTTATTTTGGGGTTTTTAAGTGAACATTTTTTTAACTCCGTCATTAAAAACCTACAGTGCAGACTTGCTATAGCCCGAGTCAGGAAAATGTTGGGATTATCACCCAATACGACTTTTTGCACGAAATTTTATTATAAATGCACATCAATATTTTTAAAATAAATACTAGTGGTTCTAATTTAAATTCACATTCTTACATTAGTAGCAATTGGGAGTATATGTAACTAATTGCGGTTCGATTAACGACGACTAAAATTAAATCAAATCCGTATGGGTCACCCGGTTCCTCCAAATGAAATTTTTTCCGATTTTAATTCATATTGTTCCATTACGAACCATTACAAATTTCTCTGCCAAATTTCAGCTCGATTGGAGGATTTTGAAAAATCGGTATGGGGCGCTTCACAGGGTCGCTCCAAATGAAAATGTTTTAAATTTCAATTCATATTCTTTCATTACTGAGGGTTAGGCGAGATTACAGAACGTGTCGAAAATTATTAATTTTTGGCCGAAATATCCATCGCTGGATATTTTAAATGATCTCATCGTATTCCTCATCCTTTTTTCATGAGGAATGAAGTCATCATTCTCAAAAAGCCGGGCTTTTAAAGCCGGCAGCAGATTTTCTTTGAACCACTGTTCATCTAAAAGTTTGCAAAATACATAAAAAAAATTTTATGGCCATTTGAAAAAAGTGTCGATCTGAAGTTTCAAATCAAAATTAAAGCACTGACGGGGCATAACCAGACGTAAGTAGTTTATCTTTATGCAAAATAATTTAAATTCCGAATATTAAAAAAAGAATGGCTGCGAACTGGGTGGTAATCCGAGCGTTGTCAGAGAAAAAGTTTCGCGTCGACCTCATATCTTCTGATCCTCGCTGAAGTTGTGCATATCTTGATGATTAATTCAGTTCAGTGTACGCCCAAGGACCTGACACTTCGTGGCCAGTTGATTTTGAATTAATAAAAAAATTATTGCCTTCTCCACATCAATTTTTCTCACGTGCGTCGGGTTGCTTACAGTCCGGGGAGCATACGTTCGACGGATGTGGCATCATCAAATTTCTTGCCTGGTTCCTTTTTTCAACTGAATCCTTTATATTAGGCATTGGGCCATTAGAAATGACAGTTTTTTCATCATGGAGTTTGTTTAGTATTTTTTTGTACGTCATTATTGCTTGGCAAACTGTTTTATCAGCATGGAGCTCTGTGGGGTCAATTTCTGGACCCGTTTTCAAACTTTCGAAATTGAGCTTTCGGGTCACGGCGCAGCTTGAACCAAGCTTCGAGAAAAGTTTCGAATATTTGGAATTAGCGCAATTGTTTAATTTATATCGGCAAATTGCTACACGTTCTGTAATCTCGCCTAACCCTCTGTATAACCCATTATCAAGCTCCATGTCAAATTTCGGCTTTCTAGCACAATTTTTAAATTTTGATGTATAATATGCACGCCACCCACTTATGTGGCCCCCACCAGTCCAAATCTTGGTCTCATCTTCGAACTTGGTCGTTGCTTTGCAAAGGCACATGTTTGCACCAAATTTCGGTTATATAAGCCCTGTCTCGGGCCATCATTTACACATATATATAAAGAATTTCTTTGCTAAGGTTGCTATGGATGTTAACTAAATTTTAAAATTTTAAAACCTCCATAACTTCGTCATTGTTGATCCGATCTGCATGAACCAAAAGAATGATCTTAATATTTTTTGAAGCTCTTTCGATTTTCCTTTGCCGATTTTTCACTTTCAGCGGAATGTTTTGAGATACAGAAAAAAAAGTCACTAAAATAAGAAACATACCATGAAGGTGTGAACCGATTAAGCCCAGAGATCTATAATCAATACTACAAAGAATTTACTACCCATCAGTCGAAACCGCATGTATCTACGACTAATGGTTCTCTCACAATCCTGTCTGACTGTTTTGAGGTGGGCACTTAACTGTATACTATGGCTTCGCCGTAACCATGCACGTATTTTTTTGGGTGCATGGTTACGTTTGGGGTCTCGCCTTAGAAAAATACATAATGATATAATTATTTATAGAATTAAATATTTACTATTTACGCATTACGGGTTTTCCGATCATAAGTTGATTCTGTAATACGGGATGATCTTCTTGTTTATGTAGTTATATGACTATCGAACTTCTATTGTGAATATGTATATGACGGTGTCCATACCAAACCTTGAAGCCCTGGCAGCTGGATTTTTTATTTTTGAATTTCCATCAAAAATAGGTCACAGACCATGAAATTAGTGTAACAGAAGGCAAATATTGAAAAAAAGTTGCTACAACCCTCCGTAATGACCATTTTTGATCTAGAGTAGGGTTCGTAGTACGGCGATTTTTTTAAAACTTACAATGGTTACTCAAACACCGTGAGATTCTCGATTCGTAAAATGATCCCGACATTTCAAATAATTCTTTATTAATTACATCTTTGCTTGGTTTCCTCGATAACTAAATGGGGAATTGAAATACTTAAAAAAAACAAGCAAAAATTCGGAATTTACAGTGTATCAAACAATTGAGTCCACGGTACAACCTCTTCATTCAGCATTGAATAAGTTATTTGTTTTTGAAGGTTTGACAATGAAATTTGTATATGTCACGAAGAATATAATACGGAATCTGAGTTTCTTTCAAATTTCATGCACATCAATTATTTCAGCGTGAACTGGGAGATATGTCCGGGAAAAATAAAACCCCTTATCAAAAAATTGAGCATACGTTGCAAGTTTTGTTTAAATATTTTCATTACCTTGACCTCTAGTCTTTAGTATGTTCAAATTATTATTAATTACAGTTTATCCTTTCTAATAAAAGAACTTTCATTAAGTATTTCATTAATGTAGATTACAGGTCTTAGGAAAAATGGCGAGATTTGAGCATTGCCACGAAGAAAGAAAAAAAAATGTTTCCTTTCACCAGACAAGGCCTGGCTATGGCAAAATTAATGAAAAATAGAACACATGAAGTGGAGGATTCTGCAAAAATGATCACTACGTGGAAACCCACTAACTCCGTTGTAAATCGGACAGTAAAAGGTGGAAAGTGAAAAACCACCGCTCATGTGTGCCGAAAAATGGTCAATAAAGTGAAGTCACAGGGGGATATCTGCATCAAAAATTGCTGCAGAACTTAAATATGTGTTCAGCCTGTCCATTAATTCGCAAACTGTGAGAAACATACGGCACGAAAATTTTTTAAACACCCCAGGTGCACGGAAGATACCATTCATTGAAAAGCGTAATCAACGCCGACGCCTGAAGTGGGCTACGGATCACAGCGCCTGGACAATTAACGATTGGAAACATGTCCGCTGGACCGACTAAATCAAGTTGAAGTTTTTTAGCGCAAATTGAGTTGGTCGAGTTAGTAGAAAGAGTAAGGAAACACTAAAACCGGAATGCATCCATTATACAGTAAAATACGGAGGTGGTTCCGTAACGGTTAGGGGTCCATATTGTGGAAAACTTGTCAAATTACCTTCATCGGCGAAATTATGACCAAGGGAGTCTATTAGGACGTTATGGAAGAAAATTTGATCCCATCCTTCCTAAACCTAAAAATTATGGGCGATTACTATTTTCAAGAAAACTGGGACTCCAAACATCTGCGAAGATTGTGACCAGGGGGTTCCAAGACAAGAAGGTTCAAATACTTCCCTAGATTTTAGTCTTAAAACCCACCATCCATTGTTTCGTTTGTAGCTTGAGTCAGCCAGGCCATTTCCGCCGTCGAATCAATTTTTGCCAGATTCAGCCCCATCCGGGTACAATTGCTTCGTGCACTGTATTCATTGACCTTCGGATTTGAATAAATATGCATCAAAACTAATAAAGATTACAGCAAAATTTGAAAAAAAAATCAAATGGAGTTTTACAAGTTTCAATGGATTTCATTACTGTAGCTTAGAAACGTAATGATAAAATTATCAGCAGAAACTTACCGCTTGTCTATCAATGTACCAGTCCTTGACGCCATACTTCCCCAGATAATCGAGCGACGTGGGAATGATTGGAGATCGCCTCACGGGACGGATGCCAACCAATTTCACCCCTTTCGGATGAGAATCTAAACCTTTCGACATCTCAATGTGGGTAGAACCCGGTAAACCAGGCGCCACTTTTTTGTGGGTAATTTGTCCCTTGACAATCTCACTCGGTGTTGGTGCTCTCTCCAAATAGCACACCGTGCTATAAAGCTCGTTACTCGGAAGTGCAGAAAATCGACTCCGATATGAGAAGAACCACAATGCAAAAGTTTTTATATAAATCCCAACTTCCAGTTCGGTAGCAAGTTCGCTGTTATCCACATTCCAGTAGAAAGATTGAGGGTGTACGTATAGCTCGCCATCTGTCCATGGTTCGGCTGGATACATAAAAGTACATAAATGATTTATACTACTTAACTTGCATGCACGATTTTAAAATATGTAATATTTTTGAAAAGTACCGTCGAGTGCACCTAGCGACACATTCATCCTCGTTCTTAGCCACTCAATTTCTGCCTGGCTGTTTATTTGAGCAGGCTTCATCCCCATTTCCGTACACTTTGCTCTCGCCTGGGTTGCATTTACCTAACAACATTAAAGAAAAGTTGCAACATGGGCTGCTCTTTAAATGGAGACCAAATTGTTGGTAATTTTTTAACGAAATCTAAATGCATATCTGTAATTCTATTAAACTGTGGTATTTACTCGAGTCGTATTCTCATAGTAGTACGCCTTGGTTTCAAATTGTCCGAGGTAGATAAAATCAGCAAATATTTCAGGCTTGGTTTGATCTAATGAACAGCTTAGTTATCAAAACATACAAAATTATAAATTGATATGTGTCTAATTGTCTTAATGCTTACTTGATTTAACTCCAATATCTTCAAATCCTGTACCCACTCCCTGAAAAGTATGCAATATACGGTCAAGTAGAAATTAGTGGAGGAGTGTATTGATATTTTGCATTACTTACGACGCTATTATCGCCTCTGGCAGCGTACATCATTGGTAAGAAAAAATAAAGTAATATGTTGACACGCATCTTGTAATAAAGTCTAGACAAAAAAATGTATGCAAGTTGTAGGAAAAGTATGGTAAAATATCAAATTTTCCCAGGGAAATACTACTCAGACAGAAGTTTCATATCCAAGTGAAACTACTTACAGAAAACATAAGCGGTTAAATAAGCATCCGTCGAGTGGTCATGATTAACCTTGTCGCAATTATTTGCACGATATACACATACGCATTTAAAACATCGAATATTTTAGTACTTCAAACATATTGCTGTGTAAAGATATCTATGTCGATGATACCAAATTACACAATTTTGTTCAACTCAATATGGATCCAGATAAAATTTTTTATTTTTGAAGTAAAAAATACATGCATACGTAAGGCTGAAATCGATTTTCTAAGATTCGTAAATCCAAATTTGTACGTAAAAGCGATGATCGATGATTGTGTACAATCATCAGGTTTTAGTGTTGTGGTTTTTGAGAAAATGTCCATTTTGTACTAATTTTATCGTGATTAGTATTCTGGCATGGGAAATTCCTGTTTCAGGTACAACTAATTCTGGAACATTTGGTCGTCGTTCGGCATGTATGCTAAAGAAACGATGAGGTTAATAAACTAATCTAAAAGATAAGCACTGTTAATTAATTTTAAGCAAAATGTTTTTGTCCACTTGTACATATTTATTTGTCGCTGAGGTTGTGATAAGAACTTCGAAATTGCACAATCTAAATTGTCACATCCAGGCCCTAAACTGGGGGTGGGCAAGCAGGGCAATTGCCCGGGGCGCCGAGCCAGGAGGGGCGCCGGCAGGCGCCCCGATGTACGCTAGATATTATGAGGAATTTTTTATTTGCATCATGCAAATTGCATGTGTCGTTTGACAGGACTGAAAAGAGTTCACAAAATAATAAATAGCCTGTACAATAATTGTTGTAATGAATTTCCTGCTTCCCGGCTTAACTTTGTGAACTTATCATTTCCTTATTGGTATCATTTCCAAAACTTGGGTGAGGTATATTCAGTTGCATTTACATACATCTTTATCTTTCGTTAATTCATGAAGCAATTGGAGTTGTTTCGGTTGACAATGACTAGATATTGTCCATTTGCAACAAACAACCTCAATAATCTAGTTGCAGTGTCAATTTTTAGCGAAAGAAATATTTTGAAACGCATGCCGCAAGAATCTGATACCGTAATTCATTGATTTCGTTAGATGGCGTACATTTCTTACACTTTTTTGCGGTTTCGTACACTTCCCATAGAACTGGCATTTTAATTTCCAAAACAGTTTGAAAAAACGAAACAGCTAATTAAAGCCCGTTTAACTCACAATTGCACTTTCAAGCCTTGAAACTTCTTATACTCAAATTAAGAAAATTAATTTTTGAATAAAATTAAAATAATTTTTGCATTTTGTTACCATCAAATTGTTTCATAAACGCAGTAGAACGAATCCAGACTTTTTTTAAATTATCAATATTTTTGAAATTTTATGTAGAAGTAAAAAATTCTGATATGTGTATTAAATATATGAATTTTCAAAACACCTGGATTTGATGTAGGGCAATTACGCAGATCTAAAAAGATTGACTGTATAAAGTATCGCAAACCGCGACAGGAATATTTTCTCCGGTTTTTGCATTGCTTAATGGTTGGACGGAAAGAAATTGCGAGCGCCGTAGGCGCGAGCGGCTTGGGGCGCATCACTGGGTTTGCCCACCCTAATTTTTAGCCAGTTTAGGCACTGGTCACATCTGCATAGGTTGTCTGGAGTTAAATTAGTTGAATCACCCGGTACCCTTGCGTACCGTCAACGGAAAATTCCTACAACAGAATTTATTATTCTGGATGGCTGATAACGTCTCATGTACAGTGGCAGATAAATAGGGTATGTGGGGTAGGTGTGACATAGGGGCCCCCGCACAGCGGGGGCCCCCGGGTGTGGCGTGGTGTAAATATTGCTATACTTAAGTTTGGTCAACGAATTTCGAAAAATCAATTCACTGAGACTGCGGATAAATTATTATTAAGTTACTTGTTATTAAGTACTCGCATAACAAATAGTTAGGGGAACTACAAGTAGTTCGTTGAGTATTTATGGATATATTCTGAAGGTAATTAGGTTACGATTATTTTTTGCCGATTTGGAATAAATTTCTCACTGGTCAATTGTAAATTGATAACCAGTCAGTGGTAGATTCAAATATATATCTTCGATTCAGGTTAGGGATCGTCCATATATTACGTCATCAAAAAATCCTGAGAAAACCACCCACCCACCCCAAAATCATCAATCGTCATCACTTCTCAAAAGCACCCACCCAGCCCCTATGATGACGTCAACATATTAAATCTTAAAATTATCAATACGTAGGTCTTATAAAGCTAATATTTGGTTCTTTATTTTTATGACCAACACAGCTTCATTAACTATTACATTACATTAATAAGTAATGTTTGGGTTTCACTCAAAAACAACGGAGTTTCGATCTATGCTTTGAAGCAAATGGACATGTTAGTCATTCTTTCGTGTATGGAAGATACGTATCATTCTCAGAAATACGTTGAGTAATTAAAAATGCTACTCTTCATTATCTTTTAAGTCTAAACAAATTTCAGATTTGCTTGTATTTTTCCAAATTCAAAAATATAGTTCCAAGCTGTAAGAGCTTCAAGAAACATACATATGATAACTAATTATGAGGAAACATGTTCAACGTTTTGAGATTGGGCTAGAATATGTAAAATGTATGTATTAAAAATGCTATTCTGGGCTCTAAATTTATATGTACCAACTTTAGTCCATAGTAGACAATTCTCGCATTCACGACAATGCAAGCATACGATCGGAATATTTCTGTGCATTAACAATTCAAAACTAAGCTGGCCAAGATCCGAGAAAATAAATTCATGCTAGAGCATTGTAATTTAAACAAGGCGAGGGAGTCACTCCAAGTCAAAACCTTCGATTGGAGGAGAGTCATGACAGCGGAGATGTTGTCTCTACACTCCCAGCGACACTACTGATGTTAGTGCCCACCAGCTGTGGGCGTACATAGCACGGGTTGTCATTTTGTATGTCGATACGGTCAGGGCTAAGTTTTTTAAGTTATAGTTTTTTAAGTCAGCTTTCAAAATAATCTTTATGGATGTGACACTAGAATTTCGTCACTAAAAGTTTTGTTTACGCCCCTTGTTTTTCTATCATTTTGGGAATATTCCCACCCATAAGCTAACATGTGTCAGTAAAATCGCAATAACTTCTTGCCCCCACTCATGTTTGGCGTAATTTTTTTTTCTTGGTAACTATTTTATCACTAGCACTAGATCATAATTTCAAAAAATTGAGAAAAACATGAGTGGGGGCAAGAAGTTACAGCGCTTCAAAATTGTCATTCAAAATTTTGAAAATTGAAAATTTTCAAGTTTTGAAAATTTTATCGAGTACATTACGGCAAATGAAATAAAGTTTAAGTTGGAGTAAACTGTGTCAAAAATCTGTTGCACTTGATATTTAAAATGCAAAGCGTTTTTAAAATTTCGAAAAATAATGATTACTCGGCCAATATTTGAAATTAAATTTTAATTTTTTTGACGATAAGTTCCTTTTCATACTGGCGATTATTGATAAATTCGGAGACAAAATCTGAGACCTATGCCGCAATTGGAAATAGGCCTTCAAAAAAACTCAGTCGAGGCGTAATATACCCAATTTCCCCCATGTTTGCTAAATTCGAAATAAGGAGAAAATTTTCTATAATGAATCGATTCTATCGTAAGAACTTATGTCTTAACGCAAATGACGGAAATTTTAAGACATCAAACTCGACAATCGAAAGAGCATGAATAACGCTACATACAGATTGTAAGAGTTGCCCACATATTGTAAGCGTCAGGAGTGTTTTGAATTGTAGAAAATGAATGAATGAATAAAATCTAACGGCAATTTGTGCAATACTAACGATGACCACACCGAAGTTTTTTAACCTTCAGGGGTCCAAGTACACCTTCCCCACCGGTGGAGAGAACACTTTGTCACACACCTCTCATGAGCTTGCCACTCGTTTCATCAACTTCTACGATGACTTTATCCATAACCTGCCGAAATTTTTCGAAATTTGTTGGTGTCTTTTTGTTTGGAGTATTCAGGGTCACAGATTCTATTCGGAGAGGAATAAAAACTAACCAAATTCAGGGCGCGTAGGGATTGTTGTAATGATGTAATTTTTTTGGAGACGTATTTGTTTAGTGTGCATATTGGTTGGTTGGCGAATATCGGTTAGAAAATGCCCAAGAAATTGCCATCCGAAATCGACCATTTCATAAAGAATTTTTCCCAAGGAAGATTGTCACAAACGAAAGTCATGGACAAGTTGGTATTATCCGGATATAGTATTGTGCATTCAGTAGTATCTAGTGTAACTAGTTCCGTTACAACTATATAAAAATCTAAATTAGCGGGACTGCTATCTCCAATAAAGCTGTAGGCCCACAAAAAAGTTTCGCGTACTGTTTTTCGAAAAATCGGCGCCGTGAAAAGTTTAGAAAATGCTCCGACCCAAACTCAAAGTGGAAATGTTGTTAAAATATGTCACCTGCATGTTACTTGGGTCGTCGGGATCAAACTTCAAAAAAAGGTATCAAAACGAACCAAAGTTCGCACGTGGGGTGTAATTTCCCTCTATTATAATATAATCGTAACCGAGTCATTTCCATTGTGGATTATTAATATGTAATCTTGGAAGCTGCTTTCTTGGGGTTCTGCCAATTTTTGCATGCCATTCAGTAAAATTTTCGCAAACTATACCTAGGTAGTAGCTTAGAAATCAATGTGGGGGCCCCTTGACAGAGGTGAGACCTTTTCTACCCAAAAACTGATTTTTTTATATTCTTGAAATATAACAAATAAATATGTTCCAAAATTTATATTTCAACAAAATTTGGCTAGAAAAAAGTCTCATGTATCTGTCAAGCGGCCTCCAAATTTATTATCCAGCTACTAAAGTATGTGAAAATTTTGCGGAATCGCATGTAGAAATTGTCAAATAAAAATTATGCTGCCCTCTTTCTCCCCCTATTTCGATCTTTGAATTGGGAATTATTGAGACGATAGTCATAAGTGGTTAGGATTAAAAGTAACTGTACAACTTCAGTCATTTCTAGAGCGATAATGTCTGGCATAATTTTATTTCTGGGAGCGGTGCAACATAGTAAAAACTGAATACTTTCTCAAGGAAGTGAAAATAGTTCGATAATACATACTACCAGACATTAAAAACATCGCCAATCGGAGTTCTTTTTAAGCAAATTCATTTTCCGTATCAAGTCAGCGCGCATAATTTAATTACCTTGACAGGAATCTTTCGCCAAAAAAAGTTTTTGAAGCCTAAAATCACGACCACGGCGAAATTAAAAGAATTGAAAGATGCAAAAGCATATAGGAAGTGCATATACCTATGCTTATGTATATTTCAGTATATTGTATATTTTGTAATTTCGCCTCGGTCGCGATTTTAGGCATCAAAAACGTTTTTGGCGAAAAATTTCTGTGGGCGTCAAAAACATCGTACACTGTTGTACGATAGCTCATTTTCTTCGTAAGACCTAGCAGTTTCCAGTTAAATATATTAGAAAGCTAAAAAAACTATCCAGGGGGTTTTATTTCTTAGCTCTCATTTCGAATTGCTAAAAATTCTGACATTTGAATTTTGGTGACCTTAAAAATCGGCGACGCGGAATTATTTGGCTGAGTTTATACAAATGCGTGCGAGTTTAGAACCTCTAAGTACACAACATCATGTCGTTACTAAATAAACGGCAATCGTTGTTAACATTTGACAACAGTCTGTTAACAGACTGTTGTCGTGGAGAAATCGTGGAGTCGCTGCGACTTCGCTGCGAGTTCTTGGAGTCGCTAGGAGTTCGCTTCGAATTCGCCAGCGAATCGGCGGACATTTCGCTGCGAATTCGATAGGGAATTCACAACGAAATCTCAAATTGTTATCTGGGTTGTTGTAACTCAATTGTTTGATACACTGTAGTTAAGAATTTTCAATACCGTTAAATATCACAAAAAAATCCCACCTAGGGACCCCGAGTTGCCTTTATCCGCCACTGCTCATGTAACAATGATCATATTACGATAACACACTTACGATACGAAACACACAAGTATTTAATTACATAAACATGAAAGATACAAAAAGTACCCGATTTTGCTTGTATGAAAAGTGGTATGTCGAATACGGCATGAGATTTGGATTTGAAACATGTATTCCAGCCAACAGGCTACTGAATATGATTCCCTGCCATTTGTAGAATATGCAAGCAATAAAATCCCATTGTATTTCTGAAGGAGCTGAACTGCCTAAGCTTACACAACATGTACATTCCCAACAACGGTAATTATATATAATACCGACTCAAATATACCCTTGATTTCGTCTAGATTATTGTGTTCTTTAATTTATGGGTCACCCATCCATTACATACGTCAATTTATTTTCATGATAGCACTTATTCACATCCGCTGATTGCAGCAAAGCTACACATTCATCTCCTACGCAAGTATCTAATTATCCAGCCAGATGTAAATATCTGCATATGTACATATGTAAGTACAATTCGCATTTTACCTGCAGTAACCACAGCGAATAATTAGTAATTATTAATTACTACTGACATTTACTTTATCTTAATTGGACAAACATATATATTCATCATGTCGCAAGTAAGGGAGCTACTTTTGGTCTTTTTATCCGTCGTGCTCCCCCCCCTTGGCCGTTCTCTTGAAGAAGAACAGGTTCGATTCCGATCTAGCTATGAATCTTGTGATGTCAGCGTTGTTCTGGATTCCGGGCGTGTTGCATGCACTTTGGATCGTTCTTTCAGATGACCGAGAGATTACGTGGCGAAAGAGGTTAACATAAAGTCGTTTTTTGACATGTGCAAGTTAAGCTAAATTTACAAAAGGGATTTTCCTTATCGACAGGGAAAATATGCGACAAGATTAATTTTGTAGATTACAAATTCTTAACAAATTCTTAACCGGGATATTGGAAATCTTAGGATTAGGATCTTAGGATCTCCTTAGATTAGGAAGTATTCATATGCAGAATTTCCATAAACCCGGAAGTACATATGTATAATGTATAAAATTACCTTATATATTTCACGCTTGTATGTACATGAATATATGTACATATTTACATGGCCAAATAGAAATTGCAAAGGTGTATTAATATTTGACAAGTTGAATAAATAGCTTTATGTACATATGTATTGATGTATTTACTTATGATGACGTCGGACGGTGCAAAAATGTGTACCTATCGCACTCACCTTGATTCAAATTTAATAGTCAAATTGACTATTAAAGAAGGGATTGACTAACAATAGAGGTCTCCCAACGTATGCTTATTGCTTACAGATTTGTAGCAAACTAGCGTCAATCGATCACAAATATAATGGGTATGAAATTTGCAAATGGAACTATCTGCCAATGCGCAGGTTTGGCGGAGATATTTGCATAAAAAGAGGAGAAACCGCACCCCTAAGGCTGGCAAATTTTCATTTTCCAAATTTGCTGCGCATTTTTTTCGCTTTGGATGCAAATATCTCTGTCAAACCTGCGCATTGGCAGATAGTTCCATTTGCAAATTTCATACCAATTATATTTGCAATCTATTAACACTAGTTTGGTCCAAATCTGTGAGCATACGTTGGGAGACCTCCATTGTAAGTCAATCGCGTTGTCCTTGACTTACATATTGCATATTAAATACTCGGTTACATTGACTTAGCTATGCGTTGACCACTTTACCACAAACGATTGATATGTAGGCTTCGTTTTTTTCATGTATGTATGTCAAGTTTATATTTCCTGTCCAATAGATAACTACGCGTAACCATGACCATTACTATTCTGTACAAGCCAAAATTAAACTTAATGTAATTATTGTTACCTATATAATAAAAATCCTAAACCCAGAGATTGACGCCGACTAATTTTATGGCGGTGGCAGCGCGAAATCTTTGTGATTTTGCGGCAGCGTCGACGGTGCCGAGCCTCAATATTGTACATATTTAGATAATGTATGTATGTAGGAAATTAGATACATGGCGGCGCGGCAGCGTACGATCGGCGGCGTTGGCCTTTGATTAAAATCATCTATAGTTAAATTTGCATTTTGCACATTGGTAATCTAGTACTTTTAGTTATAGATTGAAAAATAATTAAGACAAAATACATATTTTGCTATTGAATTTTATTTTCGCTGCCAATCATCTAATCAGATTTACATATGTACACATTAATCATCAACGGTTTTATCCACAATTTAATCCATTTATGGGTACGATCCAGGCAACATTTTCGTCGGGTAGAGTCCCAAATTACCCGGCGGGCTGGGGCCCTGAACTTCTCCGACGATCTGGGTCACTTGAGCCTTGAAGCGTTCCACTTCTTCGCGATTAGCCATCCATTTCTGGAATTCGACGGGATCACTTTGCCCCTTGTAGGAAAAGATGCTCTTGTATCCGGCGGGAGGTGGGACGTCCTTTCGCACGCTCCACATGGCCCACGTGTTCTTCTGGGTTCCCAAGTCGAGCCACCAGCTGAGGTACAATTTGGCGGCGGCGGGTCGCTTCGTAGCTTTGAAAATGGCGGCTCGTTGCCCCCACGAGACGAATGGGTCGTTCTTGGGGAGAACGAATTGGACGGGATTGGTCATCTGGGAACAAGAGGAGGTCGCGTTATTTAAAATTAGCGGGAATCTTTGCAGGCAAAATGAGACTTTTCCTACCTTCATAGCACCGCCCGAAGTAAAAACGGCGGGAGTTTTTCCGCCCCAAACATCGTCCGAGGGTGCTTGCGTCCCCCGCACGAATTTTGGCTTGTTAGCGACAAATTTTTCCAGCCAGGCCCACCCGTACTTGTCGATGACCTGTTTAAACCAGAAAAGGACGGCGTCATCATCATTGGGGTAAGTTGTGACTACTTTTCCCGTCAAATTAGCCCTTAAGTAGTCATTCGCTTCGGTCGGCCATCCCGCTGGATTCGTTCCGGCCAAATTTTTGTTGATATTGTTGGAGAAAGCGATCACTGCAATGGCCGTGTAGGCGCCATCGACATCTTTAAACTCTGGGTACACCTGATCCCACCCGATCGGTTTGTAATTCAGTAAAACTCCCGCCTTCTTCCATCTGTCGAAATCCTGCAGGGTTTGCAAATGGGTGACGTCCGGGATGAGGGAATTGGTCTGGAGTTGAAGGTCGATTCGGGCGTCGTGGTTCTTACTGAAGTCGACAATGATTTCGACAGACATTCCGGGAAAACGGGTTTCGAACGCGGTTTTCATTTCGTTCAACTGATTTGCAGTATCTCCGCCGGCGTAGACGATTAGTTTTCCGCCTTCAGCGAGGGCGGCGGAGTGAAGTTGGGAGAGAGTGCGGGTGTCGGCAGTGATGGGGGCGGCGGTGGTGGAAGGCGAGGAGGGGGAACCCCACCCACTTCCCCGACCGCAACCGGAACTCGGGTAGTGCTGCAATTAATAATAAAATAATTCATACATTCTTAGAAATCCGGTAATAAAATAATACCAACCAGTATTCATTCATGACTCTATCAAAGTGGTATTGATAAGTAGTACTTATCAATAGCAGAAATAGCCCGGTATAAATGTTTTTTGTACACTGACTGGTATAGTTTCAGTACCAAATGATGCTACTTTAATACCAAGAAAGCAGTACCTACTGATATATCATATTTCTAACAGATTAGAGAATTTAAAAAAATCATACGATTCAAAACTCTGGTACAATTTGGAACAATATAAATCTTTGAGTAATCGAAAATAGCAAATTTGAAAGTTAATGTATACATTTCTGAATAAGGTTTACCTAAATTTTGGAATAATTTAATTTGAAAATTGTGGTACATATTTGCTTGACTTACGTTATGCTCATGGCCAAAAATTGGCCCTGAAACTAAACCCACCAGGAGAACGAATTGAATAAAAGTCGCCATTTCGTTATTCAAATGTGATATGTTTTAGCAAATTCGTTTCTGAGCGTATTTTATACCAAACCGACACGGATCTAGGACCCGGCGTATAAACAAGCTATTCATTTTTAGAAGAATAAATAAAACCGCAAACAAACTTTGATTAATTTCGATTTGCTCCAAATCCTGGATGTGATGTTCAAATGTAAACGATTGTGCTATCAGGCCACATTCCATTGTTTGATATATCAAACATATATTTTGCATATAATGAAAGTCTTCAAATGCGGTCCTCTATTTAACGTATGCAAATAGCAGTTCAATTTACTCAACATAACGAGGAAGTCAAACTGTTAGAAATTTGGTAAGTCAGGCAGGTATTGATTTCTTGGTATTAAAGTTGCTACCGCTTGATATCAAAACCAGAGCTTTTTAATTAATTAGTGAAATCAATTAATTTGCTAATTAATTACCAATTTTCAGCTAATTAACAATTATAAATTAGTTTTAATTACCTTACTAGAGTAATTAAACTGAGTCAATTATAATTAATTAGTTTCGTGATATTTTAACCAATTAATTAATTAACTAATTAATTACTTAATTTTTGAGATTTATCTGGTTTGCGCTGTTTCGTTTTCCCAGGTAAAGTGGCGTTTTTTAATCTGGCAACTCTCCTATTCTACATGACTTATTTTCAAGCCCTCATAATTAAATTTCATGCAATAATTTCAACTTTGTTACAATAAATAACTGCATACTGTAAAGTATATAAGTGCCAATAATGGAAGACGATATTCTCAAAAATTAATATGAAAATCTTAACAAACTAACAATGTCAATACTCAAATACCATCATCAGCTCCAGTTGAACTTTACTTGATGGACTGATTATAATCATTCCATCAATTAAAGGATACATAAATGTATCCGAAATATGGGCGATGTTAAAATGTAACGATTATTATAAATTTGAGTTGCCGGTAATTATTTCTGCCGTCCGTAATTTTATATTGTAGCTTGTAAATTTGCGTTGAAAACAATTCTTTTTTTAACTAATTAATTATTTTTCGAGAAGTAATTAATTACTTTTTTTAGAAGTAATTAATTAGTAATTATAATTAATTAGTTGAAGCTCTCTAATTAAAAATTGATAATTAATTAGATTAAAGATGTCAGCGCTAATTATTAATTACTAATTAATTATTCTTTGCGTTAATTAAAAAGCTCTGATCAAAACTATGTTATGTATTTTCCTATTCCGTAAAAAATTTGCCACCGATATGGTAAAACCTGAATACCGAGCTATTACTACGTGGAATTACTTATCAGTACCACTTTGGTAGAGTGATATATGTATGAATACCGCTTGGTATTATTTTAATACTGGATTTCTAAGCCTATACCTTTTAGTTTAGAAAGGAATACTAATTTTATACAGAACTATTCTAATTCGACTTCTAAACTATTCTAAATACCTAGATATTATATTATATAATTTATGTATTCAAAACATTAAATATTTCATACCATTTTAATGCTAAAATTTTCAAAAAATATGGCAGCAAAATTATCAAGATTTTGAATAACGATTAATTTGCCATGAATGGTGCTCATATCTTCATTTTAACCTATTTATACTACACTCTTAGAAATAATGTTACCCTTTTGAAAAGCAAATGCACTAAAATAAGGACTAATCGAAACTTACATGTACGTATTCTGTATTTTATGTACATACACATGTATGTATTTATGCTTTATTTCGTCCACAACAAAATGGATCATACATATGTATCTTACATTAACATAAATACATGAAAATTTAATGTTTAAATATAATATATTATAATATGTAAATATATATGTAAATATATTATATGTAAACAATGTATAAATATGTATCGACATTCGAATTGTGTCATAGCACTGAAATTTGGAAATATAAATAATGTGAAAAGGAATATTACAATATTACATTATGTACCAAAAAAGAGTAATGAAGCCCTTAAATATTTATTAAACCAGTTCAAATTCCATCTTCTCAATAAACCCACAATTGACTCCGAGCTGGTCTCTTTCACGTCGTTTAATAATGACTCGAGTAGCATTTTCTTCCATGACGGGATCAGGGAATAAACCGACATAATTTGTAATCATTCTGTTGCATCCGTTCGGAGGAAAGACGTGCTGAATGATATCAAAAATTCCCTTATTGGCCACGGTTTGCGTAAGACCATGATATCCCACGTCACCGGAGAAACTCATCGTAACCTTGACCCATCCATCCAACACATTAAGTCTGCACGGCGGATCGATGGAAATGCGCAAGTAGACTTCACCCCTCTCGTAAGTGTCGAATTTGGTGACAAGGGTGTCGACATTCTTGACTTCACTCTCGCATGACAGAGTACACTTGATCAAATCGTAATAATAAAGATAGGCTGGATTTACGTCAAAAATTTCTTTCGGAACTGAAATTGATTTCAGTGAGACGTTTTCCTTAACACGAATCCTGGAAAATAATGAGGGTATTCGTTATTTCTTCGTATCCGTAGTATCGTAAAATAGTTTACGAAGATAAAACCAGGGGTCAGGTTTCGTAAAAATCGTAAGCGTAGTAACGTGATTTTCGTTGGCAAAATCTTACGACGCTTACAAAATCTCGTAAGCTTCGTAAGTTATTTTACGATACGAAGAATACTAAGAATACGAAGAAATAATGAATACCCTCAATATTAATGCACAAAGAGAATATTGGCACAGACAGTTATGAAGGTTACGTACATAATCGTTTCACTTCCATTTGGATTTCCCGCACAAGTTATGCTTTGAATCAGTCTCGCACCCTCGGGAAAGGTCCGCGTGAGAACGATGTCCTTGTTAATGTAGGTGCGCGGAGTGGACACAAATGTTCCTGGTGGGAGCATATTTCTAAAACAAATGGAATTACCAAATATATTATGCAAATATAATCGAGATGAAAGAAGAAATTAAATGTTTTTGTTGGTATTAAACTTAGGTGAAGCGTGATAAAAATGACGACTCATTATTCGCGACAATTCTCTACTCTAGTTTCAAGTCTCCACGGAGTAAGATATGCAAAATTTACATACATATCTTACTTATTTACCTCTTCTCAGGCGGGACAAGAAAACAATTCAACAGCTCCATCGATTCTTCCATGCTGAGAAGTTTCTTGGTCGTCACGTTCAGAGCAAACTCGGCCGGATCCATTAAAGAAAACCGGATATGACTCAGCGGTTTGGCGAGACACTTTCGAAGACTTTCAGCATTTGCAGGATCCAGATTTTGTCGTAAACACTCAGCTATGCCCCATCTACAAAGATGATATAAATTTATAATAATCTACCATAGCTTAAAGTACCAAATTTTGCAAATTCTCACCGGTTCACTGCGTCGAACACTTCCATCTCGTTCATCACTACGAGCGAATCCTGCTGAATTATTTCTACCAAACACTCCAATCGCAACTTGGAAAATTTGTCAGATTTCAAAACTTTTCGTGCATTCCTGTCGGTAGAGAAATATTGAAAAATTAAAATTTACACACATGAAACCACTGGCGGGCAGTGGAAGCAGGGGGGAGGGAGACATTCCCCCCTAAAAGTATAGCAAAATCGTATCTTCCTAGTTTTAGTACTTCCCTCCTCCTAAACAATCCCTCAATCCTAATTTTCCCTTCTATCCCCCAACTTCCGCCGCCACTGCATGAAACACGTGAGCCATATTTACTTGCAAATGAATTTGAGCGTTGACTGAATAAAGTCCCCGTGCGCGTATTCCATCCCACTTTGAAACAATGAAAGGACATTTTCCAAGGTCAAGTCGCCCTTCAAAATCTGAGCGCACTCGTCCCTCAAACCGCTGACTTCATACTCGGTTGCAAGTTGCATCAGCTGCAGTGCATCGCCCATCCCGACGTCCGATTTCCCAGTGTACAAATGCTAAATAAAATCAGCGAAGCATTATTAACTTAATTTATTTATGTTGGCAAAATTATGTCTAATAATTATGTACTCCGAGTAATTTGAAGACAAATCGTCACCAGCGGAAGTACTCTATTTTTAGGTAATGAGTAACGTGGCCTTTTGTCACCAACGGAAAATAAGTCGCAAACTCGTAGCGAAGAGATGTGATGTCATTATTTTTTAAAAAAAGACAATGAGGCAATTCACGCCCTCCTTCGTAACTACGTAAACAGCGTAAAATCCGTAAACTTACAAACGTTTACAAACTTTTACAAAAATTGTCAAGGAAAATCAGTTTACAAACTTTTGTAAACTTACGCAGCTCACAGGCGTCTTTTAATTTTGTAAAGTATTTTGTAAACTCAATTTGCGGAAGAAAAAAATTTTATCGATACAGAAATTTGGCATAGAGGTTGCTAATGGCTCCTAATGAAAGAATATGAAGTGAAATTGGAAAATTTTTCATCTGGAGGTACCCGAAGGGGTGACCCATACCGATTTTTCAAAATCATCCAATCGAGCTGAAATTTGGTATAGAGGCTGCTAAAGGCTCCTAATGGAAGAATATGAAGTGGAATTGGTAAAAAATCACATCCGGGACCCGTTGGGGTGACCCATACCGATTTTCATAACTTGTCTCAAAAAGCTGAAATTCGGAACGGTGATAGCTTCTCATGAACGAATATGAAGTCAAAGATGAACAAAAAATAACCAGATGGGCAATAAGGGAGGGGCACCGATACCGATTTCTAAGAAGTTATATATTCAGCTAAGATTTAGTGTGATTTAGGATTAGAATTTAGGAGGGTTGAATTTTGAAATTTTTATAGGAACAGCCTTCACTGTTCGTGGTATTTATTATATCAATAAATGCAGCTCCACAAATTTCTTCCATTAATTTCCGTTTTCTGGAAATGATCGGCATTTTGTTTCAATTATCAGATAAATTTTTACGAAAATAATTGCGAAAGTGAATTCACGGGAAGCTGTTTGTAAACGTTTGTAAGTTTACGGATTTTACGCTGTTTACGTAGTTACCAAGGGTGCGTGAATACCCTCAATATTAGCTGATTTCAAGATCTTTTTACATAATATTATTGAATTTTTTAATAACGACGTCACGTTTTCTTGGCGCTCGAGTTTTGGACGACTTATTTTCCGTTGGTAACAAAACGTTTCCTTAATGATTAAGGTTTATTCACCACCAAAAAATAGAGCACTATTGGGGGACCAGTTATCTCCAAATTATTTAGAGTGTACCTTAATCAGCATTTTGAAAACGCGAGTATCCACATTTTCAATCCTGATCTCCTCCGTTTCCGGTTTGATTTTGCCATCCAGCACGGGGGAGCCGGCCTCAAGAAATATTTTATGCACTGGAAGCTGCCAAAAAATGTCATCTAATTAATTAATGCCTCCACAATAATTGCGCAATTACTTAATTATTACAACCAACCCTTAATCCTTCAGGATAAAGGTTCAGCATCAAGTCACTTTTATACCCTGTCTCGAACAGATGCAATAATCGAGCCTCGTGATTTCCGGTCCACCCCCACTTTGGTCGCAGCAGTCCAGAAAAAGAACCAATTCCATTTTTAGCACGTGACCCGCCCCCCAACTTGCTGGCTTGCCAACTCATATTTCACCTTTGTGCAAAAATTTAATTGTAATTGAAGCAATATCAAGTATGTATTCACATAATCGCATATATTTACAAATTAGTAATTACTTACGTGCACGGAAAATGTTAATTGATCAGGAAAGCCGGGCTAAAACAGTCTCCTATTTATTTTGCTAAATAAGCAAGTAAGAGTATGGGCAGTTAAATATGATTAACAGGTGTAGATATACTTATGTTTGTAATGGCATACAGGTATATATTTTAATTAAAGAATACTCAGATTTAGACGATTTAGTGGTAAGCACATGTGTACCAGCGTGCTCCCGACGATCACCGACTTGGACATGCACTCGTACATAGAAGATTTGCATATCCATCGATTCATTCATTCGCCCTCACTTTTCTACTTTGTCTCAATTTGGTCTTTCATTAATAAATAGGTAACAATATTTGCTTGCATGATTTTCATTCTTATTAATTTCGTCGCATGAGTTGCTAATTATTAATTTCGTGCTAAGTATTTTAGCCAAATACTTCTATAATAATTACCACGCTATGTATATGTAAGTAAATCGCATAAAAGTTGTTTTCAAAACCATAGATGCGCGGACACTCAGTGGCGGACACTCGGTGCCGTCCACAGTGTCAGTGTCACTCATTATGGCCGAGTGTCGGTGGACAAGTGTCAGTGTCAGCCACTGTGGCCGAGTGTCAGTGGACACAGTGTCAGTGTCAGCCACTGTGGCAGAGTGTCGGTGGACACAGTGTCAGTGCCACTCGCTGTGGCCGAGTGTCAGTGGACACAGTGTCAGTGTCAGCCACTGTGGCAGAGTGTCGGTGGACACAGTGTCAGTGTCAGCCACTGTGGCAGAGTGTCGGTGGACACAGTGTCAGTGCCACTCGCTGTGGCCGGGTGTCGGTGGACACAGTGTCAGTGTCAGTGGACAAAGTGTCAGTGCCACTGATTGTGTCCGAGTGTCATAGGACACAGTGTCCATATAACATGCTGCTTAAGGTAAAATTATTAAATGTAATTTTAGCAAAATTTTAACATCAGTTAAATATTCATTGCGAGTTAGCAACGCTACCAAAAAAACAATATTCGCAACTTAGCAAAAAAATGAGGCTTGAAAATTCATTTGCAAATTTGCCCATCTCCAATGATAGTTTTAGTTCGGACTTTTTTTCTAAATTATTCCACGATGAGAAGATGTCCACTAGTAATGAATTTCCCCATTATTGCTTAATTTAGTATTTGTACACTGGGAAGTCTGGCGTCGGGATGGGCGACGCACTGCAATTGATGCAACTTGCAACCGAGTATGAAGTCAGCGGTTTGAGGGACGAGTGCGCTCAGATTTTGAAGGGCGACTTGACCTTGGAAAATGTCCTTTCATTGTTTCAAAGTGGGATGGAATACGCGCACGGGGACTTTATTCAGTCAACGCTCAAATTCATTTGCAGGTAGGGCTCGCGTTTCATGATTAGATAATAGATTTTGTGTTTTCACTTGGAAATTTCAATACTTTGTTGCCGACAGGAATGCGAGAAAACTCTTGAAATGTGAAGAGTTTACCAAGCTACGACTGGAATGTTTGGTCGAAATTATTCAGCAGGATTCGCTCATGGTGATAAACGAAATGGAAGTCTTTGAGGCGATGAACCGGTGAGAATTTGCAAAATTTGTCAATAAATATCTCCCTTTCAAGTTATGACGAATAATTATTTTGAAATACTAATGTCTGTTTGTAGCTGGGGCATAGCTGAATGTGTGAGACAACGTCTGGATCCTCAAAATGCTGAAAATCTTCGAAAGTGTCTCGCCAAACCGTTGCGTCATATCCGATTTTCTTTAATGGATCCGGCCGAGTTTGCTCTGAACGTGACGACCAAGAAACTTCTCAGCATGGAGGAATCGATGGAGCTGTTGAACTGTTTCCTTATCCCGCCTGCGAGGAGGTAAATAATTCACCTGTCTTCAAATTGGATAATTGTCGTGACAAGCAGTGTTTCTTGTGCAAGTAACCACATGCAAGAGACAACGGCAAGAAATTGGTTAGGTGCAGCAAGCAAATGTTTCCCGCCGTTGTAGTTCATTCTAGATGGCGCATGGGGATACGGGTTACTTGTCGAATCCTATGTCGTCGAAAAGGTAAGTCGTCGAAATCAACTTGTCGAACGGAAAACTCGTCAGAAAGGCAATTCATCGAATTTAGGTGGCATGAAACTCGTCGAATTTCTGAATCGACTGAATTTTTTACTGATTTTACCTATATATTTAATGAGTTCACACGTATGCACAATACATGTGCATCGTGGGGCGGATATACGCTGCGGACATTCCAAAATACTTAAAATACAGCAGTAATTGGGAGGATTGTTTTGTTCTTTTTACCCTTCTAAGATAAGCTGTTCTGATGGATTTTGAACAAGAAGAACTTTGTTCATTCAAACGAAATAAAGATTATCTTTGTTGAAATCAATTTCAATTCCAAAACAAATTATTGACATAAATTCTACCAGCGTCTGTTATTACGATTTGGTTAATTGTCATCTCGCCTTCACCAGCGTGGTCAGGGATATGGACGCCATTGTCACCAAATTCGACACTTTCGAGAGGGGTGACGTCTACTTGCGCATTTCTATAAATCCGTCTTGCAGACTTAACGTCTTGGACGTCTGGGTCAAGGTGACGCTGATTTTTTCCGGTGACGTAGGACATCACACTCTTTCACAAACCGTAGCCAATAAGCAAAATATGAATATGCAAAGCATATTTCCTGCTAACGGACACAACAGGGTGATTGCAAATTATGTCAATCTGTTCAATGATTCGGGTGTGAAGGAAAGTACAACCGGAGTCCTTGTTGAACGATTTAAAGGCGACGAGCTTGGAGTTAAGTATGGGTTTATTGAGAAGCTGGAATTTGAAGTGGTTTGAGGGTTGTATTTATTACTTTTTTGGCAACGTTTTGCTCGTTTCAAATTTTGCATTTCCAAATTTCAGTGCTACGTAATAATAGTGGTATGTCGATACATATATGCAATTAATTTAATTTTCATGTACTTCCGATCCGTTTTTTTTTTGTCGGCAAATAAAGCAATGCAATATGAGCATAAAGCACTAAATGAAGACACATACACTGAAATCATTCGTGCTAGTCACTCATTTTCATATTTTGACGCATTCGCGAGAGGCAGAGTTTATTCAACAAGGAAATCTCGAAAAGGACATAGTCAATAGTGACAAGATTTACGTGTATGAGGTGACAACCACAAGTAATTCCACTATATGTAAATATTATTGGATGCATATGTACATATTCAGACCCCTGCCCTGCTCTCAGTAGGAAGTTTTCATATCCGCAGTATTTAAGTGTAGAAGTAAAATCAAAATTTGCTTATTTCAGTCCTGTACATATGAACATAATATTTGCATGCCTATGTACGTAATGGTAGCATGCAAATTTCAAACCCGTATTTATGTACGTATCAGAAGTCGAATAAATATATGTCATAATGTACCTAAATAGAGTCTAAAATTCCATGCCCAAACTAATGCAAAATTCTAATTCCAATAATTTTTATTTAGTCTCCTCCTTAGCTTAGCTACTTGATTTGCAAGTACTAGGATTTTACTGTGCAATTACGTGTACACGTGTACGTTTTCATTTTATCTAAATTTGCAATCGTCCACTATATAAATCATCCAGATTGACATTTTTCCAAAATTCGCTTACAATGCTCTCGCGTGCTGAATTTCATAATGCTTTGCGCAAAATTGTGTTACTTTATAATTCGTTCCTCTACGTTGAGAGCGATCTCCTGTCTCCTGGATTATGGAAAGTTCTGGCAAAATATGCCTCCGTATATCAAAACGTTTTGCCCTTTCGAGTATTGTTACACGAAAGGAAAATCTATCTAGCAAGAGAGTCTACCTTAAAGCTTGTAATTATTAAGTTATCTTCGATACTACTTACAACCTACACCGGGATCACGCTTATCCTATTAATTAAAAAATTAGGCTTTATACATGAAGAAGCCATGCACGATTGGCTAAGTACCAAGAGGACTTTTGCCATGTTTTTCATCACTTTTATGTTCTCCACGATTATTCCAACCAGTTTAATGATCGCACTTCAAGCCGAACCACTTTGTCAAGTCATCAATCAAATTAACCAATTTAGTGCCAGAGTAAGAGGTTTGTAAATAAATATTCTAGAATTTGAGTATTCATTTAACTCATTGATTCAATTGCTAAAACTTAAATATGTTAATACATATATCATTTAATTCCTCAGACTTGGGTCCAATTCGTCACGAACCTCCCGTCAATAAATTATTGGAGACCGCGCTGAACACCTTTATTCAAATCTCGCCCTTATTTCCACTGATTCTGAGTCCAGTTTTCGTCTTGCGCAACACAGGCCCGTTTCATGTCCTAAGTCAATATTCCCTTTTCCCCGGGCTTAGTTTCATTATAATTCTGCTCCGAATATTTATTTTAATCTGGGTCGGGGGCGAAGTGATCAAATCATTTTGCGGCCTAGCTACGCTGGGAATAATGGTTTTAACAGCATCCATTCAAATAATGGCGCGGTGCAGAAAAGTTATCAAAAAATGGGGCAATTCTCAAACTAAAGTTGTAAAATTGTATAGAGAATTTCAAATTTGGATTGGTTACTCTAACCTAAAATTCTCCTATTATGCAGTTCCGCCCATGATCTTATTTGGCATGGGTATCATCATTTTGTCGACATATTTAAGCATCAGATTAGTCGGAAGGGTTTCACTTCCGGTGTACTTGTTGTGTCTGATGACTAGTGGGCTGGGATTTATTGCTGTAGGTTCGGTTTTGCCACAGGCAGCCATGGTTTCCGAAACTTCGAAGAGTTTTATTATATTTTTGAGGGGTAGATGCTTCTCCAAGTACGAGATGAGATTAGCGAAATCGCTTAGCCCTGTAGGAATTAAGATTGGACCTTTTGGAACGACGTCCAAGTCATGGCAGGTGAAGATTGTGTGGAATATTGTAGATTACACGATTAATTTGCTCCTGACTTTTTAGTGGCATTGACTAATTGTAAATATTATGCTCATATTAAAATATGGGTTTGAAATTGTTAATCAAAACTTTTTTAATACGAACTTTAGACGGGAAGAGTAGTATTTAACCATTTAAAGAGGACAAGTAAAAGTCATGATGTCCATAATTCGTGTCACCAGGCGACAGTAGAGTTACCTTAATTCGTGAGGGAGCTTTATTTCTAAGGGATCATTATTCGTAACCAAAAATGCCAGTCAAATATGTTACTCCGTGACAACATTTTCACAAAAAATTTTAATTTCTAGCCCGACCCAAGGCTTATGTACCCGTGTTGCCCATCTGTACGATGATAATTCTTTTTAAAATTATCCGATCGACTTGATATTTTCCACACATATAGACCATCCAAATACACAACTCGAGTTCGAAGACTGGTTCGATCGGTCAAGTGGTTGGCCGGTAGGGGTCATATGGGTGTTGGGGTCAAGGGTAACGAAAATTCAAAATTTGCGTGAAAGTTTATAATGACTTGCAATGGAAGAATATGACGTGGAATTGAATAGATTTTTATCTTGAGGTACCCTATAGGGTAAATGTTAATCCTAAGTTATTTCTCGACTCCATACTTCAGCTGATTATATCAATTTTAAGAAATCGGTGTGGACCATCCCCTTAGGGTGACCATATTTTTCCCGACTAAAACCGGGACATATTTTGGCAAAAAAAATTTTCAATAATATCTAGTGCTTGGCGAAAAAATTTTCAATAATATCTAGTGCTTGGCGATTCGAGTATAACCGAATTTTGAGAAAGAGCTAGGGTAGGAGATTAAGTGAATATTACATGCACGTTACTGGTATTTATGTGCTAAAATCTACTTTTTCATCAATATTTTTTTGCAAAAAGCGGGATAATTTAATTTTTTCCTGAGATTTTGATAAACCGGGACACTTTATCAAAACCGGGACATTTTTGGGACGCCGGGACAGGTTTTGAAAAGCGGGACATGTCCCGGCTAAATCGGGACGGATGGTCACCCTACATCCCCTAGTGTCCCTCTGCAAATTTTTGTTCATATTTAACTTCCTATTATTTCATGAGAAAGCAGTAAAGATCTCTGGTCCTAATTTCAGCTTTCCATGTTAATCCCTGAAAATTGGTGGGGGTCACCCCATAGGGTCCTTCCAGATTCCAATGTATATTCTTCCATGAAGAGCCATAAGAAAACCAAATGCCAAATTTCAGAACGATATGACGATTTTGAAAAATCAGTATGGGTCACCCAATAAGACCCCTCCAGATGAAAATTTTACCAATTTGAGAAAATATTTTTCTTTTAGGACCATAAGCAATCTTTCTACCAAATTTCAGTTCTATATTACGACTTTGCAAAATCAGTTGGGGTCCCTCACCATAGGGTTCCTCAAGATGAAAATTTTTCCAACTTGAACTCATTTTTATCTATTAGGAGCCATTAGCAACCTCTGTGCCAAATTTCAGCTTTCTACGACAATTTCGAAATTTTGGTGCATAATACCCACCCACCCAGATGACCCATACGGGTCAACCAGGGGACCGCTTTTGCCTATCTTCGAACTCGGTTCCTAACTTTGTCCAATATGCATCTGGTAAAAATTTCAAGTCAATCGGCCAACTCGTTCCAGAGTTATCTATAGACAGACGGGCAGACGGACGGACGAACGGACATGACAATTACAGAAGCCCTGGTTCGGGCTAAATAAAAAATGTCGACGTCACGAATTATGGCGAATTTGCCTGAGAACGACAAACGTCTACGTCACGAATTAAGGTAAGGTTTTCTGTGGCAACATATGTCGTCGTCACGAGTTATGGAGCGGATTTTGGCGATGACATATGCCTTTGTCACGAATTAAGGACAAGTCGCCAAAGCGACATATGCCACTTTCACAGATTAAATGGTTAATAAATCAAACCAGAAATTAATTTTCAAATTTAATTTAAATTTAAATCCATTTAAATCATCATACCGTGAGTAGTGAAACTTCTATCCATACGCAACTACCCGAACCACTTTGTAGTGCGGTTCGATACGGAAAACGAGTACGGGTATCAATTTAGTACCCGTTACTCGTTTTCCTTTATGAGGATTACGTTAAAAATTAACCAACCTCCAAAATAAATTTTCTATACTCTATAATTTGTGTTTACAACTGATAATTCTTGTGAAAATAATATCCGGCATTTATGTATACGGATGTATTCCATTATTTTATTTACACAAAAAACTTTACTGTTTTGCAAGCTATCGATAATATTTTTATCTTTTGCCTTAAACTACAACATGTAATTTGTGTGGTGTAAGCGGTTTAAATTTTACTTCAAATATCATTTTAATTACGAAAAAAATTGGGCGAAATTAGAAACACTACTATAATTGATACCCGTACACGTGTGCACGTGTGGGTTAAAGTTTTATTTTGACAACCCGTTCGACGAAATGGGCAAATGGCCGAAAAATTACAGAATGAAAGTGTGTAGTCCTGCACAAGGAAATAAATATGTATTAATAATGCAAATAATATAGCAAATGCTGATAAACTAAATGAAACACTACGAGGGTATTCATTATTTCTTCGTATCCTTAGTATTCTTCGTATCGTAAAATAACTTACGACGCTTACGAGATTTTGTAAGCGTCGTAAGATTTTCTCATCGAAAATCACGTTACTATACGCTTACGATTTTTACGAAACCTGACCCCTTGTTTTTTCTTCGTAAACTATTTTACGATACTACGGATACGAAGAAATAACGAATACCCTCTACATTTTACATTTTAGCAAATGCTAAACTAAATGTTTATTAAAATTAGAAAAACTTTGAACTCAAATATTTTTAAATAGCGAAGCTAAAATTGCATAGTTGTGAAAAAATACATCAGGTTTTTGGCTCCATCTTTTGGTAGAGGAATTGGCGATGAAATCATTATCCCCTTTCCTTTGTCCGCCCCGATATGCTCGTGGCTCGTGTAATGCGTCAAAATATGCAAATGTGGTGATACGCACAAATAATTCCCAGTATTCTTAAGTACATACATATGTATATAAGTGCATATGTAGGTAAATAGTCTTCATTATACGAAATTTTATAGAAATTAAAAATTCGGAGTAACTACGATACTGCATTTTCTCTAGGATGACGGGAGACTTTGAGACTGAATGTGGGGAAGTTTCTCTGAATTCTAAATTTCTGTAAAAGTTCAACTAAATATATGTGAATGGAAATTATATACACATTAACGCTAAGATTATGATAATATCAAGTATGGCGCAAGATTTAGCCAAGGCTCTCGATTTCAATTTGTCATACTCTTTGTCTCAAGCATATAAACATAATTGTTTGCATGGCTTTTACCTATTTTTATCAATTTCGTCCCCTGCAGTAATCTCATAATCGCATCCTAATTATTTTGCATAACCAAATTTACGGTGTTCACCAAGCTGCCAATAAGCTTCGTAAATCTTATTTTTAAAACTAATGTCCAAGATGCAAAACATCTGCATAAAAATAAGGCTATACCTATCTACAATACAAATACAATTCTTGGAGTGATGAGATAAGACTACTTATTTTACGTACATAAATAATACAAACGTCTCCATAGTGAGATATGACAAATATAAAATAAACGTTGTCACTAAATATGAAAGCAAGAGACTGGCTTAATCCTAAGGCATACTTGCATTAAAAAAGGTCTTCATGCGAAGGATATGCTTACATATTTACATATGTACATTATGTATATATATCCAAGTCTGTGATGCGTATATATAACATGCTGTTATTTTTATCTTAAACTTCAATATAAAACTAATACTTTGTATGTACACATAGTTTGCTTAAGTTAACATTACACCTTTAACGGTCAACTACTTCATCCTTACTTAAATATTTAGCAAAACGTTGCCAAATATAAATTGGACATCATTTTAGACAGTCTGTCTTCTTGGTTCAGATCGTTTAACATTTTGTGTAAACTACAAAAAATAAATCTATTCGATTGATATTCGAATCACAATTACATTTTAAGCAAAAGTGAAATATGGATGAGAAATCCAGCAAATCGGAGGGCGAGACAAATGGTGATTCTTCCGTTGAAGGATTGCCACGACGAAAGTGGGAGTGGACCGGAAGTCATGACCATCGATTATTGAATCTGCTCGAGACGGGGTATAAAAGTGACTTGATTCTGGACCTTCGTCCAGAAGGATTACGGGTTGGACTGAATTTATTTATTTATTGCAAGTATGTATGTATTATTCAGGCATTAATTAATAAGATCAAATTATTTGCAGCTTCCCGTACATAAAATATTTCTGGAGGCCGGCTCTCCTGTGCTGGATGGCAAGATCAAGCCGGAAACGGAGGAAATAAAGATTGAAAATGTGGATACTCGAGTTTTCAAGATGCTGCTTAAGGTAAAATTATTAAACATAATTTTACCCCAAGTTCAACATCAGTTAAACATTGGGGGTATTCATTACGAGTTCGCGTCATTAGCAACATTACCAAAAAATCGTTGGAAAATTAGCAAAAAAATTTGGCATGGTGGGAAACTTGTTCAAATCCAAGGATTGCATTTGATTCGAATTTCTTTAGTTGGGTACTATTTCTTGCTTGATTTTAGTACTTGTACACTGGGAAGTCGGGCTTCGGGATGGGCGACGCGCTCCAACTAATGCAACTTTCGACCGAGTACGAAGTCAACGGTTTGAGGGACGAGTGCGCCGAGATATTAAAGGGCGACTTGACCTTGGAAAATGTCCTTTCATTGTTTCAAAGTGGGATGGAATACGCGCACGGGGACTTTATTCAGTCCACGCTCAAATTCATTTGCAAGTAGGGCTCATATTTTACGAGTAATTTTTGAGTGGAAATTTTAACAACTTGTATTTAGTTTTTATTTACTCATTTATTTCTTTACGAACAGGAATGCGAGAAAACTCTTGAAATCTGAAGAGATTGGCAAACTACGACTGGAATGTTTGGTTGAAATTATTCAGCAGGATTCGCTCAAGGTGATCAATGAGATGGAAGTCTTTGAAGCAGTGAATCGGTGAGAATTTTCCAAAATTTGGGAATAAATATTTAGCATTGAAGTAGTTAGTTCTGGCGGATAATTTTAAACATGCATGTATTTAGATGGGGCACAGCTGAATGTGTGAGACAAAACCTGGATCCTCAAAATACTGAAAATCTTCGAAAGTGTCTCGCAAAACCGTTGCGTCATATCCGTTTTTCGTTAATGGATCCGGCCGAATTTGCTCTGAACGTGACGACCAAGAAACTGCTCAGCATGGAAGAATCGGTGGAGCTGTTGAACTGTTTTCTTATCCCGCCTGTGAGGAGGTACATAGTCTAGAGAATCACGATTTCTGAGTTACGAAATTTATGCACGGCCCCTTCTCGATATTCTTAGCATAATAAATTTGTAATTTAACCCTTAGAAATATGCTCCCACCTGGAACATTTATGTCCACTCCGCGCACCTACATTGACAAGGACATCGTTCTCACACGGACCCTTCCCGAGGGTACAAGAGTAATTCAAACCATTGCCATTGATGGAAATCCAAATGGAAGAGAAACGATAGCGTAAGTACATATATGGAAATAAGTTAGTTATAAATAGATGTTGTTTGTGGCAATCTTGACCATTAAGGTTATGACGATTTGATGTGCCATAGATTTTTAATCACTATTCAATTTCTGTCTTTAAATGCAAATTTCTAAAATCATAAATTTCATCAGTTTTGAGATATGAACATGTGTACATATTTAAATGAAGCTTTTACACTTTAATGTAAAGTTAATATTTGCTACTGTAAAACCATGGATTTAAGAAACTGGTAATTTGTTTGCCACTTTTTCATAACAAATTTCCTCACAAATGAATTCGCCAACTTTATTCAAAGTATGATAAGTTGCATTTACATATGAAAACTGATCAAATAATGGTGTAACATATTTTCGAAATTTGCATTGATATGATATGGGTAGAGTGAGATTAAAAATCTGTGAACTTATTCCACCTTGGTATTAATATGTATCTATTATTTTTCAGGATTCTCGTAAAGGAGGATGTCACACTGAAATCAATTTCAATTCCGAAAGAATTTTTTGACGTAAATCCTGCTAACCTTTATTACTACGATTTGATTAAGTGTAACCTACAATTCGCGAATGACCGGGCTAGTGCCAATCAACTTGTTACCCAATTCGACACTTATGAGAGGGGTGACGTCTACTTACGCATCTCCCTAAATCCGCCTTGCGAAATTAATGTAGCTAACGGCTGGCTCAGAGTGACGATAACCTTTTCCGGTGATGTAGGATACCATGGTCTTTCCGAAACCGTGGCCAATAAGCAAAATATGAATGTACAAGACCTGTTTCCTGCTAACGGGCACACCAGGGTGATTACAAATTATACAGACTTGTTCAAGGACCCTGCCGTGGGAAAAAATACAGCTGGAATCGTTATTAAACGATGTAAAGGAGATCAGCTCGGAGTTAATCATGGGTTTATTGAGAAGCTGGAATTTGAAGTGGTTTAATATTTGAGGGTTCTATTTATTACTTTTTTGATAATGTTGGTGGTTTCAAATTTTGCATTTCTAAATTTCAGCCCTACACCTAAAATATCGTTACATATACTTTATTTAATTGTCATGTATCTAACTTCTGATCCGTTTTTGTTGTCGACTAATAAACCAGTACAGAATGAGTATAATATACTCATTTACCGCTTTATCTACATATTATGTAGGTAAAGCGCTAAATGTAATTACTTGTTCTAGTAACTCCATTTGCATACCAAAGTCCGAAATTTGTACGGAAAGCCCGAATCGCAGAAAATGGGCATAGTGAAATTTATGAAAATAAGGTGACACGCACAATTAATTATACTAAATATACGTTCGTATATCAAATATTTTGAATTACTGCCAATACTTCACTAAACCGTCAAGAGCAAATTAATCCATAATATTCCACACAATCTTCAGCTGCCACGACTTCGTTATCGTTCCAAAAGGTCCAATCCTAATTCCTACCTTGCTAAGGGAGCGGATCAATCTAATCTCGTACTTCGAGACGCATCTACCCCTCAAAAATACCAGAAAACTGTTCGAACTTTCGGAAACCATCGCTGCTTGTGGCAAGATCGTAACCGCAGCACTAAATCCCAGCCCACTGGTCATCAGAAAAAACCAGTACACCGCCAGTGTAACCCTTCCGGCTAATCTGATACTTAAATATGTCGCAAAAATGGTGATACCCATGCCAAAAAAGATCAAGGGCGGAACTGCATAATAGGAGAATTTTAGGTTAGAGTAACCAATCCAAATTTGAAATTCTCTATACAATTTTACAACTTTAGTTTGGGAATTGCCCCATTTTTCGATAACTTTTCTGCACCGTGCCATAATTTGAATGGATGCCGTTAGAACCATTAGTACCACGGTAGCTAGGCCGCAAAATGATTTGATCACTTCGCCCCCAACCCATACGAATACAAAGATTCGTAGCAGAATTATAATGAAATTGGACCCTGGGAAAAACGTGTATTGACTGAGAACATGAAGCGGGTCTGTGTCGCACAGGACAAAAATCGTGTTCAGAATTAGGGGAAATGAGGGACAAATTTGAATAAAGGTGTTCAGCGCTGTCTACAGGAATTCATTGACGGGGGGCTCGTGGTGAATTTGACCCAAGCCTGAGGAACAAAAAGATATATGTAAACTCTTAGAAACTAGTAGTAAAATAATACCGAGCGGTTTTCATACATATATGATTCTACCAAACTGCAGTCGAAGAAACCCGGTAACTAAGTTATTACCAGGCGGAGTATCTATTTATGTGATTCTACCGCATGGTAATTTATTTATTACTGAGTGGTAGACATTTTGTAACCAAACCGGTAATAACCCCGGACGCGAAATTTGAAAATATTACCAGTTGGCAACTATTTTTCTACCACTCAATAATAAATTAATTACCATGCGGTAGAGTCACATAGATACTCCGCCTGGTCACTCTGTTTCTCTCTCTCTGCACTCATTAGTGGCCAGAGTTTGTTACGGCTCTTGCGATATAAGATGGCCCCCACAGAAACTTTGACCCCAAAAATCTCATGGTCCAAGGCATTTCTCTTCGGACAACAAAAGCCGAAAATATAGCTCTTCTAATGGAGAAAATTCTGGCATCAGGTTGTCAGACTCGAAATGGGTAGGACCATGACTTTTTTAACGATTTATGTGTAAGTCAAAAAACCGCCAATTTTCGAATTTTGAAACTTTTGATGCATCAAAATGTCCGCATTCATGGGCAAATTAGAATTGCAAATGCAAGTTGGGGTCTAATTCTTGTTGTACCGAGTGTGCATTGGATTTCTCATTTTTCCCAGTTTCTTTTCTCAATTTTTAAAAGGGGGGTGGCTGAATATAATTCAAAAATAGCTATGCTGAATTGACGGTTGCACCCGGAACTCTACTTGCAAGTTTTTATATTTAACCTTTTAAAATGTATGGAGGCTTTTTGGCCTCCTTGGAAACCTTGCGTTGCTGCGGGAGGAAGTCTTTTAGCCTCCTAAAATTTTCGGGCTTACTTCGGGAGGAGGTCAATAAACCTCCACGAATTTGTAGCTATGGTGCGGGAGGAGGTCTTTTAGCCTCAACCCAAATTTTTTCTCCACTGCGGGAGGAGGTCAATAGACCTCGTTAAAAAATATTTTTTTCGCTCTTCATAACTCATAATAATATTTTGTATCATAAAATAGTTGCTAGTTATTTGATCAAATTTGCACAAAAAAACACTCGAATACAAAATTGTGAACGTCTTGAATTTTCTACCATCACATTGCAAAGAAGTTAAATGAGCAAAAATTTATTTTAAAATACTCAAAAAACCCTTCCCACAGTAACCTTCTATTTAGCGTCCCTCCTTTCACGAAGCTGGATTTTCTCTTTGGAATATGACTCCCGAATCATAACCCAATAATCACAGTAAATCTCCCGCGGTAACGCCTTTGTCATTTCATTATACACACGTTTTAAAAGGTTAATTCCAAGAAATCGATGCAACGTACATAGAATGGAACATTTCCCATAATACGTCTCAACTCCAATAAAAATCGTGCGCATGTATGTAGTTGTTCATAAATGGTCTCACAAAACTCATTTGTTTATTTCAAGTTATGATAGTTTTTGACGTAAATTTCTTGCTTTTAGAAATTTTAGTTTAAATATTTTCGCTTATTTTTCATCCACGACAAAGAATTTCATCATGAAGGCTGATAATCTACACAGTAAAAATAATAATAAATATACATACAATTAAATTAGTACCCAAATTTACTTATGTTTTAACCGCAGCAAAACCTACTTGGAATACAAGAAAGGCTGATACGCTGCCAAGTACATAAATGGCAAATTGGGCAGAGGCGCCATCCACGATTCTTCCAATTTATTTGCAATTGAAGTCAAACAAAGTTCAGCACAACGCGCAGCCGTCATAATGTTAGCTGGCCTTTTGGTAAGCATGGTGTCCTTGAATCGCTGCATAAATGTAATTTTAGTTTTTTGAATAATTACATTTTTATGCAATAACTTGTCCCAAAAAAAAGGTGTAATTTTTCCACTCCTCAGCCATTCAGAATACGAAATCAGCGTTAATATTAATAATATATATATATCGAATCGAAACCAATCTTTGAGGAAACCGCTAAATTCCAAAATTCAAAAAGAAATTCATAAAATTCCACTCACCGCGCCCGTTCCGGTCATAGAATTGTCGAAAATATTGGTTTCAACCGGTCCCGGACAAAGTACCGTGACATGAATCCGTTCCATTTTTCTCAATTCGTGTCTCAAGCTGTCAAAATAGCCCTGAAAATTGTAAAATTCATAAATTTAAACAAATTATATCACGTGACTCTATCCTAAGGTGAATTTAGATTCGAATCATTCGAATCGAATGCAATTCCTCGAGGTTGGAATTTCAGAAATGGGCTTAGTTTATATGATCCTGTGAACGTTTAGAGGAAGTCAAACGCAGACATTTAAGTTTCGAGCCTTTCATACATTAATTAACGTAAAGCACGGATATGGAATTTGGTTTCACACTATTGCTGTATTTCTTTTAAGTTTGATTGCTTACATGCAGCGCGAATTTGGTCGGAGTGTACGGCGTGAGGTATGGAACACCCAGCTTTCCCGCTAAACTCGATACCACAGCCAAATGTCCTTGGCGCCCGCGTTCGTTTTTGAAATAGTTGAGCACAATCCTGTTCAAATTTACGAGGGAGAACACGTTCAGGTCGAAGAGGGCTTTATCCGTGGAAATTGGCGCTTCTTCCCATAACGCGTATTGACCCATGGCGGCCGCGTTAGAAATCAAAATGTCGAGCTGGAAAATTAACAGAAATAAATACGAATTCACTTGCAGCATAATATTAGCGAAAATATTTTTGAAATTCCACCAAAATTTAGGTAATTTGCACATTTTCCGCAAAACCCCTAAATTTGAATATCAATAGTTAAATGACCCACCTTCCCAAAGGTTTTCACAATTTTTTCCAATGCTTTTGCATGACTGTCGTAATCCACCATGTCGAACGGTAAGACCAGAATGGATTCCTGCTTGGTCGACTTGTTCAGTTCTATGAAAAAAATATGCAAGAAAAATAAACAAAATATTGCAAATTTATTATAATTTGGATAGAAATTTGCTAAGTACGCACCTAAGCATTCCTTCTTCACCCTCTCTAGCTCTTCCTTTCTCCTGGCGGATATAATTATTTTCACATTTTTCACCTTCACCAACTCTTTGGCGAGACCTGGGCAACAAATTCAGTCTAAAAATTCGAAAGGATATCGTATAATGCAAGCTTCGTTAGCTTGCGGAGTCAATACGCTCGATCGTGTTAATTTCATTTTTTAGAAATTTTTTGAAATAAAATAATTTTATTTAAATTTTACCTTCTCCAATCCCAGAAGATGCTCCAGTCACCCAGACAACTTTTCCCTCAAAGCGACTCGCTACAAATTAAAAAAGAAGTTACACTCGCCCAATGGGTGTACTCGAGCCATTGTGATTTGTAGTCTGATCACAATATCAACATATTTACAGATATGTATAAGTTTATAAACTTTCTCAAGTTTTCACACTTTGCGAAATTTCTATCTTTCTACATCTCCAGAGCCTGTTTTTGATTAGAGTAATCCTTCTGCAATGTACATATCCTTGCAATAAAAAGAATGCAATGCATGCACAAACGCCCTTGAGATTTTGGCAATGTCATGCGTTTTTACATATGTATGTAACTAATTCATTAGTTTAGTATCTACGCATCGCCAAAGTGTTCATATTGCCATTATTTTTGCACTGCTACGTATTTAAATAATTGTTGGCAAGACTGTTCATCAAAAGTGCAAATTTTTAACGAAAATTTATCGCAAGAAGGTTTCGGTGTCAACTTTTTTTGCAAGACTTCGAATTTTTATTAAATATTTATGAAATACTTGGCAATAAATTTGTCGAGGCTTGAAATATTTCACTAGTTTAACTAAATTAGTAAAATCTAATTTTCTATCGGAAACCTCTACTTGACATCAGTTCTGCTAACCAATTTGTATCAAAAATGTGTAATTCCACATACCGATATCCTTCCCAAATTTGAGATGCATAAAGGTCCAAATGTCGCAATCTCCACACAACAAAATTCCCACACATATCGCAAAAAAGGCCAAAATCACTGCCACGATTAAATCCAACATTTTTCAGAACTCTCAATTCCACACGAATAATATGTATGTGATCACCAGCACGACAACCAGCGTCAAGGACGGATCCACCAAAACTGAAACGTTCTCCGGGATGATGATGTAACAATCTCTTTTATTTACTTATCACCACAAAAACCATTTCACCACTAACCAACTAAACACACTACATACATCATTATCACCCACACAAAAAAACATACTTTATTATCACAACCAACCAGGCACCGCAGAGGAGAAGCATCGGCGGGGGTCAATTCACTAAAAAACACTAAAAACTTCCAAAATTTCTTATCCGTATCATAAACCTTTTTCATCTTCATTCCAGAATGTCAAAGTATCCAACGCACACGGTGGCCGCGGAACCTGTGGGGACATCTGCAGATGTCCCCATGGGGACACTAATATTGTAGGAGATAGGATAGGCGGAGAGGTCTAAATGTATAACATGCATCCACAGACCATAGGGGCATTGAATAACCATGGCGACATTGTCCCTCGGTCCCCACGCTTCCACAGTCTCCGCGGTCTTTGTAATGTAAACAAAACCCGTGACTCTCTCTGGCTATATGTATTTGAACAAAATCAAATATGTGTATGCATATCACCCTCATGTGCATGTGCAATGACAGTCAATGCCAACATGCTGATCAGGGGTCGCGGAACTTTACGTGGGGGCATAATGCGCCGTAGGATTGCACCGATATTAACAAACCCTTGTACGTAAGCTCCTTTAGTATTATGAAAATGTCCCCACAGTTTCAGAGGCCAATGACGATGATGATGATGGAATTCTGAGCTGTATTGTGGTCACAGGATGGTTATAGTTTTAAACATTTGTCTACATATGTATTCATGCAAGGAAAACACTGGAACTTTCCGCTGGTGCAGGGAGTTACATAATATTTACAAATTCATGTATTTGTCGGCACACGTGACTCTGTAAGTATGTGCATTTATATTAACCCCATTCCGACCTGCTCAACAATTTCCTACCCAAAGCTTAATACATATGTACAAATGTACTAAATACTTATTAGACTCTCCCTTCCAACCTCAACATTTAAGTTTTATGCTTAGACATTTGTATGTATCTACATACATACATACGATACATACATATATACCTCCAGTCCAACTATATTTTTATTCGATAATACTTAAAATATTAACACAAATTATGATCATGCCCCCTATTAAAATTCTTTATCTTCTTGTGAACATCGCTTTAAATGGGTACGGCTTTAGCGTCATTCCTGGCCTCATGTCCAACCTGGGTGTTTCCTCCACACTTAATTTGTATCTCTGGAGGAGAGAGGTGAGCAATAGGAATGCAACAATGTTGGCATGCAGTTCTCCAGGACAGTTTCGCTTTCCTATTATGCAAGGAATTTTTTACGAAATGATGACACATTTATGTACTCATTTGTAAGAAAGATTCACTTACCAAACGAGAAGGAAATTATGCTTGACGCATTTACGAGTTCCCCGTTTTCACCGATGAATCTATCAGGCCTAAATAATTCGGGATCTCCCCATCTCTCCTTGTCTTCAAAATAGAGTCGCGTATCGCACATGATAACGGTATCCTGGGTAATATTACATAAATGACGATGGTATTCGCGTCACTAAAAAACGCCGCTTAGCAACACATCTTTGTAACTTTGCGGTATTTGCAAAATCGGTTTCGTGAAGGGCTTATTTTTAATGAAAATACATAAACTGAAAATAAGAGGACAAATCAAAATCCACTTGACGACGAATTTGCGAAGAACAGTTTACGACGATAATAAATATATACAGGTCGCATATTTCTTAAAAATATAAGGATTTTGATTAGTTGCTGCGTCAAACATTGCAAAGTTGCGAAGATAAGTTGCGAAACGACGTTTACGGAGTTGACGTGAATACCCCCAGTAGTACTAAATTATCAAATCTATCCCGTTATTTTGTTCCCAGTAGATAAGTAATTTAAGGGTGCACCTTTTTAATTGTGTACTCTTTATACTGGAAATCTCTCAGGGCACGGCGTGGCACAGAATTTTGCAAGATTCTCGCTTTTCTGTGCGTTTCCAAGAAAAAAGCTTGGGTATATGGCATACTGGAAAATTTTAGTTTAATTATTATTTACATCAGTACATATACGATTCCTTACGTAGTAAATAAATATGCCTACCTTTTTCTATCCGAAAAATTAAGAAATCTTCCATTCGGTGCAACCTCCAAAATTTCGTGATAAATTTTCTCCTGCACTTCCGGGTTTGCCACGAGGAAGAGCAAAGCAGCTTCTAAATATGAGCTTGAAGTGTCAGTACTGCCCAAAAGCAAGTCTTGAAACATGATTTGGAAGTTTTCACCTGAAAAATACGTATGTAAAGTAAATATAACTACGCAAATTTTTCTAGCAAAGTTACATACTTAATCAGAACATACAATTAAATATTTTCGGATCAGTTGAAGAATTTTGTACGAATGCTTCCAGTAAATTTGTAGGTTGTGATGCCAGCGGAGACGATTTTAGTCGTGACTGCGTCTCGCGGAACAAATTCTGAGGTAAAAATTTACAATTAAAAAAATTCGCGTAAAAAATAATAATTATGTTAATTCAAGTAAGTTGCACACACTGTTAGAAATCTGGAATAGTCAAACAGGTATTAATTTCTCGATATTACAATTACTACCGCTTGGTATTAAAATTACACCAGTCCATAAAAATTTGCTACCGATATGGTGCAACTTTACCAAGTTATCACTACACGGTATTATATGCTTATCAATATCTTTGGTAAAGTTGTGCATGAACACGACTAAATATAATTTTAGTACTGAATTTCTAAGAGTATACAGCTAAAAATAGTTTCATCTCACCCCTCCAACTTTATTGCACGTATTAAAGTAATCCATCTGCACATCGTAGCCCAACGCTTTTGGGAAGATAAATCTCAACACGGGAAACGCGTTGACGATTCCAGCCCCGAAAATGCCACTTTTCACAAAGCCGTCCCCTTTTTCGGATAAGATTTGAATGTCCGGCTTATCTTCTAGGGCTAATCGGCCAGTCACCATTTGCCAAATTATGGATAGAATTGGGGTGTTGAAGAGTAACTCGACGTCTATAATGCCACTATTTTTCCCGTTCCCAATCTTCAAGTCAATGTCGGCAAATAAGGATTCCGACGCGATCTTAAAAATCAATCAGTAAATACGTTATCCAAAATTAATTTGTTGGAACTCTACAGCTTTTTCGTTTTCATGATTGTGTATAAAATATTTAAAATAGTGTTCGTTTTTTGTGGGTTTGCTAAATACATTTCTTTTACTGCAAAACAAGAAACGAAAAAATATGGCAATACATGAAGAAATATGCAATTTTTTCAATTTTTGTAAATATTAAAAATTTGCAACCTTTTGACCTATTTTCAGCAAATTTCTTCATATTGTTCCAACAATTTGTCCGAAATCAACACATGTACCTGAATGAAATGTTCCATGTCTAACGATTTCCCAAACCCGAATTCACGTAACGTCCTAAAAGTCCAATTTCTCGTCTTTTCCCAAACTTCCCCTTCGGAAGTGGCGATGCCCAAGTTTTTATGCATCACTCTGTCCCCAAACATTCCGCTGGTGTCCCGGCCAAAAGCAGCCTCGTTCGTGAGAACAGTTTGCATGGCTTCCTTCGAAGTTAGCACGACTTCCTTACGACTGGGAGGAATATTAATTAGGTAAGTAATTACCGCTGGCATTAGTAATTTTATTAAATACGTAAAATTGTAAAATAATTTTACAAGCTTTTACAAAATAAAACGACGCCCTAGATCTGAGTAAGTTTTAAAGAATTGATAACTAATTTTCTGCAGAAATATTTGTAAAATTTTGTAAAAGTTTGAAAGTTTACGGGATTTATGGATTTTTAATTGCTTTAATGCAATTTGTAGATTCTAGCAATTATATGTTGAATAATTATTAATTGTTATACGAACATTTATCTACCTGTCCATTTTGATCCCATCCTTAATGAATATATTTCCCCATATTTTTCGCCCAATATTCCCATTCCTAAAGTCAGATTGTCCGAAGCTGTTGCCAAGTCTACTAGATTTCCGATAAGTGGCCATGGTTGAGGACCTGCAATGCCAGAAATCTTATACATAAAGTCACACAAGTATTAATTATTCGGTATTAAATTTTCTACCGCTTGGTAAAAAATTATACCGCTCCGTAAAAACTTGCTACATATGTACATATGTATATTTTATGCCGTTTATTTTTGTATTCATACCGGAATGTACATATGTAACAGCAAACTATTTTCCAGATATTTATGTAAAATTTTTAAAACAATTTTACAAAATTTCTACGAGTACGCAATTAACGTGGAGGGCTAGGTTATAAATATACATATGCATAGATACTTAATTCTAGAATTTATATTTACACGCTTGTATCATCCAATAAGATACTGATATGCTATATTGGTATTTTCGATTTTTACCATATTTACATACATATGTAGCTTACCGTAACATACAAACCATAATCAATCTATCCTCACCTGGAGGTTCCTTCCCTTTTGTGTCATCTTTCAGTAAAAAATAATAAATGAGGAGAGCTGCACAGATAGCGAGAGAATAATACTCCAACATCTTTCCTGCACGGAATTAATGGCACAACTGCAATCAAGCATAATACATAATCTCATCTCGAATTTTTGTGGGGACCTAGCCCCATAAGAAAGAAGACTTACATTTAAGCAATACTGGTTCCATAGACATGATTTTTATAGATACGTATGTACATAAGCGACGAATAAAAAATAGTAGCAAGAACTAACCAGCAGCATCAATGTGTGGATGATAACAAATTTTGTAAAAAAAAATAAGACACGTGCGACCTTGGTTAATACATGTGTACGGGTATTGACATTGATAGAAATGGATTCACTTTCCATTACATCCTGGCCAACAACAAAAAGAACACAAACCTGATTTCATGGTAAACTGCATATGCACATAAGTATGCACGATAACAAAAATTCGGTTGCTGGATTTTGGAAAAACCAAATATTTCTGATGGTATTTTTTTCCAATTTTTTGGTCTGGCGCAAGGTTCTATTATGCTCCTACCATCAAGTGAGGTAACCTTATGTAGACTTGTGTTTATGTCCTCTTTACGACGAAGTACAGACATTTGTGTAGTATTTTATTTTTCCGTTGACCACGAAATACACAAATGTGTGTACTGCAGAAATATCCTTGACACTAAAATTTATTTAAAAAAATAATATTTCATCTGTATTTTGTGGAAAATTTGATGGTGAAAAGTGGATTTTTTTCGGTATTTTTCACCTAAAATTTTGAAGTTTTCTCCATCCCTACCAATGTTAAAACCTACAGTGCAGACTTGATATAGCCCGAGTCAGGCGTAAATCTGTTTTCAAATTAAAATTTTAAAAACTTCGAATTCTTCAATTAAGAGCCCTTAGTAACCCATATACCAAAATTTATCCACTATCACTAAATGTAATCGGCTATCACTAAATTTTTGTTAATGCATACATTTTTTCCCCTTGGTCACCAGTATTGACCATGACCATAACTTTGAAACGAGTGTATAGTTTTTCCTAAAACTCTCAGGATATTATCCTATCCAGCCACGCGGGTGACTAGGTTCGTATACATTTGTTGGTGCACACATATTTTTCTCCCTGGTCACCTTATTGGGTCGCCCAATAAGCTCCTCCAGGTGAAAATTTTTCTTATTTTATTTCATTAGGAGCTATTACCAACTTGTCTATCAAATTTCAGCTCGATTTGACGAATTTGAAAAATTGGTATGGGTCACCCCATAGGGTCTGTCCAGGTGAAAATGTGTCCAATTTCAATTCATATTCTTTTATTGGTAGTCATTAACAACCTTGTACCAAATTTCAGCTCGATTGGATAAGTTTTAATAATCGGCATGGGTCACCCCCTAGGATCCCTCCAGATGAAAATTTTTGCAATTTTACTTTGTATTCCTTCATTTGAAACCATTATCAACCTCTGCACCAAATTTCAGCTTTCTACGGAAATTTTGAAATTTTGATGCATAATACCCCACCCACTCCGATGACCCCCACCGGTCAACCACTTGACCGATTTCGACCATCTTCGAACTTAACTCCTCATTTGACCCATACTACATTTGTGCAAAATCTCAAGTCGATCGGATTAGTTTTACGCCAGTTATCGCAAACCAGACAGACAGACAGACGGACATGACGGGTACATAAGCCCTGACTCGGGCTAAAAAGTAGATTTTTCGTGTTTTTCGTCAAAAACTCGAATATTGGAAACTGGTGGAAAATTTCAATTGGTTGCTATCAGGTATACTTATGAAATCAAAATCGTACCGAAGGGAAATTTTATTTAAAAATCAGTAGTACAAAAGAGGTTAAGAAATGGTCGACTACGGTGGGGAAACACTAAATAGGCCTAAAAAATTACAGGTATCTGCGCCCGGTATTATTAATTGAGATGATGTCCATGAAAATAACCTGATCGGGACAACAAACACATTACGAGGTGCATTAATTTACTTCAGTAATTTTAGTTTATTAGTGTTAAGGTAGTCAGACAATGCATTGTTACCTATCACTCTAGTGATTTTGTGGACTTTAAGGTTATTTGAGTAATCATGGCAGAAATGCTTACCTACATATTTACTAGAATATTCTTGGAAACCATTTGCTTTTAATTGGGAATTACTGACCCGGGAAGACCAAAACACTGGAAAAGTTAAGCTGGGCACGGATGCTAAAAATGGTTCGATGTTTTTAATGCTAAGTTATTACCACAACGGACTGTTTTGAGTGCCTCATGCTCGGCTGATTTTGTAGAACTGTGGTTTTGGGTGATCATCCGGTGCAGTTGAGTTGTTTCATACCGTGGTATCTTGGAAATCATGATTTTAATTGGAAATTACCGACAAGGGAAACCATCGAAAAGGTAACAAGAGTCGTGTTTACAATTGGCCAGAATTTGGCATACCTGAAATGTGCCGATTTTTGCAGACTAATGTTCATCAGAAATTAATCTCATCAAATATAATAATAAATAATAGGATTTATTGCCTTTTTAAGGCCAGTGGCACATAAAACACTAGAATCCTTTGCAATAAAAATTACATAACGAAAGCAAATATGTGAATAGGTAGGTAAATACATATTTATATTCCGTGGTGCATGAATTTAATTAAATGCAAACTGAAAAATTTAATTCGTTAAATAAGTAGATTTCCTACCTCTCAAGATTTAGATATTTCACGCAGAACAAATTAGTTCGAATTTCATACCCGTGCACCTAGCTTGTTCCAATTCCTGGCAACATTAATGGAATTAATTCAAAATGGTTAAACAATTCAGAAACATTATGTTAGTTATCGTCTCAGTTCTAATCGTGGTTTCCATTTTGCCACTGATCCTTGTGTTTGTAATATTTCCAATAATTTTATATCGGAAAGTTATCATATTTCTGGCCTCGTGGAAAAATGATCTCTACATTCCACTCAATATCTGCAGCAACTCGTTTGCTTGGGACGATATTTACGGAAAACCAATGTGCACCCTGAGTATCGTATTCTGTTTGAGGGATGGGCATGACATAAGTGATGTAGTTCGCAAACTGGAGAATGTTGTGCAAATTGTATGTAATTTTAATATTGCCTTGAAATATGTTTAAACAGATTTTAAGGTTGTCTTATATAATGAATTGCAAGTAAGGCGGACTGATGATGCCCACCTCTATAAGCAGTAGCGTTAAACTTCAAAAGTCAGTATGCATGCAGTAAATTTTGTATTAAATTTTATTTACTACTATTAAATAATAAACTAATTCTTTAAAAAAAACTTAGGTGAGGCTTGCTTAAAAGGAGAAAACAAGCGGTTATCATCGTGTATTAGAATAATGTGCTAAATCAATTTTCATCTCATGATTTATAATTTTCGGTAAACAGAACAGCAAAGTATATGCGTTTGGGACCATTTGCCTCGCCGTGGGCAATTAATTCAATACAAATATGTCATCTTACATAAATATTCAAATTGTGCTATATTTAAGCTTTGTTAATTTGTGATTTTGCAGTCTTTGAATATATTTCTAGAATAGGTAAAGATTTTAAAAATTCATGTTCTACTATTGTATGTAATATTGGAAATTAACCCACGCTTGGTAAATATGATCAGAAATCGATTATGGATAACAAAATTAACCAAGAAGTTATGTATTGTTCCATACGACGTATTTGCCGCATGTGTGTAACAAATTCTCTGAACACTAATAAATTTTAAAATTATTTTAATTCACAAAACGGCCCACGGCGAGGCAAATGGTCCCAAATGCATATACTTTGCTGTTCTGTTTACCGAAAATTATAAATCATGAGATGAAAATTGATTTAGCACATTATTCTAATACACGATGATAACCGCTTGTTTTCTCCTTTTAAGCAAGCCTCACCTAAGTTTTTTTTAAAGAATTAGTTTATTTTTTGTTTTTAAGTCTCTTTAAGTTGTCACCAATAATAGATACCAAATTAAATCCCCATAAGTCCATAAGATTATTTAGTATGCGTGGAATACTAAATAATCCCCCAGTGGGTGTGGATGCGTGGCATACCCAATTAAATTCCCCCGTCGCCCGTGAACTCATAGTCAAGAAATGCACCAACTCATTATGCATGCATATACACTCTGTTAGAAATCTCTAATAGAATTCTATTTCTACTGCTTACAATTAGTATTAAAATTATGCGGGTAAGACTTTACTACCGATATAGTAAAGCTATTAACGCACAGTATTACTTATAAATACCACTTTCGTAGTCATTTCTGAATACCGCATGGTACTATTTTTATACTGGATTTCCAAAAGTGCATACATACAGATCTTGCATCTTTCCATTGTGCTTGTTGCTAATAGAAACGTAGATTTATTATAAGTAATGAAGAACCATTATAATTAACGTGTGTAACTGGTTGCAGGTGCCACCAAGAAAAGTCTTTCATTTCATATCCGATTTCGCTCGGGTTTGTTTGAAATGACGCCTTATAGATTTCCGCACATTAAAACATGGATGAGTCATGACCTTTGCACGGTAAAAGTGAATTTTCCAGTCATTTGAAAGTTTAAATTCGATTTTAAATGGGTTAAAATAAGATTGTCATGTCTCTAGACCTGACGGGCATCATCTACCCAGCAAGGTCTGCACGATTGCCTTTTACACCATTTTGATACGATTAGTCGTTTTGCCACAATCTTTGGCAGAATATTTGGAGGGGGGGTCTGTTTGCATTCTTAGGCTTCGCCGTAACCATGCACTTTTTCATGTGGTCATGGTTACTATGCCTCACCTAAGAATAAATATTATAAAATATTATGAAATATTATTTACTACGTTGCTGTACATATATAAATACGTCGTATGGAAATCTAAATTATAGATTTAGAAAGTTAGTAAATCAGAATTTGTATCGTTACATATTTGTGTTTATCTACATAAATACACATACAATATAGGGTTTCCATGAAAACGAAAATACTTCATATCAAAACTCTAAGCATCTTCTTCTACATGTCTTGATAATGAATAGCAGATATCATTCGAAATATTGAAAAAATAAAGCAAATTCTTCTTTTTCTTCGAGTTTTCCACTAAAAACTCCGTGTAATCCAATTATTAAAACTCTAATCCCCTAACTTCGTAAATCCATAGTTTATATTTTCGTAACTAACTACAAACAACTTACAATGCGATGACGCCAGCGGTCTCGCTCCGATTTTAATGATACCACGATAATTAGGTAGCCTTACATAAATAATTGAACACATGTTTCGGAATTTTTCATAATGCTCAGTTTAAACAAAGTTATGATAGTACAAGTGACCGAAAATTCGCATTATTCTCGTGAAGTTTTTCTTTTTTTGTTTTTGAGGGAGAAAAATGCGAATTTTCGGTCACTTGTACTATCATAACTTTGTTTAAACTGAGCATTATGAAAAATTCCGAAACATGTGTTCAATTATTTATGTAAGGCTACATAATTATCGTGGTTTCATTAAAATCGGAGCGAGACTGCTTGCGTCATCGCATTGTTAGTATTTAATGTGAAATACACTGACATGATAATTTTTCAAGTTTAACATTGCTGCTTATGGAGGTGGGGCGTTGGAGAATTATGCGCCTGCGTTACTACACTTGATCCAAGAGACCCTTAATAAAAATTATCTTTGTTTTGTAGTATCCCGAATTGAAGTGCACTTTACACTCTTGGATGTCAACCTTATTTTGGAAGAAATCCCCAACTTTTCAACTTTGTCAACACGTCACAATAAATGAAGAATCTGACCCAAAAAAAGTCCAGCAATACTTGGATTCTGTGGCGGATAAGCCGTTCACAAAAGGCTGGCCGTTATGGGAATTCATATCCTTGCCAAATTATTCCAACAGTAAATATCACACAAAATCTGCACTAGTGTTGCGACTTCACCACACTTTGGGCGACGGTTTGGCATTTTTTACACTTTTAAACGATTTTTTTGATAATAATGATTCCGAAAAGGAGATAAAATACAAGGAAAATTTTAAAAATCTGAAACCTTCCACACTCTTAATAAAATCAATACCATTTTAATACCACGGCCGTATTATATGGTGACTCTACCGTTTTGGTATTGATATAATACCCTGCGGTATTATTATGAGTAATACTGCCGCGGTATTACTTTATTAATTTATAGTATTAAACAATGAACTTTCAGTATAAATCGTCTTGTAACTCTCGGTATTGATTATTAAATGTACAGTATTAAAACGTTAAAGCATGATAATACTGCCCGGTATTATAAATAATACTATAATTTGATGCCTTTATAATGAAAAATAATACTGCACGGTATTAAATCATTAATTGATGGTATAAAATGCATTGTACATAATCATATTTTATTTTCAATAAATTACAACTTTTAACAAATTTAAAATAAAAATTACTGCTATAATAAATAAATAAAATTATTTATAACTATTACTACTTTACAGGACAAAGTTTCATGAAATATATATATATATATAACTTACAATTAAATATTACTACAAAAAATGTCTAGAAATTACAAATAATCCTGACAAATTACAATTTTGTTTAATCTCCATCGCATCATGTGTTACTAGATCTTTTACATTTATTACTCTGTACAAATTTTCAGTTACTCTAACCTTATAAGCAAATAAATGGCGATAAAAAAACTCAGTTTCCAGAACTTTGAGAATAAGCAGACATGAATTATCATTTTGAATCAGAAATTCAGAAATTATTCCAAACTTTGGAAATATTGTTCCCATTTCGAAACAAACCACAAAGTTGTGTTTATAATTGTAGCCATTGAACCAAATCTGATTTGTTGTCATCATTTCAGTTTTAATACAGATATCATGATCGTTTAAATAGTTTTTTAATGATTCTACAATATCGAAGGAATCATCAAACTCAGACATAGTAGCTTTACAAATTTTGTCAGTCTTAATTCCATGATGGAAATCTAAATTTTTGAAAACATGCGAACTATATTGCTGATGCCTCATGGCAAGTGAAAAACAAATATTTTTAAAGTTTCTATTGTTATGGGCCAATTGAGCAAAATAATTGTGTTTTCCTTCAAACCGCATTGTCCATAGAGAAATTAAAGGGCCAGACATTTTAATTATAAATGGATAATGACACATAAAATGGTGTTTGGGTAGCAAATTTTGATCTGGAAATAGAAATTTAAAGAGCGAATGGTGTTTAATTATAAGCGATTTCAAGGTTAAAATTGATGACTCATTAAAAGATCGAAAAAATATAAAGCTCATGCATTCTAATAATTGCAGAATTAAATCCCAATATTTTAAATGGACTTCATCGACAATTAAATCTCCCAAAATCATTGGTAAAAACCTGATTAAACACCAAGCTTGCGCAGCTTTTTGACCGATTCTATTTCCAGTTCCATCTAATTTTATTGGACTTGGTTTATTTTTCGATTCTAAATATCCAAAATCAAAAGCGGAGATTCTATTGTTGACTGTTTCAAGATTAAAACATCCCAAACTAATTAATTTTTTGAAAACTAATTTAATTTCATATGGCACGACTCCCTCCAAGAGATCATGCATTATGTCAGCTGTTGGAGAATCTAGAAAATGGTAAAATTGAAGCGAATTTAATTTTTACTCCAAAAGTTTCTGAATTTAAATGTAAACTATAATTGGTCAAATTTCGTATCGCCATATAATTATGGTCAAATTCATTTTGGATTTCAGCCTTTGAAATATAACAAATTCGACAGAAAAAATTAGAATTGAATGATTCTGTTAAACCAAGTAACGAATTTCCACCCAAATTATCGTGAACGACAGAACAAACTGTGCCTCGAAAAATATTTCCCCCAATTGAAATTCCTGTCGTTTCTAAAATCTTAATGTCAGGTAAAACATGTTTTAAAATTGACCCATAACCATATTTTTTTGCGTCTTCACTATAAAACAAAGCTAACAAATGAATTTGCGAAAGTTGAGAATTTATATAATCGGGCAAATTACGTAAAATAAAATAAAGCGCCCCAAGTTTGTGGATCCCTTTTTTAGATCCCAAAGGATTAACTGTTTCAAAGTCATCATAGAATAATTGTAACTGGATTGATTGTGGATATTTAGAAAAGAGTTTGTTATTTTTAAATGACTCAGAGTCACAGAATTTAAAAATTTGTCCATTGGGTTTTGAAATAGATTCGAAATATTGGTATAATTGTGGAATTTGGATTATTTTTTCAAGTGTTTTCAGCAGAGGTACGTACATAAACGTATCTTCCACGACTACTTGTTGTCTTTTTGCATCTTTAATTTTAGAGTCTATTCTGCTCCCTAAACTTATCTCAGTTGGTAAAATTAAATTATTTCTGCTCTGGTACAAGTTTTGCCTCTGATAGCTGGACTTAACTTTAACAAAACCAGATACTAATGAGCGTATTTGTATAGCAACCATGTCAAATTGTTCACCTAAAGTTTGTTTCCCTAATTTAGTAACTAAGTTAATAATTTCTACAAATACATATTCCATTTCTTTTACAATTACATCCATTACAGAGTTATTAACACCACTTGCAATTATAGAGGAACAGAAATTACCTAAAATTTCTGAAACTATTTTTATACCAGTATCAACGGAGATATTTTCAAAAGTTTTGGGATCCTCAAAGTCAATATTAATCTCTTGTTGAGCTTCACTAAAATTGGAACTATTTAAAGTTGGCTCAAAAAATAGATTTGGTATCTGGGAGCCTATTTCTAGAAACTTATCGTGTGACTTTACATGACGTAAAAATCCACTCCATGTCCCTAACGTTATATTACATGAACTAAAAGGGCAAATTAATTGAGGAAAATTACTGTGTCCATAATTATGTACAAATTTTAAATGAGTTTGAAACTCACTCGCCCTTAAAACTAATATCTGACAGACTGGGCAAGTAAACATTTTTTTAAATGAGATTATTAAAAATATTACTTAATTGAGTAAAAACACTTTTCACCTTTCCCGAAAGATCAGTACTGTCCACGTCAACCTTATAAATATAAACTTGAAGAAATTTCCATAGGCCTTGCAAGTTCTTGTCGTATTCTGCTCCGAAGACGTAGTGTGATTTGAAGAGGAGGTCAATTGCTTGTGCAGAATTCTTAGCGTCAATTGGCAGCAGTACTTTATCTACAACGAGATAAAAGGAAGAAAGTGTTTTCTTGTTTTCTCCAAGACACAAAAGGTTTGGTTGTCTCTTATCCTCGCTCCAAGTATCCAGGATGGATGGTAGAGGAGTTGCAGTCTGGAAAAAAAATGTTATTAAATTCATAACAACAATTTGAATAATTAAAATAGTTAGAATACATTTTAATTTAAAAGTCATTATGTACCTTATAAAATGAGATCAGCAAATTCTTTGCTTCATCAATTGTACACCGACTCCCTTTTCCTCTCCCTTGGGCAGCTGGGGGATTAAATAAAGAAGAACGAAGAGTGCTGCTACTTCAGAGTCCCAATTATCTTTAAAATAAAACGAATTTTGATAAATTTCAAGGAAAACTTTGTTTTAAATAAACCAAATTTTTAAAAAATAGTATTTTGCAAACCAGACTCCTCTGTTAGAAATTTACATAAAGACGGGGATTGCTTTAAGTCTTTCACTTTCTCCAGCAGCTGTGAGGAAAATGACGGCCAAATTCTTGTAAAGTTTTCTTGTGATTCTCCTTGAAGAAGAGAAAATTCCAAGCGGATCTAACATAAATAAAAATTAATGTTTAACTCAAATAATTAAAAATACTGACAAATAATATTGATTTAATCGGATTATACTAAAAAGTCGCAGTCCGCAAATTTTGTATAAACCAGCAGGATTGATTGTGGATTGACTCGTCGTAAGTAATTTCTGTGCTCGAGGGTGTCTTGCGCCAGTTTAATTATTTCTGCGGATCCCGATTTTGCACTGCTGCCATTTAAACTCCTAACTAACTCGTCATATTGTCCGTTGTCAACGTTGTCATCCAGTTTTGCAGTTTTAGGTTTAGGTCCGCCAGTTCCAAGCTGTGTCTTCTTTGCCCTTAATTCCTTCCTTTTTTCAGTGGTTTTCAGTTTTTGGTGAATTGTCCTCAATCTCCGTTGGATTAGTCCTGACCGTCCAATTTCATCAAAAAGTATATCCTGCAATGCAATAAAAATTATTTAATTACGAAAATTAAATATGAATTAATTATTTATAAAAGTTATATGGTTTACCAAGCCTTCAGTTGACCCAGCGTATCGCCAACATGGAATATATTGAATAATTGCTGACGCCAAATTCTTTTGGTCAGAAGAACTTGGAGATTCACTAAAATTACAAAAAATACAAAAATCAAGTTTAAATATTTTATGGAGGAATTTTAAATACAAATAAATACTTCTTACCCTTTTAGCTCCACAAGTTTTGAAACAAATTCTTGCACAAGAATCACAGCTGACTTGTCATCGACAAACCCTTTTGTGTTGCAATCTGCTACAACTCTGCTAATTTCTTGATCATTAATTGAATTACCCAGCACCTAAAATAAATAATAAATAATAATATTTTAACTGTGGGTAATTAATAATTTTATTTTTACCTGATTAAAACCATCCTGTTGCAGCCGTTGAATTTTGGATGATGGTGAATGGGTGACTGAAAAATAAATAAATATTTATGTACTTATATATTTAGACATTTAAGAATATAAATATACGATTAAAAAGCTCACACATTAACTCGGTACTTGAAGAGCTGTTCCTGTCGTCAGGATTCAAATTAATTGTTATATGATGAGATTCTTCTCCACCCAACTTAAAGACTATATTTGGAATGTTTTCAATTTCTAATAAAATATGAAAAACATCCGAGTCCACCTCTGCCCCCTGATCATCTTCAAGTCGGATAATTACTTCGTTCCCTAAATCGAATTTCGTTCGCACTAGAAAAAATAATTAAGATTGTTGGTTAAAATATTGTTAAATATATGTAATATAAGTTATTAACATAAGTAAATCGTGTGTAAATTTAAAATTTTCTTACCTGAAGTAACAAAATCCTCAAAATTTCCGTCACTTGGAATTAATTTTTTTGATGTAAAAGAATTTGATACTCGAACTAATTTTGTGGAGCTCATGTTGACGAATTGCTGAGTTGAATGTGCCGGGTACGCGTGGGGTAACGGACAAACTTGAGTCATTAAAAACATGGTATAATTTCAATACTGGAAAAGTATTGATCAATACTTTACAGTATTAAATAAGTTTTAAACTCTACTGGTATTAATTTTTTAAATATCAGTATTATTTTAAAACTGCACATTAGTACTATAATAGTAATAACTGTTAATACTATTTGCTGGTATTGATATTTTTTAAGAATCAATACCCAGCTTCTTAGAGTGCAAGTGGAACATTTGGACTTTCCTTTAATTAATCTTTGTCATTCCGACGGAATCAGTATTCCATCTCTTGAGAGGGTTTGACTCCAATCCTCTCACAATTAAGGTGCGCGAGTAAACATATCTGTTCGCATTCATTTATTCATTTATTATTCAAAACGTTAATGACAAATGAGTAAATAATTTGTTCAAAACTTTTGAATGATTTTTGAATAAATATTTATGTATTCACTTCAAATTCATGAAGAATGAATGAAACGTCATTCAGTTCCTTTTCACTCTAAATGTGCTTAATACATGGATGTATTGAGAAATCCATCTGATAAGACGAAGCTTAAGGTGAAAAATGAGTAATGAATGAATAAATATTTTTCTCACTTTCAAATTGAATGAATTTTGAATACACAAATATTTTATGAACAGGCATCTCAACGGAGTGGCGAAATGGTCCGGTGTCAAAATCCTACAGCTATGGATATCGCTGACCTTAAGCGAATTTCCCGCTGTGCCAGGTCAAATATCACGACCATTGTGTCTGCCGGTGTGGCTTGTGCTGTGAGGAAAATTATGAAGGAGAGAGGGGGAAATTTAAGCCAGGATGCGACATCACTCTATATCCTGCCCAGTCTTTCCCCTCACCCGGGGACCATGATGAATAAGTTGTAAGTAGGAATATTAAAAATAAACTTATTTACATATTGATTGCAAATCAATCGGAGTTTAGAATTTTGTCTGTAAAAGAAATTTCTCAAATTCTTTCGAATGAAAGAAATAACCACAAGAAACAGGTTTCTTGTGGTTAGTTTGATCTGCAAGAAATACAAAAAACTGCTTTCCGTCGCAATGGCATAGCTGTTCATTTTCATTCATGCTGTTATAATATATAATATATAATAATAATAATTTATTCTGAAATTCGTACTCATGGCCCATAGAATTACAAGTTATTACAGGTGTTGGAGTAGTAAATCGAGTCCGTAAATACATCATCGCATCATAAAATTTTAATTGGAATACAATTTATTATACCTATTTAATATTTGCATTAGTTGTGTTAGTTCGGTTAATGGTCAGATTATCTTCCGTCAGCATCAATATCCGCATTCTTAGGACCTCATTTAAATATTTGTAAATAGAGTCAGCATGGCCAATTTTATTGCAGAGTAGACCCATTGTTTTATCCTTTTTCCCTTCTAGTTCTCGTATCCACATTCTACTACCACCGTAAACCCTACAGTTCCACAGCACATGAAAGATAGATTCCTCTTCCTTGCAGTTACATATATTGCAGATTTCATCAACATTTAGTTTATGAACATATTTCTCATGGTAGAAGGATGTTAAATTTAGTCTCACTTGTGCTATTAGAGTCAATTTTTTAAAAGGTAGATTGAACTCAAGATAAGGGGCTGGACCTGGTGTCAAGTTAATGAGTTCTTTGTAGTGGCTGTATCTTGTGGAACAGTTCACTTTACTTATGTTCATGCTGTTTATAATGGCGAACAAAATTGAAGTTCCTGGCAAAATGACTGAAGGATTTCGCCATTTCAGATAAATGATTGTGAAAAATCATGTTTCACCCTATGCTTAATAAATAGATACACGGGGCGAAGTACAGAAATGAAGTCAGATGAAGTGAAATGAAATGAATTTTAAAGTAAATGACTGAATAAAGTAAATTCGGTCAGAAATAGGGATGACTGACTTTTGAATGAAAACTAATTTTTTGGTTCATAGGGTGCGTCGCTAGATGGTGCATATTTCTAACGCTTCCATTGCACTTGAATTTCTTACTTTTAGCAAACCCGCAATAAACGAAACCCTGCAAATTACCATAACTAAGTTATGCACTTTAATTAATACGCATTTTCAATTTGTATTACTTTTCAGACTCGTGTTCCCAATGCGAATGCCACTGCCCGAGGAGAAAATGGATCAAAGACTGGTACAAATTTCGGACCAATTTCGCCACATTTTCAACTCACCCATTCTCGTAGGTGCGGCCGCAATTTATAGAGGATTTGGACTACTTCCTTGCACTTTACAGAAATATATAATGTTTCTAAACTATGGAACTGTATTTCATACGAACTTTTCCACTTTCAAAGAAAATAAGTTTGAATTATTTGGAAATCCGGTTGAACAAATTGTTCCAAATGCTGGCCTGCTGCAGGGATCATGCTCCATGTCAGTAGTGAGTATTAGTTACTGTGGAAAAATGGGGATTACAATAACGGCGGATAAAGCGCTATTCGGTGGAAAAGATGAATTGGAAAGGGTTATTAATGATATTGTAAGTGAGATTAGTGAAATTGAGGACATTGGTTTGCAAAGACGTGAAGTTGAAACGAGCTTGGTTTAGAAATATGTAGCTACGACAATTCTTAATAATGAAGTAAATAGGAATAAAACAAACCACAGAAAAGGAAGTGTAAAGTATGTTGGTGAAACTGATCATGTGCAAAAACTTGCAAGTTTCAAAAGAATTTTACATAGACAGAATCGATTAGGGTAAATTAAACTGACCTGTCAGAATTTCTAACAGATTAATTAAATTAAACACCCAAATAAACTTAACTATATAATCTCAAATAAATCGTACAACCATCTACATACATACATTGGTATATACCTATCATCGGACTAATTCTAAAACCGCCTACATACAATGAATTGTTTATATTGAGTTCTGCTAAACGAAATATTCCCAAATATTTAAATAGTAAAATTATGAATGTTATAAAAGCTGATTTTTAAATTTCTTTTACTAATAATTTTTATGTACATATGCCCGTTATGTCTTGCGTCTTTTTAGAAATCCAGTGTTAAAATAACACCAAGCTGTATTCATGCATATGAATAAATATGAATCTGGTAGAGTGGAATTGATAAGTAATACCTTACGTTCCTAATAGCTCTGTATTAAATTTTAACGTATTGGTAGCAAATTTTTACCAACTGGGATAATTTTACAAGTACCTAATACCATTCGGTAGCAAATATTATGCTGAGAAATCAATACTTACACGCATGACTATACCAGATTTCTAAATCTAAAAGCGGGATATGGTTAAATATTTATTTGCATTCCTTACTAATAAAAAGTGGAAACATTGCCAAGTCCATGTCGCAGAGATAGCGATGCGATGCATACTGCAATATTTAATATTAATCCATCCTCAACGACTCATACAGCCTGATTTATCCACTTGCAGCATGAAAGGCAAACCCATCAACAATGAAAAGTTCATTTACATACATAAATACATAGCACAAATATTTGTAGCCAGATATCTATGCATTTTCGGACATGGTTCAATTTCTGCAAGCACGTTTGTGAGTACAACATAGATACATAACTACGTGATATTAATTAACAATTAACTCTCAATTAACTGATTTTATCAGTAATTTTTAAAGTTAGGTAATTGATTTCATACGCAAAGTTCTGCCGTAGTCTTCCGCAAATGTAGTTTAGAATGTAAGTAATTCAACCCAAACATCTCCTGTACAATACAGTTTCTGAAAAGCTGTTTTGGGATTTTTTGGGGAAAATGCGCATTGATATTCCGTCCTACTCAAGTTAGGACGCTAAAAAAACAATTCAAAGAAATCTTATCGCAGTCAGGAAATTACGACCCGGTTAACAGTCATCACCTATATACATACATATCCAGACGAAATAGATTACAACAATTTTGATACCAAATTTAAATACTGATTGTAAAGGCTATGGCTACATATAAATGCAGAATCTCGCAATAAAACATTTATTTTCTTACATATCCAGAGGAAGACATGAAGTCACTAAATAACAATTTGAGAGGGGCATATTCAATAATTAAAATTAACACAGTCCTTCCATACATTGACTGCATATGTACATCCATATTTAACTACGTACTATAAACTTAATGACAATGTTTCTGAGAACATTGCATTCAGACCATAGGCCGATATTTAATAATAGAACTGCAGAATACAGTAGCTGCTTGATTAATACCAATAAAATGTAAGAAATCGGAATGTATATATAATTAATTTGTTGTTTTCGCTCGCCTCGTGTACATACCTCCTCCATCTCATAAATTATTAGTCATGATTACGTGG